ATAAATTCCAGATATGAAAATTAGTGTTAGATTAGTCCTTACTCATTTGCTTTGTATCTGAAAAAAAGAGCTACTTACGAAAAATTTAAAGAGTAATAAACTTAAAGTGAAATCATTTTTCCTGTTGAAAAAGAGGAACTTAAAGGCAATTACTGATTTGCAGCATACTTCTAATAACACAAAAACCCTGCTTACATTAAAGTGAGGTTCACTGTAATTAGTTTATATTCTCATTTCCTTACCTTCTTATTTGATATAAGTGAATTAAAATCTGACACTTCATTTGAGTATACTGAAACAAATATAGGTGTTTCTTCTCATTGTATGTTATTTTGGAGCTAATCAAACTCAAAAGAAATGTTCTTACCCAGCAAGATGTTGTTATCCATCAGCCCATGAATGTTGATTTGGTTTGCCTTTGAAATTTGCCATTTACCTCTACTCAAAATTTTATTCCTTCTCCCTAAGTTAGGTAACAACGCATGGAACTTTGACTAGTTGAATACAAAATGTATTAGATAGGTGAAAAGTCCAATAGTTACCATCTCGCTTTAAAGAGATATGTCAATCAGTTAAGGGATTTGTGAAAAATAAAAACTTGGTCACGATAGCCTATCAAGAGTGCTGGAATAGTCCAACCGAATAAATCAGATTATATAGTTAGGCTTTCACTCATTCTATCTTATGGAGATAAATTTTCAAAGTAGACAATTGAGACAGACCTTATTTAAAGAACAAGGTTCAGTTGTCCAAGAAACTGAATAAAATGAAAGATGAAGCACTCATTAACAGTGCTGTGAGAAAGGTTTTACTGTTGAACCTCTTATTCAAAGCTGATAGTATAGAAGATATTCTTAATACGTAATTATCAAGACATCAACAGAACATGTTTTGCCGTTAGTCTCAGAATCACAGTATGCTACGGAAACGCAAGCATCAGTACATGAAAGATAAGCCATAGCATTCGACCGTATTGGAGTGTGCATTTAGTTTACTCTCTTCTTTGGAATCATATACATCGAATGTACCATACACAAGCTTGTTAACACTATCCAATGTGGCTGGCAGATATTATTACATTATTATTAGTCCCTTGGGTTCCTAATGGAACATAGGGCTTCAGTAACACGTCTCCATTCCACTCTCTTCTCTGAAATATTTTCAACATGGCTACACGACAGCCCACAACCTCTCATTTCCTCCTCGCACCATCTCCTCCATGTCACCCTCACCTCGGATGTTCAACTCGTCGTTTCCATCTGGGTTCCACTCGAGCAACTAGCCAGACGTGCGATGTCCCCAGTCGGCTTCTCAGTGTATGCCCAACCCAACCCAACCCAATCCATCTCCACTTCCTTCCAGTTCATATTTGTTGAGCGATAGATTCTTGGTTGGTTCGTTGTCAGCCAGCCAGAGTTCCTTGTTGCTTGTTCTCATTATTCTGGCAATCCATCTGAGCTTCAGTAACGAGCCAGTGTAGATGGAAGTTGTTGATGAGTGTCTGTAGTTTATTGTAAATGCTTTTTGTAACGCGCCAAGTCTCTGAAGCATGCAGAAGCAGTGACTTGACGTTGGTGTTGAAAATCCAGATCTTGTTCTTTATGCTGGCTGACAGAGGGAGAACAAAATTACATTTTGATATCTCCAACCAAAGGTTTGGACTAGTTTGATAAATCATCCACATTTTTGTATAATTGGGACTTAACCAACTGAAAGGAGTAAGAATAAGATATCTATGCACAGCTGAATTATTATCAGTTCAAAAGTTCAACCTGTCAATTTGTATTTACAGGAATTACTTAAAATCTCTTTCCTTGACAACCATTGTAAACGGCTGATCATTTTCAATAATCATTACCCATATTTTATCATCTCATTCTTTGTTTATTTTACTATTCTTAACTTTTTGCATATTTTACGCGAACGTTAACCAAAAATTAATCTGGTATGTTCTGTTCAGTCTACTATGTGTCCATAAATGTATAGCTGAGAGAATGAGCTCATCGAAGGGTAATTTTTATATTCTTTGCAACATTCTTCTCTCTGAAGATCAAATGGGTTTATTCTGTTACTTAATTTACTACTATTATTATAGCTTAAGAGAATTCAGATAATTTTTAACTGAAATAAACTAATTCCACTATATATCATTTCAGTTTTCAGACAATGTTTTCAACTAATTGTTTTCTATTATAGAAAAGTAACCATTAGCGCTTGACTTCTCTGAGTACTTTTTTAAAGAGATATATGTATGTTATGAGTTTTAACAGAACATTTCACCAACAAGAACGTAATCTCCGTGTATATGAATTTCTTAAAGAAGTGTACAGCTAAGCTGTTTCAACATCTTGCTTAGTTTCAAGCTGCCTTTCGTTGTGATAAACTAAATCACTAAAAAAAAATATTACTACTGGTTAGTAAATTCTCACATATTTTAGGGATTGTTAACCTAGAGATACGTTTCTCTGCTTCTTAGATATCATCGTCATTTTCTTTTATTTGTGCACAGACAAAAGTCAGTATTTGAACTAATCCCAGTAAAATTAGATGATTGTATTATTTTTGTTCACTTAGAGCCTCAGAAATTGTAACACAAGCGTTTTCTTAACTGTTTCAGGAAATATTATATTCATCCTCATAGTTGTATGAAAATATTGTTGACAAATGGAATGAAAGGAGCTAAGGTTTATGAGAACTTTATTTTTAGGGTAGTATTCCTCATGAACTAACATCAATTCCAGAACTGTTGAAAACCTCGAAGACTGGATAGATGTTACTTTTTAGCACGGGAATCCTCAGCAGGAAGGTGTTCACCATTGAAATTTGACCTGGTGGCTGGATAATTAACAGGTGCTTCAAAAGATCTGAAGGTTTTGAAGTCGATCTCTCTTAGGGTCATGAATGTGTTATGCCACGGAGTATTCTACTGTGACAGGTATACAAACTATGGTGACAATAGTTTCAGATTTTTCACATCTTTGAATTCGTTTGTACTCTAGTAAATGTCAACCAATATAATTAATGAAGCAGAAAGAACAATAGTAGCAGAATTAGCATGCATGTATTTCGAGGATTCTACTCAGCTGTCTTGCAACCTACAGAATATGATGTTTATGATGAATGCTATGTTATACAACGTACTTTGATATATAGATAAGGAGCCCGTCTGTCTACATATTTCCTTCAAAGGCGATGAAATCACCACAAGAATGTCATAAACTGAGTGCTGCAATAAAAAATTACTTTTCCAACCACCAAGTCATTCTGTGTATATCAGACTAAGTGTTCGTTGAGACACTCCAAAGTGGTCATATTCTCAACTCTTGTTACCTTCAACTGTATCTACCAATTCACATGTACATGCCAAAGCATATACTCTAGAAGAACAGACAGGAGGATTCTTGTTCACATTTCTGAATATATATCCCGAAGAATTTGAGTCTTAAGGGTTCCCAGGGTTTAAATAGTCCAATGGTCCAGGATTTGCTTGATACTCGACACAAAGTCGACGTATTAAGGTCATCCAAAGTAGTCAATAAACAACGGAAACCCACTGTTTTGAGGTTTACTGAAGCAGTTACAATTAAAAGACACACTTGATCTGTATATTCAGAAAGATACTGTTGTCAGTCTTGTGTTACCATGTTAGCTTTAATCTGCTAAATTTGTAAGTACAAGATTTCATGACCTTACGACCCATAGTTTTTTTTGAACTTAACTTTTCGATCTATCTCAAAACCTACTCTTACGTTCTGAGTTGTATTCACATTATTTTTCAATATATTGAAAATCTGTTAACCTTTTACTACATTTACTCAACCACAACGTCCTTTTTCCTAATTCTAGAATAAAAGTGGGCACAGTGCCCTCCCATTTTTTCCTATCTTCTCTCGAATGTTCATTCTATCGCTGTATAAATGGTTCACCTTTTGACCAGTCTTAACAATTCCATTAATGTCGGTAAACCTAAATCTTTGCTGCCTACCATCTCAATTCGCGCAAGATTTTGTCGATTTATTAAAGTACGTTGTATAACATATTATTCATAATAAACATTACATTTTTATATTAATGATGGATAGTGGCTAGCAGTAGAATCCAGTCCGCGCATTTGGTTCCCTTTTGGACTAGTCAGATGGATGCACCTGCCTCCCAGTGAGGGATATTGTTCTGACTGGGATTTGAACTCGGAGTCGTCTGCTTCGAGCACCAGAGCGTTATACACTAGACCACCAGGCCACAACAGTCACTTCTTGTGCGATGGGTATAGTTTTAGTGTTGTTGCTTGCGTCCTGGATTCTATTGCTAGCCATCATTAATAAATAATTAAAACACAGGTAATATCCAGTCATCCGCACAAGAGCTCATATGCCAATGGAGATCAATCGATTAGGACCAGTCAACGACGGGATAATACAAGCAACAACATTATATCCTATAGATTGTAAAGCAACTGAGGAGAACCTACGAAATGTATGTCTGCTAATTCTTCTACTATTATTCTGCTTGCTTTATTCATGTTCGTAAAAGTGAAAAATTTAGGAAATAAATTTAATATCAGTTAGATATGAAGACTGATTCGATATTCGACTTTCTTATTTCATAGAGCATACAGGAATATATTGTTAATTACTTAATCACTTTTCAAGAAAGAATTATTGTTCCTAACCATACCAAAGTATTCATACAACTCTTGGTGGCATCTGGATTTTCTTTATAATTCTGTTGAATTGTATTCCATTTTGTTGATGGTAGTAGAACTTTCCACGCCTTGGGAACAAGTGTTGCATTATTCTTAATAATTGTCTGATGTATTGGTTTTTATACTTTTTACAGACTAGGAATGAATAATTCTGAAAATGAAAGAAGTAAAATGATAGGCAATTACATAATACTTGTAAAGATTTATGCTTAGTTATTTACAGGGAATAATTTAAATCATTATACCATTCAGTTAGATTATTTGCTTTTTAATGCCTTTCGTTTATTTTCTTTAACAGATTATAATGTTTCGCTTTTGTACATTTAAAATTGCATTGAAGTTAGACAATGGGAAATCAAGTAATTTCAAATATATTGCTAAATGTTTGTATATAGAATTTCATAATTGTCTTTTTTCGTATATTTCTTTAAACTTACCAACTGATTATTTACTTCGTAAGTTTCTTTACAAACCTATTCACTAATGTTTGGCTTTATTCAATTAAACAACAACCATATGGTCCCCATTTATCAGTTTTAAAACGATCTTATAAAACAGATGATAATTAGTGTTAGGTAGTACAGGCAGGAGAACTGATAACTTCAATCAACACATCCTTAACAATATGAAGAAACATATGATTCTCGTTTTCCTATCATGAAGTAGAACTGCCTTTCATAGCACCTAATCTACCTGTTAAAAAGCGGTCTGAGTTATTAAATAAAACCGATTGCTTGCCAGGATTACGACTAGATGCTATTGTAACCACCTGTGAATATTCCAGTTGTATTTCAGATTTCTTCAAGGAATCCTAACTATGAAATGGTGAAGGATATATTTATAGCTCAGATAGATGATCTTGACTGTATTGTGCCCTCTGAGCTGGATTGTTTAATCGACATCATCACCACTAATTCGGTATGAAGTCAGCTGTCAGTATGTATCTGTGAGTAGTTCAGTAGCTGCCCTACCGAACTGGTTTGTGATTGGTTGTTTCCTTTGATTGTTGTATCATTGTCTGTATAGATTTTCTTTTTCGGTGTTCATGTTGCTTGACCTTTGACCTTTCTGTCTTTTACCATTTTTATTATTTGTTGGTAGATTGGGTCTATGCCCATACATCTATTGATTGCTGACTGACCTGATTGTTGAGCTTCGAGGAACTCTCTGATATCCTTTGTTTCATGTCTCCAAGATTTCTACATAGCCAAAATTGACTTTCTGTTCATAGTTATCGACGAGCATTGAAATGAGCGATGAAATGTCGTATCGTTTAATAGCCAATTGGTGTTCATACAAATGAAGGGGAAGAGGGTGACCACTTTGTTCAGTGTAGTGTTGATCGAAATTATTGCAGTTGATTTCCCAAATGACATTTGATTAGTCTTCTTTAGTTGTTGGGTCCTTTGGTCTGCATAATATTGTTTGAAGGAAATTTGTTTGTTTATGAGCTACACTAATTCCAAGTGGTCTCAGTAATCTTGTCTGATTTGCTCTTGATGTACGGTAGGATTATCCGTTTGTTAGTTTCTCTCGATGACTTTTTGGCTAATGATGCACGGGATAGGCACATTCTGATAAAGTTTCGTGGGTAGCCGTATGTTTATCATTGGTTCCTCCAAACCATGGGGATTTACCACATCCTTACCTTAAGGGAAAGTGGTGAGATAATATAATCGTTTGCCAGTTTATATGAAGCACCCGCTGAAAACGTTTTTATTTATAGATTGGATTAGTTTACCGGGACACACACTGATGCAATATTATATACTGAATGGCGTTTCGAAGAAAATTTACTGCACATAATTACCCCAAACTTCTTATAATGTTATACTATCCTAAAGTCTTCCAGGATTACCTTCATATAATGAATATTTTTTCTGTGAATTATCACATTAAAAATAAGGTCGACCGCTTTTCCTTTTGTACCAAGAAAAACCAAGTTAAAAAATTAAAAGTCAAGTAACTCAGCAATCATATATAGGCTGATTTTCTATAAAATCACTCGCACTTATCGCAATAAGACTAATGATGCTAAGCGATTGCTCAAATTGTAATATGTGAGACAAGTATTTAGTCCCTGATCTACGAATTAGAAATCAAAACGTCTAGATCAATGACCTATAACATAGATGCAAATCATACTCAATATTTAACAATTATCAAACTATAGTTTGTTTTTCAGAGATCAAGTTTTACAGTCATCTGAATTGTGTAGAAAAATCGTGGCACTGAGACAGTACTATTTATTTTATTAAACGGATTTATATCAAGGCAGAAAACTATACAATAGTATAGTAGTACAGTATTCACTGGGAGAAGAAATTTGAAGTTTCAACAACTCATCTGACTTTCTGTAAATAAATCAATAGTTTTTGTGTGTATTGCAAAAAGGATCATTGGAGACAGCATAACCATCACCAGCATTTTACCAACATAAAATATTCACAGATGATATAAATCCTATAACCAATCAGTTACATACACAAAAAGTAAGTGGTTAGTTATGCGATTATAAAATATCAGCTTCAACACAAAACTATACTTGTCACACAAGCGGTAGCTGTCATGATACAGAAGTCTAGTAGACAAGGCTTTGGCATTTAAGGTGCTGGGTTATGGATCTAAGTTTCAAAACAAAACCTTTCACTGGCTACATCTAGCTGATGAGTCCCAAGTAGGAGGAAACACATGTCCTGGGTTCCACTTATGGCCACTGTCTATCATTACTAGTATACTTATTGTTGTGCATATTTCATACTTGTACTGTAGTAATAAAGGTTATTTCGAAACTCATTTAACTTTCCTACTTTCCACGGTTTTAACTATGATTATCAATGTTTAGTAATGATGGGCAGTGGCTAGTAGTGGAATACAAGCAATAACACTATGATTATCAATACTATTAAGAATTTCAGACACTGTACTTATTTTTAAAAATAAAAGTTTCTACAATCACTGGTTAAATTGCCTAAACCTGTAGAAATCAGAAAATATTTGTTTCAAATGAAGGAAAATGCATGAACTCTGTCTCTTTCTCTATCAATCTCATTATGTGAATATGATATTTATGATGATCCGATCGATTTTATTACTGTCTATAAAGTTATTGCATTTTTATTTTAATAACTACAAATCAGGTGGTATTTTCCATGAACTTAAATAATTTCATAAGATTTTATTTCGTCACCTATAGCGATTACAGTTTAATGAAAGAAACAAATTTTATATCACAGGATTCGTTGATACAGAAGAGTAATTAGACAAGTAAATCCAATATTTTGATTGTCAGTAATGTGGTCAAAATGTATGTAACCATTTGTCGCTTGTCATGCAGATAGTCAGAGATCCTACATACCAAGAATCCATAATATTATCGTGATTGTGAATATGAATGTATTCTTGCAAAGACTTAGGTCGCTCTTCATCGACAGTTCGAGAAGGTAGCCCTTCTTCCAATCGATCAGCAGGTAACTTTACTCCCTTCCAGACCTACTGCAATAATGGTATGAGCATGTCCACTGCCGTTGTTTCTGCGTCTGTTTTCAGTGCTTGCGATGGGATTCCATCTGGTCCTGCTACTTTCCCGCACTTCAGTAGCTTCGTGGAGTTCAGGACCTCGACTTTCGGCGGAGGGTTTGTGTTTACTTGTAGTCCTGTGGCTGTAGGTGGTATTTCTGGACGAAGTGCAGGTGATGGTCGATTCAAGAGTTTTCTGAAGTGGATAGTCCATCCTTTCCTTTGTTTCTCTTATTTGGTAATTATATTTCCTTCATCATCTTTTATTGATTTCATTTGTGTTGATCTCTTCTCTCCCAGATGGCGGTAACCTGGTTTTTTGATGTAATGTTGTCGAGTCTCTGTCTCTCCTACCAGCAGCCTGTTCTGGTTCACTTGCCAGCGATTCGTAGAAGTGTCTTTTGTCTTTGCGTGCACTTCTCTTCACTTCTTTGTCCAGTGTACTCAGTCCCTCTTCTCGTTGTTCATCCTTGTACTGGTTTATCTTCTGCTTCACCATCCTCTTCTCCTCTATCAGCTTCCACGTGTCCACTGAGATCCATTCCTTGCCTTGACCCTTCTTTTTCCTTCGTAATACGGTTATTCAGGTTTACTTCCACATAGCTTTCAAAGTTCCAGTGTTCCTCCACACAGGTTTGTTTGGGGATGTTGCTCGACATCCCTCATTTTGTCTTGATGGCTGACGTGAAGATTTCCTTTGTACTTTCGTCACTCAGTTTCTGTTCTGGGTGTTTAACTTGAACTGTGGTCTTCTATCACCAACTTGCTTGAATACTTTCACCTTGACTTTAAAGGTAGGTTCCTTGCACTAGATAGTGAGTGGTATGAATCTACTTACATCTGCTCCCCTTCTTGATCTTGTGTTCACTAGGCTGACTGCATTTCAACTTTCTTCACATTGAGATGAAGTCGATCTGATTTTTAGTGTATCCATCTTATGAGACCAAATCCATGTCGCTTTGTGGATATCCTTGTGTTTGTACACACTGCCTCCAATCACCAAATCGTTGAATACACAGAATTCTGCAAACAGTTCTCCGTTCTCATTCATTTCACCGAGCGCCTCTCGCCCCGTGATCAGTTCTCTTTCTGTGTTGTCCCCTCCCAGTTTGGCATTCATGTCACCCCACCCATTAGAATTTTGACGTCGCCAAGTGGTGTGGGGTCTTGTCTAGTGGTGATTGCAGTTGTGTGTAGAATTTCTCCTCCTTCCCTTCATCTGTATTATTTGTAGGTGCATAGCGTAGCATTGTATGATTGTAACTTTCCTTCCTTTTGAGTTAAATCTTGCTGTCATGATCCTGGTGCTGGAGGAGATTGGTCCTTATTGCCTGAGAGCCTTTGATGCTCTTGGGGACATCATGATAGTCACTGGAAATCTCAGTGTGCTGTTCTTGTGGTTGTCGTCTGGGTTACAGTATCAGAGTAGATTATTGACTCTCCTCTGCAGTTGACAGTTTGAAGTGTCCACTTCCATTCGATCTGATTTCGCAGATTCCTAGCATTTCCATGCCATACCTCCTCATGTCTTTTGCAATCTAGGCAACCTTGCCAGCCAGCTTCAAACATTGTGTGGACATTGCATGTCCCTATGCTTACTTTTGCTTTCATCGAGAGAAGAGAAGACACATCGACCAATTGGCTCCTGGAGGGCTTTCACCAACCGGCGTCATTTCGTCTTCCCGATTCCAGAGAGGAATAAGTTTTTTTTTCATTTTTATATTTTGTCTGTACTTCGATGTTTCTGTAGCGATTGGACTGGTTTTCCGTGGTAGGAATGCTAGTCCTATGACCACGTAACCTTCCCTGTTTACCCGGGCTTAGGACCGGGTAGTAACTAGTGAACTAGTTGACCAGGTGAGGTTGAAATTGATGTTAGCACACTTATTTTGATCTCATGAAAGAAATTTTCTATCCTCTTTTACGAAGTACCATGTAATCATTTGAAATTTCTTATTTTTCTAGATTATAAACATAGACCATTGTTACATCTTAAGGGAGCAATGTTCTATATCGAAGAATGGTCGATGTTACTTTTTATTGGTAAACCGAGGTGAGTCAGTTGTGTATTCGAAAACAGAAACCATGAGAGCAGGATAAAAAGGATCTATTTTGTTTCGGTGGTATTTTTACCAACTGCTTACAACCTAGAATAGTAAAATATATAGTTTTACGAAAAATTTAGCTAAAAGAAAGCAAGATATCGGTCGGTGATTGTGATGGATGGAAATTGTCATAGACTGAAGTTCAATCATAGCGGTATATTCAAGGAAGGTTAGTAAATGATAAGAAATTTTCACAAGTATACGCATTATTCGATAAAAGTTTCTCGAATAGAAATAACGACAGGAGCTTAGCAGTCAAAAAAAGATGGATTCAACTTTGTGAAATTGCTTAAGTAGTCAGACGATAAATAAGTTGCTAAATAAACATGTAAAATACTATGAGCAAGGCTCAACTAGTTAAAAGCCTTCAATATGAACAAAAGATGATGCAACTAAACAAGATTGAAGGAATAAACATCCAAGGTTCACAAAGGGTGATATAATCTCCTATAACAGTCAGTGAATTTAAGTATGTAACACTCTCAATTAATCTATGTGTTTTGATATTCTGGATCGTAAGGAGTTGACAAGATACTACCAAAACCAGATGGATCCTTTTTATCCCGTTCCCATTATTGTTCTTTCTCCTTTCGAATTCATAAAGCAGAATTCGTGCAAGAAATTAACTTCATATATTTCTTTGTAAAACAGTGACAGTACTTGTTATTCTTGTCATTTTAGGCATCCCTTACCTTTCAGTCGACTATAAATTTTCATTCACAAAATTCAGCTTGGTCTACAAGCTCTGAATAAGTGATTTTTTAAGTGCTTAGATATATTCCCTCAATTTAGGTGTATAATAATTTACGGGTTACTACCGTTTTAATTGGCTTGCAAGTTATCAAAGCTTTGTAAGGTATCAAGTCTCTATCATCAATGTTGTACAAAACTCCTGGTATTATTTTCCAACGTTGAGACCTCTATTGAAGATAATGTACCCAGTTTGCAAAGTTTAGCTGACATATCTTCTTGTAGAACAATATGATGTCAAAATCGTGTATGATTTCATCGTAAGTAAAAACCTATTTTTGAATTTCTTTCCAAGAAATTTGGAATCAAAGGGATTCTCCAACAATCAACCAAACGCTCGAGTTACGCGTATAATCCAAAAGACGGAATTTTTCTGAGACACAGTTCTGTATTAATAAACATTTACGAATAATAAATTACAAACCTCGAGTCGTTAGGTATCTTAAAGAGAGAGTTCATCAATTGTACAACAGCAAGATTCGGTTCAAGGAAAAGCAGAATGGAATATAAAGGATAAGCGTATATTCTCATGATGAAGTAAGGATAAGGGATAAACAAATGTTCAGGGTAACATGGGAGATCAAGGATCTAGAAATGTTAAATAATGAACAAGGTACTATTTAATGGAATGAACAATGAAGTTCAGAATGAAGTGACATTAAAGATAAACATGAACTATACTACTCAACAGTATTGAGTAGCATAAAACTAAAGATATAAAAAGAGATACAAGGTCAGAATTACATTGCGTAAAGGAGAACAAGATAAGCTATAAATAAACACTACCATATTTTAACGTTTCATTATAGCTGTATTCATGTTAGAGACAGTTAATCCAAAATACCTATATAAGAATGTAAAAAGCTCAGTAAAGCACCATTGTATAATATAGGCTTATAACGACTGAATAACATACTTTAAAATTTCATATATTTTCTTCTACAGTAACAGTAAAAAACAGTGCTTCTTTAAAATATAATGAATAATAAGTACAGAGTTTAGTCTTACTGATTGATTTTTGTTCTGTGAAGTCACGATGTTAGGATGACGTGTCACAGAACTAAAGTCCTAATAATATACTGATCAAGAAATTTAGCATTTATGTTACTCTACTAGAAACTCTATTTTTCTCAACACTGAGACATTTATATTCCACAGTTTAAGGTCAAGTCAATGAAACTAGGTCATCAATTCTTTAATGTCAATGATGCTGTTTAATAATAGTCATATTTAATTATTTTTCTTATTTTGCTAAGTATTATGAAAGCAAAGTCAATGGTCGAGTTAGGCCTTCATTTACAAGATTTGAATATGTACGACAGATCAGCTGAAACAGTGGTTCAAGGTGATTCAATGTCTGAAGAACTTCTACTTTTACTAAAAAAGGTATCTTAAAAAAGTATTTTCAATTCAGGTTCATTAACTGTTTTATCTGAGCTATTTGAATCAACTTGCCTATTCTGGATTTATCTGATTTATCATAAGCTGATTCACAGAAAAGTTTTCTCAAAAGTCATTTTCAGCAAGCAAGTATTCTCGATTCTATCATACATACTATCATGTTGAATATAGACTCAACATATTCATCTGGCATTTTGCATAAGTAAAATGGTATTTTCAAAATTTTGGAAATCTTCGATTGTAATATATGAAGAGAGTTCGCAACATTAATTCGACACATAGTAACTAGATTATGGAACATGTCTGGCTTCGAGTTCAGAGTATAATATGCCTAATGCTTGGTCAGGAGAACTTAGGGATTTGGGTTTAATCCTTGGAGAGGTTGTATATGTGTACCACTTTGGACTTCCATACTATGACAAAACAGCTACCCAGTGACCTTAGGTTGTAAAAATCTTCCGACTGGTATCAGTCAATGAGGAACACCATCCTGAAACCAATCAACCCCCCCCCCCATAACCTCATAAAATGGATTACTTCTGGGACAGTAACCATAATCACGTATACATATAGCTTTCTTCTAGTTGCCTTATCTTTTGACTCATTTGAGTTCTATGATTTTTAGATTTCATTCCTATTTTACTATAATAATTATTGAGGACATTACATAGACAAAATAGAAAAAGAATTTTCAAGCACATATTATTTTTGGTCTACCTTCAGTCTTCTTACAAAAGGTTGCGGTGTGTATTCGCATTTTGATTCTTAGACTAATCATATTGTAATAATGGGATATATTCTCAAAATGAACCTGTAACCAAACTTCAGAAAAAAATCTCAATCATGGATACACATTTACTGAAGCATCTGTGAGATTTTTATGTAGATTCGAGATGATCGAAGACCATCCTGCCACACTATATGCTTTTGGAAGTTTATATCATCATTAGACGTTATTTTCAGAGATTAAGATGAATGCTTTATGGTAAGTTAAACATACAGCTATTGTCAACAGTATATGTATAGTTTGTCGATGGATAAGCAATTTTATCCGCTTTAAGAATAACAAATCAAACTATTTTTGGCATGCTAATATGGTTACCAAAGACCTTAAATCTTCTTGTACTTTTATATTGCTAAAATCATCAGTAATTACGCAAGTATCAAACAGTAAATGCTGTTATGATACTTATAATTTCCTACTGCCATACAGGTCAGAACTGATTTACCTCTGTTGGCAGATAGGTCCTTATGTAGATGCCGCGAAATTGCAGATAATTTGTGATGTTATATTGATCTTGGCGACTAGCAGAGGAAATCGAGGATGCGTGCTACATCTTACTTGAGATTTACTAGTCATGTGGGCGCATCTGCAAACCAGTGAGTGATGATTTTCCCACTGAGGCATTAGCCCATTACACGTCGCTTCAAGCATCAGAGCGATAGACATCTAGCCACTGGGGCACGATAGCCACTTTTTGTGCAACAAGTGTTAGTCCGAGCAATTCACTCCTGTTCACTTCAAGTGAACGTAGAGGAAGAAGACAGAGGTGATAAAGATACCCAACCAACAACAGTAACAACAACAACAAGCACCAATCGTCATCTACAGGAGAAATCTAAAGCAACGAGTCTCTTTCACCTATCTAGGCAAGGCAGCATAGTCTCAACTACAGCCGGCCGCACAAATGAGGACGTCAAAGCCATCCAGGATCGGAAAGACAGTGAGACAGGCCTTCCTGTATTTACCTGAAATCAGTGTGCAGATCTACTGAACTGGACTCAGCACAAAGCGTGAACAACATCCAGATTTTCAACACCAATTCAGTCAGTCAAGTCACTGCTTCTATGGGATGGTTGAGAGACTTGGCGCATCACCAAAAGCATTTCCAACAAACCACACACACTCTTCAACAACTGCCGCCTACACTCACTCGATACTGAAGATCAGATCAGGAGGTTAGAAAGAATAATCAACAAGGGACTGTGGCCTGTCGACGAACCAACCAAGAACCCATCACCCAACAGATGTGCAGAAGAAAGTGGAGATGGATTGGATTGGATATAGAATGAGAAGACCATTTGGTGACACAATGTGGCAGGTAAGGCGAGGTTGTCGAGTGGAATGCAAATGGGGAACGACGACTTGGGTGTCTGAGGAGAGGAGAGGCGAGGCGAGGCGGGCGGGGTGGGGCGGGGCGGGGCAAGGCGAGGTGAAGGTGACATGGAAGAGATGGTGTGAGGAAGAAATGAAGGCTTGCGGGCAGTGGTGCAGTGAGGTTGAAAAGACTGGAGAGAGGAGAGTGAAATGACAACGTGCAACTGAAGGATTATGTTCCACTACGAACCCAAAGGACAAATAACAACAATAGGAATAGCCATGGCGTTTGAAGCGATAGGCAGTGGGTTGAAGCGTCAGTGGGAACAAAATGATTCACTCGAGCTGGTGGGTCCCAAGTAGGATGAAACGCGCTTTCTGTATTCCTCTGCTATTCATCAAGATCAATATGAAGAGTAACTGTTAAATTCCCCTTAGAGGGTAGAGTGATTGCCTTTTGACCAGATTACGGGACGGAATACAACTTGGCATCTAGGCTGGCCTAATCCAGAAGATGTGTTTTGACCATCCTAGCTAGACATCTATGATGCTCACTGACTACTTCTGTCGAAGTAACTGAGGAGTGTTTTAACCCTGGACTAATCGGTTGAAACTCGAATGTGTGTATCAGTGAGCTAACTTTTTCTCTTTTGAAAGAAGAGTTGAGACTGCCTTTGAATTGATGGGAATCTTCTCTAAGTAACTGAGCCGAAAGAATAACGTAATAAATCTCTATGACGCAGCAAACAAAATCTTTCCACTTATCAAGTTGTATATATACTATATTTCACCTATATCAAATAAGTAAACTACTATATGTCTCTGCTGTTCGTATTTCAATTTTAGCAAAAGAAAGAAAGCAAAGAATTGACAAAAACAGCCAGACGACTTGATGGACAGAGAAGAAAAACTTTTGATTTATTGATTCAGTGCTTACCTAGGGAAGTTGCAAAACAAATACGTCAAGGGATGCTACCTTCAGAAACTATTAAGGTGAAGTTTTCATTTCTGTGAAAACCCTTGTTTGAATGTTTTTCTTTTTTTAATGAATAAACAGTTATTTGCTGGATATTTGTTACAATGATGTAAGTTAAGTCGAACTGTATCAGTATGCATTGACTCAAAGTTGATTCGCAACAAATGCCTACTTTGTTATTCCGTCACGTCAGGAATAAAAGAATCAGGAGATAAAATCAAGACGTTTCATTGTTTTTGAATGACACTTGAAGCATTTCTTTGAGAAATCTTGAAAGTCTATTTAAGTAATGTTTCTGACAATTCAGGGTTTTTGTTTATTCATTGTGAAGTAATAAGAAAAGGTTCCAATGGTGTTAATATCTGCGACTTCCCACATACTTCAGACAAACTCACAATCTCTGAAATCCTCCAAAATATACCGAAGCTTCATCAGAATACACATGTTCACACGTGAAAATGTTCAGCTAACCGGAAATAAAAAATCTACAAACAGTACCTGTCTACAAGAGCCTGAAATAACCAAGACCACCAAATGTATATATTTATCGTTTCATGGCCAGTGTATTATTATTATTATTATTATTATTATATTACTATTAGCCCCTTGGGTTCCTAATGGAACATAGGGCTTCAGTAACACGTCTCCATTCCACTCTCTTCTCTGAAGTCTTTTCAACCTGGCTACATGACAGCCCACAACCTCTCATTTCCTCCTTGCACCATCTCCTCCATGTCACCCTCACCTCAGATGCCCAACTCGTCGTTTCCCATCTGGGTTCCACTCGAGCAACTGGCCTGACGTGCGATGTCTCCAGTCGGCCTTCTCAGTGTATGCCCAACCCAACCCAACCCAATCCATCTCCACTTCCTTCCAGTGCATATTTGTTGAGCGACAGATTCTTGGTTGGTTTGTCAGCAGCCAGAGTTCCTTGTTGCTTATTCTCATTATTCTGGCAGTCCATCTGAGCTTCAGTAGGGAGCCAGTGTAGGTGGCAGTTGTTGATGAGTGTCTGTAGTTTGTTGTAAATGCTTTTTGTAACGCGCCAAGTCTCTGAAGCATACAGAAGCAGTGACTTGACTGGATTAGTGTTGAAAATCCAGATCTTGTTCTTTGTGCTGAGTTGAGTGCAGAAGATCTCCACACTGGTTTCAGGTTAATGAAAGCCTGTCTTGCTTTTCCGATTCTGACTTCGACATCTTCATCTGTCCCTCCTATAGTTGAAACAGTGCTTCCTAGATAGGTGGAGGAGGTTACTTCCTTTAAGTTTCTCCAGTTCATGGTGATTAGAGTTTGTTGTTGTTGGTGCGGTATCTTCATCACCTCTGTCTTCTCTATATTCACCTGAAGTCCCGTCTTCGCTGCCTCTTCTATCAACTTGTTAGTTTTCGCCTGTAGATCTTCAAGTTTGTGTGACATCAGACACAAGTCATCGGCGAAATCCAGATCTTCTAGATTCTTTTCCGCAGTCCAGCCAGCGTATCCCCCTCTTCTTGCTCCCCACTGTTTGCCGCATGATCCAGTCGACCACAATCAGGAATATCATGGGGGATAGTAGGCAACCTTGTTTCACTCCTGTCTTCACTTCAAAGGCATCACTGAGCTTCCCACTGTGAATTACTTGGCATGTGGTGTCTTCATATAGTTGTTGAATAAGGCCGATAAAAGTTTGTGGTACTCCGTAGTAATGAAACAGTTTCCAAATTACCTCTCGGTCGACGCTGTCAAAGGCCTTCTCAAAGTCGATAAAGTTGAGGTAGAGAGCTGACTGCCATTCTATGCTCTGTTCTATGATGATACGAAGCGTTGCAATTTGGTCTGCACATGATTTGTACTTCCTGAAGCCTGCCTTTTCCAGTCGTAGTTTTGAGTCCAGTGCATCCTTTAGCCTCTCCAGTATGATGCGGCTTAATATTTTGCTTGGTGTGGGTGGACAGGAGAGTGATTGCGCTCCAGTTCTTGCAAACACTGAGGTCTCCCTTCTTCGGCAGTTTGACAAGGTAACCCTTCTTCCAATCGCCAAGTACCTTCTCTTCCTTCCAGACTTTTTGCAATAGTGGTGTGAGCATGTCTGCTGTTGTCTCTGCGTCTGTTCTCAGTGCTTCTGGCGGTATTCCATCTGGTCCTGCTGCTTTCCCACATTTCAGTAGCTTTATGGCGTTCAGGACTTCCATTTTTGTTGGAGGATTTGTGTTCACTGGTAGTTCTGTGACTGGGCTGCATGTGGTATTTCTGGAAGAAGTGCAGGTGGTGGTCGATTCAAGAGCTTCTTGAAGTGGTCGGCCCATCGTTTCCTCTGTTTCTCTTCTTTTGTAATTAGATTTCCTTCTTCATCTTTTATTGGTTTCATCTGTGTTGGTCTCTTCCCTGATAGCAACCTGGTTATTTGATACAATGTCGTCAGGTCTCTCTTACCTGCAGCCTGTTCTGCTTCACTTGTCAGTGTTTCGTAGAAGTGTCTTTTGTCTTTGTTTGCACTCTTCTTCACTTCTTTGTTCAGTGTTTTATACATTGTGCTCAGTTCCTCTTGTCGTTGAGCATCGTTGCGCTGGTTCATCTTCTGCTTCACCATCCTCCTCTCCCTTCTCTATCAGCTTCCATGTATCCGTCGAGATCCATTCCTTGTCTTCTTTCTTCTTCCTTCCTTATACGGCTGTGCAGGTTTCTTTCCGCATCTCTTCCAAAGACTTCCAGTGTTCTTCCACACAGGTTTCTTCAGGGATGTTCCACGATATCTCCCATTTTGTCTTGATGGCTGCCGCGAAGATCCCCTTTGTAGTTTCATCCTTCAGTTTCCGGGTGTTGTACTTGAACTGTGGTCTATCACCAGCTTCCTTGAAGGCTTTCAACTTGATTTGGAAGTTAGGTTCCTTGCACTAGATAGTGGTCTGAACTTACATCTGCTCCTCTTCTTCACTTTGTGTCAAGCAGACTGCACCTACACTTTCTTGAGGTTGAGATAAAGTCGATCTGATTTTTAGTGTGTCCTGGTGTCTGGTGAAATCCATGTCGCTTTGTGGATATCCTTGTGCCTGAACACACTGCCTCCAATCACCAAATCGTTGAATGCACAGAATTCTGCAAACAATTCTCCATTCTCATTCATTTCACCTAGCGCCTCTCGACCCATGGTTAGTTCTCTTTGTGTGTTGTCCCCTCCCAGTTTGGCATTCATGTCGCCCATTAGAATTTTGATATCGCCAACTGACGTCTTGTCCAGTATTGATTTAAGTTGTCATGGCCAGTGTATAGCAACAGGAAATTACAAGTATTATAACACCAACTGATACCCGTTGCACATAAGGTGGTTATCGTGCCCCAGTGGCTTAATGGATAACCGTCTGATGCTTGAAGCGATGGGTAGTGGGTTGGAACCTCAGTGGGAACGACTTCACTCACTGGTGTGCAGGTACATCCAGCTGACTAGTAAGTCCGAAGTAGGACGAAACGCGTGCTAGTCACCAAGATCAATGTAACTTTTTGATATGATCTAGTTTGCTGATAATATGTTCATAAATTCAGTTATTATTGTTTGGCTTCTATTATTTATTTTAATTAGGATATCGAAAACAAGCACCTTCATTAGGTAAACTAGTGAATGTTGCCTTAGACGCAATAAACCATTGGTAGTTAAAATCTCAGTGAACTAAGAGTCATTTATATGGATTTCATACTTTACCAAATTAATCATATACCAACTGTAGGTTTACTGAATGCTTACCTCTACTTAAATAAATAAAATAGATTAAACTACGTGTCGATGGAATTCCCTTGAATTATTACGAAGAACTGCTCTAATGCCAAAGAACTCCTGGTCCTTACACATGATTATAAGAATATAAGCTTTGATAGGGAGAATATGCCTGAAACGCATTTAACTACTCTACGACTACGCCTTCACATATTAAAAATGTTAACTAGTTATCAAGCTTTTCTGATGTCAAAGTCAGAATCGGAAAAGCAAGACGGGCGTTCATTAGCCTGAGACCAGTGTGGAGATCTTCTGCACTCAGCATGTGGAACAAGATCCGGATTTTCAACACCAATGTCAAGTCAGTGCTTCTGTATGGCTCAGAGACTTGGCGCGTCACGAGAAGGATTTCCAATAAACTACAGACATTCATCAACATCTGCTTACGCTGGCTCGATACTGAAGATCAGATAGCCAGAAAGAATAAGCAACAAGGAACTCTGGGAACGAACCAACCAAGAACCTATCACGCAACAAATATGCAGGAGGAAGTGGAGATGGATTGGCCATGCACTGAGAAGGCCGACTGAGGACATCACGCGTCAGGCCAATTGCTCGAGTGGAATCCCCATGGGAAGCGACGAGTTGGACGTCCGAGGGTGACATGAAGGAGATCGTGTGAGGAGGAAATGAGAGGTTGTGGGCTGTCGTGGGACCAGGTTCAAAAGATCTCAGAGAACAGAGTGCACTGGAGACGTGCTACTGAAGCCCTATGTTCCACTAGGAACCCAAGGGACTAATAATAATAATAATAATAATAATAATAACAATAATAAAAGTTATCCAGCTAATTTCTAAATAAGCTTTCCTGTTGCATGTTGTCATTTTCAAGGTTCATTATTTTTACTTCAACACATTTTAAATTGTATTGAAAAGATTTCTACTTATAATTGAAAAAAATACTCAGAAATTTCCACTGAAAGATAAACCATGTTACTATTTTTTTTTCTCATTGCGAGGATTAGATGAAAATAATAATTCTTAACTTTTGTTTATCTTTAGTTGCTATAGTCTTACAGAGGTAAAACACTGGTTAACAAGTCTATTTAAGTTGTATGTTGGTGCATTAATAGCATTGTCACGGAGAACGCGTATTAGTTGACATTAATGTTTATTAAATTTTGAGGGGGTTGTGGAGATTTGGAAATATTTCAAGTTGTTATTCATCGAAGACTGACATCAGTTGGAGGAACAAAGGAAACCTGGGAGCACTGGACAGCTGTTTCGTCCTAGTATGGGACTCCTCAGCAGCGCCCACCCACGACCCCACCAGCAGGGATCGGACCCGCGACCTTCAGGTTCCGCGACCAGCGCGTTACCATTGAGCCACTGGGTCAGAATCCAATGCTCCGTATTTCCAACTTCTGTTAGCTCACGATATAGCGCGAACCGTCACCTAATGTCATCGTTGAGTATTTGTCCTCACGGCCATCAGTCTTGACTCCACCGGTCACGACTTGTCATTGGAACTTCGGGAATACTTCTCGAAGCTAGTCACCAATGAGCACTAGTTCAATTAAATTTTGAGGGGGTTGTGGAGATTTGGAAATATTACAAGTTGTTATTCATCGAAGACTGACATCGTGAGCTAACAGAATTTGGAAATATGGAGCATCGGATTCTGACCCAGTAGCTCAATGGTAACGCGCTGGTCGCGGAACCTGAAGGTCGCGGGTTCGATCCCTGCTGGTGGGGTCGTGGGTGCGCACTGCTGAGGAGTCCCATACTAGGACGAAACAGCTGTCCAGTGCTCCCAGGTTTCTTTTGTTCCTCCAACTGATGTCAGTCTTCGATGAATAACAAATTAATGTTTATTATCTATCTACTAACTTGAAGTGGTTTGTATACCTTAATATATTTTATTCATTATAAGTATTCCAGTAATTGACATCAAAGGAATCAATTAATCATTAATTCTTAGTTATCACAGTAAATTTATTGCTAAGAAATATAAGTCATTACACTGAATATATCCTTTGTTAAGATTGGTAAACGTGAGTTACAGTCAAAATGGATATTTGAACTTATTATCTCTTACCAATTAGTGTAAACCGAACTAGTCCTAGTCTGCTAGCATACGAGTTCCTTTGTAAATGCCTTGAAACAGTTGGTGATTACCTTTCGATATTGAGAAAGGATAGCGGTTAGCGGTAGGATAGAGAATGTGAGTTTCGTTCCACTTCAAAATTATCTGGATGTATCTACACTCCATTGAGTAGTTTCATTTAGGAAGTTTATAAATTACTCAAAGAATAATTCTAATATTTTAGCGTTTAACGTCTAATAATTAATTTATATTTGTTAGTCGCTAGGTTAGTTTCGAAGTGAGACGCTTCATTGTAACAACCACCAAAATGAATGTTTTTATATTGCAAACACTTGAAATGTATAAGCATCCTAGGGTTTTTTTTAACTGTCTTCCATTATATATTTTTTTTCAGACGTATGATTCAGTTACAATATGTTTCACAAAAGTGGTTAATTTCTCCAATTATTGTAATCGAATGTGTGCACAGGAAATTGTAGGTGTACTTAATCGAATGTATACCCTTTACGATTCAATGACTGGATCGTATAATGTTTACAAGGTAAGAACCTATTATATTATGTCATTTATATGTCACTGCTTGCATTGTTTCAAGAAGCTATTAGGATTATTATAGAAAAGACAAAGGTCGCTATTGGATTCAGAAATAATGGACCTTTTCTAACTAGTTGGAGATTACTTATGCTAAAAGCTCTGGGTAGTTCCTAGTCACTATTTTGTGTGAATAAATGAGGATTGCTTTTAAACATGAAATATTCACTTCTTTTAGGTCAATTCTTACTCAGGTATACAAGATGGTTTGCTTATGTAGTTCAGACATTCACAAAGTCTTGTTTCGTTTGAAGTAACACTGCATTATGAATATGTTCAATAGCCAGAAGCAAGTAGTTGAATTCTACACCTATATGGATGAGCTTCATTGTATACTACTGAATACTACATATTGTAATTGCCACCGAATGATGAGTTATTTTAATGAAAGTAGATAAATTTTCCATTCCATGAACTGATAAGTTAGATCATAAAGTTTGTGTATTTAACAATATCTCATGTATATCATAGGATTTTAACAGGTGCCAACTTATAAATAAAGAAATTAGATTATCAGTTTGAATTTGTGAGTTAGATAAGCCTTAGCATACTTGCATTGATACTGGGTGACTGATGAATGAAGGTGAGATAAGAATCTAGACCGCTTCATGATTTGAACCATCAGTCCTCCCGTTCCAACCGAGTGATTTACCAGCTGAGCTACGATACCAACCTGAAGACCAGATCTGGTTATTATTATTATTACTTGTTCTTTGGGTTCGTAGTGGAATATAATCCTTCAGTTACACGTTGTCATTTCACTCTCTTCTCTCCAGTCTTTTCAAACTCACTCCACCACTACCCACAAGCCTTCATTTCTTCCTCACACCATCTCCTCCATGTCACCCTCACCTCGCCTCGCCTCTCCTCTCCTCAGACACCCAAGTCGTCGTTCCCCATTTGCATTCCACTCGACGACCTCGCCTTACCTGCCACATCGTGTCACCAAATGGTCTTCTCATTCTATATCCGATCCAATCCATCTCCACTTTCTTCTGCACATCTGTTGGGTGATAGGTTCTTGGTTGGTTCGTTGACAGGCTACTGTTCCTTGTTGATAATTCTTTCTAGCCTTCTGATCTGATCTTCAGTATCGAGTGAGTGTAGGCGGCAGTTGTTGAAGAGTGTGTGTGGTTTGTTGGAAATGCTTTTGGTGATGCGCCAAGTCTCTCAACCATCCCATAGAAGCAGTGACTTGACTGACTGAATTGGTGTTGAAAATCTGGATGTTGTTCACGCTTTGTGCTGAGTCCAGTTCAGTAGATCTGCACACTGATTTCAGGTAAATACAGGAAGGCCTGTCTCACTGTCTTTCCGATCCTGGATGGCTTTGACGTCCTCATTTGTGCGGCCGGCTGTAGTTGAGACTATGCTGCCTTGCCTAGATAGGTGGAAGAGACTCGTTGCTTTAGATTTCTCCTGTTGATGACGATTGGTGCTTGTTGTTGTTACTGTTGTTGGTTTGGTATCTTTATCACCTCTGTCTTCTCTACGTTCGCCTGAAGGGAATCCCGTCTTCCTTCGCTGTATCGCCTCTACTGCCAACTTGTAGGTTTTCGCCTGTAGATCTTCGAGTTTGTGCGACAAGACATTAGACACAAATCATCATCGGAGGAATCTGAATCTCCAAGGGTCTTTTCATCAGTCTTATCAAACAGCGTATGCCTTTCTTCTCACATCTCACCGTTGACCGTTGAATGATCCAGTCCAGTCGACCACAATCTTGATAGTAGCCGGCGAGCTTGTCTTACTCCTGCCTGTCTTCACTTCAAAGGCATCACTGAGCTTTCTTTGTGAATCACTTGACGTGTATCACCACACAGCATATAGCTGCTGTTGAATGTGGTTGATAAAGGTTTGTGACACTAAAACCGTAGTGTTGAAGCAGCTGCCTGACAAATTACTTCTCGGTCGACGCCTCGATCAAAGGTCTTTTCAAGGTCGATGAAGTTGAGATAAAGAGTTGCTGTTCTGCCATTCTATTCTGTGTTCTATGATGATGCGTAGCGACGTAGGGTTGGAATTTGATCCGCACATGATTTGTTCTTCCTGAAGTCAACCAATCTGTTCTGGTTGTGATTTTGAATGCAGAGCATTTTCTGTTTAGCCTCTCCAGTATGATGTGGCTTAATATTTTGCTTGTATTGGACATGGTTAGGATCATGATATCTCTCTAGTTCTTACAAAGAAGACCAGGTCTTTTTTCCCTTGACTCATCATGGTTTTCGTCCCGGTGCAATATAAATTCGTTACGCGTTACTGCTGCTTTATCGTATTCATATTGGCTACCCAATCAGGAACTCTAATGCCATTCCAAGGCAACCTGAGCATCATACTGATTATCAGTTTGACTATCTGAGATATTTGTCGTTTAGTAGATTTTTATTTATACTGGGTGGTGACTGAGGTAAATAAATGCTGAATAATTTACATTGAAATAAGAGTGAAACCATTTACATTCACTGCCGCATGACTTCATAAAACCAGTCTATGAGATGCACAATGTCATCTCATACAATTGAAAAAATAGCACCAATTTTCAAAAGCATTTTTTGACAGTCACCACAGTAACAGGTCATACGAGTTCTATACCATTCGGTGAATACTGTATGGTTTAACCATCTTCATATGATTGATATAACGGTATCAAATATGCGCCAAGCAACAAAATATGAACAATGAAGTTGAAAACAATAATTGTTAGTGTAAACACGATAAACATTTCATGGAATTGGAAAAATCATGAGTCTAACATGTAATCAAAGAAATTTCTTTCTTTCTCATCCGAAGGTTGAAACTGTAAATGATAGCTACATGTTAGTATCTGGTGCTCCAAGTCCATCCCCTTTCCATTCTGCTCATATAATCGAAATTGCACTGGATATCTTAGAATCAACAAAACAAAACCTATTTTGGCCAAGTGAAGCTATTTCGAAGGATCTAACGAAAACTCAACATGAAGAAAATGTACCACTTCAATTATGCATTGGTTGTCATACTGGTTCCATTGTTGCTGGAATTGTTGGATTTAAATCACCAAGATTTTGTCTATTTGGTGATACGGTTAATACTGCCAGTAGGATGATGAGTGCTGGACTTGTAAGTTTCTAATTACGTAATTTGTTTGTCAAAGTTGTTTAGTGTTCAATCGATAATCTCTCGTAATCACAGGTTTCAAAATTATGCCTGAGTTGTGGGTTTTTTAAGGGAATAAACATCTGAAGAATACTCACCTCTGTACATTGACTAGATTAAATAATTCTGCTTTGATAACCGTCTACAGAAATTACAGTATAAAATATTTGAGCTGATGATGTTGCCTTGAATGACACTGAAAGCTTCACAACTAAACTATCCAGCTGAAAAACTCAACACAAAAACGTTCAGTAAATGCTTATTCATCGTATAGATTGAGGAAGCTCTGTGTTTGATGTATAAGACTGACTGATTTGAATGAATAACAGTTTGTACTAACATTGTTTTGTGTAATATATGGTGCTATGGAGTGGTTTCAGAATTTTATTGTTGAAACAAAAAGTCTAATTGTGTTTTATTCTCCATGGGATAAATGAAGAAAAAAATGTTAAAATCTTGGTACAAACAGTTTTCATCTTGATCGCTGAACAGGAATAACTTCTCTGAATCTAAGGAATTGAAACACGTAACAGAAGCTCTAATAGTTAATGATTATCCTCCTCATTTTATTAAGAAATTCGTACGAACACATAAAAACGAAATAATAACAGTCACACGAGTACGAATAATAATGACAACACAAGTAGAAAGGAGTCCACAGCCTCCATTGTGCTACAACATGAGGGAGGTACATCAGAAACTTTACGTATGATCCTCAACAAAGCTAGAATTAAGGTGACATTTAAACCTACAAACTCACTCAGAGATAAACTTTGTAGGCTTAAGGATCCGATAGATGCAATTACGTAAAATTATCTCACCTATCGAATTCCACGTAATGACTGTGAGGTCAAGTACATAAGTCAAACCAGCTGGTTGGTGTCATTTAGAATAGCGGAACATAGGAATTTAGCTACATATAGAATACAGACTCGAATAAAATCAATAATCTGGAAAACCACTCGGCTATTGTAATGCATGCGTTAACACACAATAGGGTGAGATAAAACCACGGTACTTAATTAAGTTCAATATAATTAGATGGAGAGAGCAGGAGAGATTGACTACTGAATCTTTGTTCATCGAATCGAAACCAACACATGTAATACAAATGATGCAACTCGTATACCAGAGATATGGAAAACTTTACTACCACTATCGCTATGTGTTATAAATCAAATATGGTCTTGATTGTATTGTGTTCACTGAGCTGGGTTGTTTATTCTTGAAGCTCTCATCGTCCTTCTAGACGACATCATCCGCAGCACTAACTTCAGTATGAAGTGAGCTGTCAATATCTCTCCCTAAGTGATTTAGTAGCTTGCCTTGACGAAGTGGTCTGTGATTGGTTGTTTCCTCTGATTGTTGTGTCATTGACTGTATAGATTTTCCTGTTGCCTGTCACTCTGCTTGACCTCTCACCTTTCTGTCCTTTATCATTTTTCTTATTAGTTGACAGATTGGGTCTATGTCTATACATCTCTCCATTGATTGCTGACTGACTGACTGACTGAACTGAATGCCAAGCTCCTAGGAATTCTCGGATATTCTTTGTGTTTCCTCTCTTCGTTCAAGATTTCTACATTGTCCAAATTGAATTCATGTCCATGGTTGTTGTCCACATGCATTGAAATGAGTGATGAAATGTCATGTGTGACGTTTAATAGCCAATTGGTGTTCATGTAAATGAGGAAGGCGAAGAGGGCGACCACTTTGTCCAATGTAGTGTTGACTATAGTTATTGCAGTTGATTTTGTAAATGATATTCGGTTTGTCTTGTTTAGTTGTCGCATCCTTTGATCTGCATAATAGTGTTTGGAGGGAATTTGTTGGTTTATGAATGGCCACACCAATTCCAAGTGGTTTCAGTAATCTTGTCGTGATTTGTGATATATTCTTTATGTATGGTATGATGATGCGTTTATTGATTTCTGTTGATGACTTTGTAGTTGATGATGTAGGGGAAAGGCATCTTCTGATAAAGTTTCGTGGGTAGCCGTTCTTCTTTAGAATGACATCAAGTAATTTTCTTTTTCACGACTAAACAACCCAGCTCAGAGAACACATTACAACCACGACCATCCACCTGAGCAACAAATATTCTCCACTATTTCAAAATTATATGAGCGTAGCACGCTTCACGTTGTTCGAAGCTGGGAAGACTTCTCCGAAAGGCAAGCTTCCACAGGAGAACAACTATTCTTTCTCCATGAGTGCCTACCTCTGCATGTTCTGTCGAAGAGTGTCAGATATAGACCACCGATTTACTGCCCAATGGGATGGAAAATAACCAAACAAAGTGGAAGACAAATGGTCCAATTGATGATCACAGATGCGTATCATCGGATTCAAAAATGCCAATCAGTGATTAACAATCAAAAGGCAAAACTAGAAAGCATACTCACGACACAACACGTGACAACGCTGACAGCTGCAATTGAAAAATCAAGCAGACGATACAAACAACAACGAAGAAACGTCCTCAGGGAAAAGCTGCTCAAAACCTCAGAAGTACTTTCAACCGACGAAACAAACGACTGCGTTGCCAACTTATCAAAAAAAAACACAAACATGGAAGAACTTTTTCATCAAAAGGGATTGAATTACAACGCAAGAGATGCCACGAAACTAGAATTCTTTGCGGCATTAGAGTCATCACTTAAAACATTAGGATTAAATGAGGTCACTCAACAAGAAATATGGTAAACAATCGTACCACTGATTAGGCAGATGAAACATCACGCTCAAATGAACACTCAAGAACAGAAAACATTAAAAAGGCTGAAGAATGGGAAAGACATAGTTATACTTCCAGCAGACAAGGGATTCACTACAGTAGTTATGGAAAAAAAGACTCCATCAGGAAAGAAGAGGAATTACTCAAAGACGAAATGTACATCAACTACTTGAAACCAACCCTATTCAGAAGTTCGACAACCAGATCAATAAAACCTTAAACAAACTTCAAAGCAGAAGAAATAACAAAGCAAGACAAATGGAGAATGAAATTGAATGGACCTGTCCTTCCTGGATTCTACGGCAGACCAAAAATACACAAACCAGACATCCCTCTACGACCAGTTGTCTCACTTCCAGGAACTCCAACATACAACATATCAAGAGAACTTTCGAGAAAACTGAAACACCTTGTTCAAGCATGAGGACATTCCATCAAATCACCAACGAAATTCTTAGAAAAAATCAAAAGCATAAACATAGAATACGACGAATTAATGGTATCCTTCGATGTTACAGCACTATGAACATCCATTGAACCCCAATTGGCCAAGGAAACTATATACCTTCTGCTCAGTGAAGACACAAACCTTACCGAACACACGAAACTTAAGTGTTCAAGTCTGATGGAACTCATCAACCTTTGTATGACTACACACTCTCAATTCAACGGCAAGATATACAAACACATGAAAGGAACTCCAATTGGATCACCGATATCCGGATTAATTGCAGAAGGAGTGATACAGAGACTGGGAGCCACCATCTTACCTGTGATCAAACCGAAATTCTGGATTTGCTATGTGGACGACACTTTTGTCATCATTAAAAAGATGATATAGAAACACCCACAATTTGATCAACAACGTTTTCAGTGACATCAAATTCACAATGGAGAAGGAATCAAACTGGATAAACTAAGTTTTTATTCTGCATTATGACATTAATAGAAGTTTTATTTTCAAGGTACTGTTCATCACAGACTGATATCAGTTACAGAACCATCGAAAACCCGGAAGCATTGGCAACTATTCCGTCCTAGTATGGGGCTCTTCAGCAATACGCTTTCACATCCCTACCACCCCCACCCCAGGGATCGCACTCACGACCTCCAGGTTTCACAGCTGACATATTAACTATTCAGTCACCGGGTCCCTAGTTTCCTACTTCTGTCGATTCGTGATGTAGCGAGACTATTATTCAGGGTATTCAGTTGGCATCCGTTTCACTTCCGACTGGTTGACCCGACAGGCCACAGTTTCCTATCAGAACTTCGGGCTATCCATCTGGAAGCATGTCACTAATGAGCACTATACTTTAAGGTTAATGTGGATTGTACTTTTTAATGTGCAATGTTAGCTGAAGTATGATTGGGTTGGGACAAGAATAAAGGTGATCAGACCAAAAAATAGCATCAGTCTAGGAGATGTATGACTGATCACCTGAGTCGCACAACGGAATGTAAATTACCCAGCTATGCTACTCAAGAAGGTTGGAATGAATGGTGGATGATGCAGATGTACGCTTTCTTTATTTTAAGGTCTTGAAGATTTTGTTAAACTTCCTCCCGCTTCATACATATGTCTGCCTTCATATCATTTTTTCTACTTTCTTCTTCCTTGAGTGTTGTAACGAAGTGTGGAACTTTGAACTTATGCACTTCTGTGCCAGATTTCACATTCCATGCTTCTCTCTGTTTCACTTGAATCCTCGATTAAACTTAAAGTATACCTTGAAAATTTTTGTTTACCTATAATGATTTATTTCCTGTCTTAAACGAGTCTAGGCGTACATGTATAGTAATCAAAGTGAACACTTCTATTGCTTTATTTTCACATTTTATTTTAATTCCACTCAAAAAAATTTCGTAAAAATGTGGGCACTTATGCTGCCCAACAAATAATAGTCTATCAAATATATAGGTATTTTCAGGCTAAATAATACCAGCGTAAAAACTTAATTTCGAGATTTCACTAGCTGTAAATAAAGTCATTGCAAGGTAAACAGCATATCTGGATGTTCTTCAAGGTCAATGGACTGCTGTATTGTAGTAAGAGTTATAGGTATATTCTTTTTAATGTGAAAAGTTACTTCAAGAAAAGATAAGGACAGGCCAGTATCATAGTGGTCATACTTTTTTAAAAAGCGCATATCATTAAATAAATAGTGTAATGTATATTGTCCCATATAAATGTTGTCTTGTTTGTAATGAAAATTTCTTGTCTAACATTAATGAATACTTATTATTGCTTCTTTCAGCCAGACACAGTACATGTGAGTTCCACCTTAGCCGAAAATTTGTCTAACTATCCGTATATTTTGGAAAGTCGAGGAGAACAGATGATAAAGGTGAGGTTACAGAATATTTCGTTATCAGTATAGAAACCGTCTGAAATAATTCCATTTTAATCCATAAGACTTTTGAACGGATTTCATCACATTCTAATACCATCCTTTATTCTACTGAAGAATGACGTGTTTATTTACTGAACTTATTCGCCACGTTGTGGCTAATTGTTGTCCAGTAGTCACCTTCCGAGGCCTAATCTTGGTAAGAATATCTTGACTGGGGAAAACTCGATTGCGGAATTCTACATTTGCTTTCCTTGAAAATCTATGTTAAGACTGCTAATTATGGTGTGTCTTATTATTGTTCTTTTTCCCTTGGGTTCCTAGTGGAACATAGGGCTTCAGTAGCACGCCTCCATTGCACCCTGTTTTCTGCAGTCTTTCTGACCGGGCACCACGATTGCCCACAAGCTTTCATTTCTTCCTCACATGATCTCCTCAATGTCGCCTTGGGACACCCAACTCGTCGTTTCCCCTCTAGGTTCCACTCGAGGGCCTAATGCTTGATGTCTCCAGTCGGCCTTCTCAACACCATTGAATATATCAAGAAATGCAAGGTACATGATACTGACTATTTTAAACATCTGGATATCACTAGGATCAGTCAGCAGTGATACTTAACCGTTGAATGGGCATTTGAATGTCTCGATGTAATTACTAATGTTAATGAGTTCATTACTGAATGATTTTGTTAACTTGTTTCTATTTCATAACAAACATTCACTTTCTAACGATTTGTGCGATGAAACTTATTCAACTAACAGATGTAAAAGTTGTGCAGATTAGGAGAATGGCTACTTAGTACTTTAATGCAGAAATGACTATCAGACAGTCAGGTCTGTGGAAACTTTAAAAAATATAAAAAAGTCAGAGTTTTCATAGAAGTCTATCTAAATCAGTTCATTTGTTCTGTTTGGAAATCTCCGACCTTCCCTTTTTAAAACTGTATACTACCTAGTAGAATTATTCAACCAAATGTTAAAGAGAATAAATCTTGGATTTCATGTAATGAAGCACGAACCAGAAATATCTCAATCTGTTTTACGCAAGCAGATATGAGTAAAAATGTCTTGACTATATTATCCTATAACTGATATTGATCAGATGATGACGTTTGGGAAATGATAAGGTGAAGCTGTTGAAATCACTATGTACACTGTTCAACCTTCATATAGATAAAAGCATTCGATTTTCACGTAGTATTACCTAGTAGGGTCATGGGTGCACACTGTTGAGCCCTATACTAAAGCGAAACAGCTATCCAGTGCTTCCAGTCTCCAAATGTTCCTCCATCTGACGTCAGTCCATGATGAATACTAACTTGAAATCAGTACACCCCCACAAACCCCCAAATTGAGATATTATATATGTATATATATAATTTTATCTATCACTAACATTAAAATGTGAGATTACAGAATGATCTTCACTTTCTTTCTGTTAAAAAATGTTAAGGGTAAAGGGAAAATGTTCACTTACTTTGTCAGAGGTCGAAAAACAAATTTTACCACAATAGATACAGTCACTGGGGAAGAGCTGGACTTCAAAAAATTGTTACAAGAAGATATCAGAATCAATAATCAAGAAATAGATGAATCAGATGATTTTGATTCAGAAATTCATCTTGATAATAACGAAAATGATACCAGTTCGGTTACAATTTCTGAAATGTCAAGTATCGCTGATGATTTAGAATATTTTCCAGAAATTCAAGAATTAAATCTCAATAAAACTAACAATTTTACCGATCACTTGAACACTTCAAACAAAAATTATGTTGATGTTAATCATAATGAAGCTTTTTATGAACATGAAATTCAATCAGAAGAAATGAATTTAGTTCAAAGAAAACAAAATCAACCGGATTTAAAACTAATTTATAGTAATTTTAACAAGATTATTCGATGATTTTCTATTAATTTATTCTAATTACTTTTAAGATATAGTTTACCTGTCATTGATGATCATAATTACTTCATTTGTAACGACTATGAAATTTTTTTTCAACTTTGAAAATGTTATCTAGAAAAACATCTTCTAGTGGAATACTTCAGTTGGCAGACAACAATAAGAATAAATCATCTATGCAATTTAGATATCTTGCCGAAGAAGCTGTGACGTATACAACGAAACTTTCCTATAAACCTTGTTTTTGATTTTATAAACACACTTTAGGACTAGATTAAGACCTATATAATTTAGATTTTTGTTCGGATTTTATTGATTTCAAGTTGATGTTCATTATGGACTAACATAAGTTTGAATTACTATCCAGTGCTCAGCAATGACTTGTTTCCAGATGAGATTCCTAAACTTGTTATCAGAAATCGTGACCGATGGGGCAAATCAAGTAGGATGTGAGGAAAAGTGCTCAGTGATAATATTGAATAAAGGTCACACTAAATCATGAACTGAAAGAAGTAGGAAAATAGGGAGCAGCTGTTCAGTACTCTAGGGTTTTCAGTTGCCCTCTAAACTGATGTGTGTCTGTGACGAATACCAACTTGAAATCATCTATCATAATCTGTTATCGAGTTCTAGCATCTTTCGGTGATGATCTCTTACCAATGTTATTGTAAGTTATTATTGATTTGAAGCGTTGCTGAGGTCATTATTTGTATGAACTGGCTAACAGTAAACTACTAGAAAACTAGGACAATGACCTTTAACCTACCTATATGGAAGACATAACTTTGACTCCTTAAACGCTCTAGGTTCTGATCCTTATCATATGATACAGACTGCAAAGACATTTACAGCTGGAAATACTGATCTAAGGCAGTCTCAAGTAGGTTGGTGCATTGTAGCTGATTCCAAACCCCAGTTGCAGGAACTTAAAAATTTCATTAGTTAGACTTGAAGCTGCGACTACTTAGTTACACTTTTCAAATATACCCTCTGTTCTTTCCATGGGTGGACAGCTTAGCGACTTTCTAGATATCTTACTGCTTATTTTACATACAATGTAGGCATTTCTCGAGGTAAAAAAAATGAATAAAGAAAAAGCTGATAACCACATGCATAATGAGTAATTTGATATAGGAACCATCAATGGATTCATTTAAACAGCACAAAAGTTTAAGTATAAAATGGAATTCAAATATGTTCTGTACTGTCCGTCAATGAGTTTCAAACTTTTACTTATTTTCACATAAGAAAACTGAGAGAAGTGATGTGTTTCCACGCATATAAAAGTCAAAGATAAGTGGATCAGTTCCTTAGATTCGACTTCATGCTTGTATATGTTTCTTTTGTTTTCATGATATACAAGTATTCAAAAATATCTTTATTCTTTTCTTATTTTAGACATGGAATACCCTGATGTGTTGAAGGATACAGAAAATCAGTCCGCTTCAGATTTAACCTTTACCTCTTCAAGATCAATTTTATTTGAAAATCTTGGTAAGACAAATAGCTATTCATACATATAAGGAAGCTTTTAAAAAATTAGGAACACCAAATTTTCCAAAATGTCATTCTTTTAACCAGGCAAAAAGGCTTGAATGTATTAACAGGATTAAGTTCTGTGATTAAAGCTAACCTAGATTAGATCAGATGAATTAGAGATGAGTGGAGGAATGAATTCGAATTGAACAAAGCAAGAACAAAGCTTCATATTCTATTCTCCGGCTTCTCATCAGCTGTGAAATTCTACAATGACGAAGGTTATTATAACTACCGAATAAAATATTTGAAGTGCTTCAACTGATGTAGGTAAAGACCAGATTCAAAATTCCTAGAGTATTAACAAACTGAGGGAATAGAAAGACAAGATCGCAGTAAAATAATAAAAATCAGGAGTAACGCAACAGACTCAGGTGTCGGAAAATTAGAAATCAACTTAAACTAGTGAGTGAAGATCTTAAGAATATTATGTACAAGTTAAAGTGCAGTTGCTGGGGTAATGCGAGGTTAATTATGTTGTCTTTGCTGGATACAGAAGTCGGACAGTAATCGTTTAATTGCTTCTGCGAAATGAAACAGACTATCTGTTCTCTACACAGTCATGATTTTGAAGGTGCATGCTGTGACCAGTAGTATAACCTAACAGTCTACGAGTGATATAACCCTAGCAGACCACCAACAATACGAATCTAACGCGCAAACAAATCGACTCTAACACAAATTAGAACGTCCATCACCATAAAAACAGTACTATCGAAGAGCAGAGACAAGCAGAGAAGATAAACCGCTGACAAAGAGCTTTTCACTGTCTCAACAACAGTCAATACAGCTGACAGCGATTCTGAATATTTGCATTTCTAAATGAGCTTGACAATACTGAATCCATACATGAGCAAAAATCGTTAACAGCCCATGAGAGTTTAGCCTTGAGAGGAGAGAGAAAAAAAACTAGTGAAAACAGCCATGTAGGTTATTTTAAGGTCATGGACAAAACAACAGGTAAAGCTATGCAAAACTAGGAGTATATTGCATTGCGACTGACCTCAACTGTATGTTGTATATCCAATAAGTGTCTAGCAGTTGCACTTGTATAAAGTTTCTTTGTTTTGAGGTGCAAACCTTTTGGAACATGTTCTGTAAATTTTACAGTTGCCTTTCTCTTTCGTTTTCTGTCTTCATTTCTCCCCGTTTCATAACTAACCACTTGAAGTGAGGGGTTTTCGTTAGAGAAATCTTTAAGGATCGTGAATCCTTCTTCAAGCTTGTTTTCTGAGCACAACCCTCTAGATCATAACCAGTCTCCACTCCTTTGGTCATAATATGAGGTGTGAATATAAAGGATTGGATTGGTTTATGCTTTTGGTCCCCTGACTACTTTGATAGAAGCAAGAAAGGATAATTTTGTAGAATAATAGAAAATCGAAGGTATTTCTTTGCAATCTGTTCCTTTGAGTATAAGTTATAGTCAAATTTTTTATCAGTATATCAGCAGGCTTGAAAAGTGGACGATGAAGTGGTTCTGAAAGAGTAGCGAAATTGTTTAGAAACAGTACTGCAAAGCAGGATAGTAGGATAGGCATTTTATGATAACTTTTATAATTAATTGAAATGATAGTTGTAAAACAGTTTTGGTAGTAGATTAGGCAATGTAACCAAGGTATAAACAAGAGTACGGTACTGATAGAAAGGGACGATTAAACTGAGTCCAGCTTAGTGGGTTTTTATCACAACACAAAAATAAGAGGAAGGAAGGAGTGGTTTTGTTGATATCGTTACCAAGGTATTTTAGAGCTTACCATTGATTCTAATTCAGCATTAAAGTCAGGTTTTAACCTTCTGATCTCAGTGACATCTGAGAAGTAAAACGAGTAGAATCACCTTGTGCAATAATTATTTTGAATGCATTTCCAACGTTCACATCATATTCAATGTCCACTAAATCCCATGCTACTGAACTGTCGATAGCGTCCGGCTATTTTAAGCTCAGACTTCCCTTGGTTAAGCAAAGCGTTTAGCTTCTCATCTCTCCTTCCGTCCAGTTCATCTTCTTTTTCAAGTACACTTGAGTCAGTAGGTGTAGTTGGGGATAGTTCGTTTGTTCTCCTTGGAAATTCAAATGTCATTTCTCAGTCAGAATACCTTGACTGATGAAAACTAGGAAGAAATGTTTGACGTTCTACGTTACTTCTTTGGATATAAACCTACAAATAAAGAATTTCATGGTAACCATTTTTTGCTATTTCCAGTTAAAGTTAGATTAATCTTTAAAATCTTGGTTCTGACATAAGTTTACTACCAAAATTATTCTACAGAGCATAAACACTAACTATATGTTTTAATTTCTGATAAAAAGTCTTATTCATTTATGTGAAACTGAAAAGAGTTCAGCTTTAAAGCTGGTTTCTAACCGAAGAATATTTAAAATTACTTATTCAGTTGAGTTGAAATTTGAAGCAGAAGTAAGAATTGTTCACCAAACGAAGTGTTCATCAAGTAGAAAATGTTTGATTTTGGATTATGAAACTGACGATTTGTTCTTTCTGAAATAACTAATCCAAGATTATTTGCTATTGAAGTATGTACTGCAATGGTTTTAAATATTTTATCAGTGTGTCATACCAGTGATCATATGAGTAAAATTTGTAACCAATATAGACTTATATAGTACTCCACTCATTAGGCTAAATGTAGATTAACCTACTCCAGAAGACCGTTTGGCCAAGCCATGTGTTATCGGGTAACTATCATTTGATTAACGATTTGCAAACTGGAAAATGAAATTAAGTGCAGTCTTAAAAAAGTACTAAAAATGTATTCTGTATTAAATTTGTAACAGCTTTGGCAACAGAACTTACAAGATGATAGTTGATCTACCTAATGATAGCAAAATTTAAGTCGTGTTGAAAATCCTTATTTTGGCGTTCTGGTTATTAGAAACTATCACCAAAAGAAAACAATTAAATGGAATGATATTTATAGAAAGTATTTCTGACAAATTTTCTTAGGCTTACTGTCTTTTTCAAGTTGTTATTCATCGAAGACTGACATCAGTTGGAGGAACAAAGGAAACCTGGGAGCACTGGACAGCTGTTTCGTCCTAGTATGGGACTCCTCAGCAGTGCGCACCCACGACCCCACCAGCAGGGATCGAACCCGCGACCTTCAGGTTCCGCGACCAGCGCGTTACTGTCTTTTTGCTTCGTTCTTGTTCAGCGAATTTCATCAAGAAATAGTGTAGTACCATAAAGATTAGTTTTACTCCAATTCAGATTGGATTTGATCCTAAATCTATATATCTCAACTGGATGAAGATAAAATATTTTTTTTAATGTGGTAACGACTGAAATCTTTATGTTGTATTTGTGGAAAATAAAGTGAAAATTATCTTTGCACTTTAGCAGACTTGACAAATAATATGATGATCTGAGTAAATACACTGGCAAAAGATAATCACTCAGATTGATTTCGAATTTAAGGAAAAAATGGATTGTTGAAAGTGTATGTGTTTATAAGATGAATAAATTAGCTTTTCAGAAACACATTTGATGATAATCTATCTTTACTTTTCCTTCTCTTTCGTGTATTTCTTATAAGTAGACAATCTTTAGGTATCTATACATCTTCTTTCCAATTTCACTAGGTTTGTATACATTCAGTAAACGTAATCTATTTGTTTTAGAGACAGTTACCAATAACGCACTATGAAAACAGTATATAATCGCAAAAGTAATTTCATTTTACCACTGCTCACCAATGGAATCTGTTCTCTTGATTGCAGTATACCTGATCAAAAACCAGACAGTTTTTAGTTCAACTTTAACAACGGTCAATGTAAGTGTTAATGCTTGTATGGTACCGTCGTTGATTGAATTCCACTGTTAACCACTATCAATCATTACATTATAATTAAAAATACAGGCAATATCAAGACATCCGTGCAGGAGCCCATTTGCTAATAGAGACTGATCAATTAGATCTAATTAAGGACGGTATAATACAAGTAGTAACACTAAAACTATACCCGTCACACAAGAAGTGGTTATCTTGGCTCAGTGGTCTACTGGGTAACGCTCTGGGTTTTAAAGCGATCTGTCCGGAGTTTGAATTCCAATGGGAACAACATCACTCACTGGGAGGCAAGTACATCTAGCTGACACATCTCGAATAGGAGAAAATGCACTATCCATCGTTACTATATAACAGTCAGTGATATTTCTCTCTAATGAAATTTAAGCTAGGTAGATGCAAATTATTGAATCCTTTAGCTTTTGTGTTCTGTAACTTTCCAAGTGAATTTTTGGATAAAGATCTGTTGAAACTTGATTTAAGAATGAATACCAAACTGATTTTCTTAAATCTGAATGTTACGTCAAACATTACATCTTTATGCTAAATATTTCACTATCTCAAAGTAAATATGAAAATATGTAATGATAAACTCCATCATGTTTGTTTTTATTTACAGCTAACCCTCTTACACTGGGAGTGACACAAGTTGGTATTGTTCAACCTGAGAATCCACTAAAGTATTTAGGTGCATGGTTATACAAATACGCAGAGAATTCTACGAAAGAAAATTCATAAAGTCAATTTTTTAAAAAAAGAATCAACCTTTCTTGTATTTAAGGTCCACTATATCCATATGTAGACCTTATCATATTTGTCTAACGTCTTAATGAGACTTTATGTGATGCATGAATAAATACTTTAAAATACCAAGCCATATGTCTTGAATGTTTAGCCAACGGTGCGTTGTACCACCGTTTTCCATTTGATTAACGTTTAACTGCTATATAGCGTTTTTAAGAAAAAGTTCTTATTTCACTTTTACATATTCTTGGTATATGTGTAACTGATTTCGATAGATTATATAAAATTATCTCCGTATTTCTTTCTTCATTGCATTATTCACTGTTCTTCTTCACTAAGCACTATCATTTGGTCTTGTAGCATTTTTTGAATTGGCTAATGACAAAACTTATGTTCAAAAGCTTATATTTCTGATGTTATCAGTGTCCTTGACACTATTTCTTTCACAGGAAGAACAAACTAACCGCTCTGTTAAAAAACAACATCCTAATGTCTTTTCTAAGCGGTTGACTTTAAAGTTGAACGACAGTGACATGGATACCAGGAATAACTACATACATTTTAACAAAACAGTTGACGTTAGCTTCTCATATACCCAGCAGTTATCTGTTTCATGATCTTTAACTTAACAGGCACTTATTTATCATCATAAATAAAATAAATCTCTAAAACCAATGTTTCAGAGACTAACCGTTGCCGTGAAATCCTCTGTTCACCTAAATCCAGTAGAAATTCTCAATAATATCGGCTTACAACCCCATCACTGAATGGCATCATGACATGTTAGATCATAAGTTCAAGTTATGAAAAATGAGGTGGGATTATACAGTTTTTTAACTGATCATTAGATGATAATTACTTGTTTCAGTGTCAGGCTACTTTCATGTTACATCTATCACGATACTGTTCTGAAGACAATCTATAAGTCACGACTTTCAGACTTCGGTAACTACCATATAAATTTCGACTGTTTTACAGTCTTTCAAATATGGATCACACTGACTAAACGTTTGTATAAACATTTCGGATTCTATGTGTACAAAGTTGATCAGTACATGATAGACGTTGTTCTGTGAAAACTGACCGAAATCACAGTGTATACTAATCTCGAACTAAGTGACTTAAGCTTACTATTTGTTATCGTTACTTTCAAGATGTAACAAGATGATGGTTTAGATACTACCATCTTCACGAAAGTCTTTCATTTTAATCTATCCCGGAATTTTCAGGTTATTTAAGCTTATATAGGTTAAGTGAAATGTCAAGGCAAGTATGTTATTGGTTCAGCTCGACAAAATAATTTTTTATGTCGAATAGCTTATAGTAACCAACTGTCTGGTTGAGTGAATATCTGTGAGCAGCCAGTCTTTTGAGGTTAGTGTGTTATCGAAGTGTCAGAACTCGATAATGAATCAAGTGTTGCTATTCTCTTACATGTATATAGTCACAAATGTAGTCAAGAAAGGCTACAATCGAAAATCCACTGAGGTCAAATATATGAAATAGAGAAATTTCTTTCATCAGATTAACATCTAATTCGTGGAAATTCAGTTATTGAACACATAGGTCGGTAATATACGAACTTCTGTGGCCAATGGAACCACAGGATGTTCCGTAACCCAACTTTTAAAATCAAGATTAAAAATTAAGTTAATACCTTGATACAGTAACTGGTACTACCAGTACTACTACATTTTATTTCAAATGGATAGAACCTTATCATGTTGCCAAAGTTAATTTCCAGTCCCATAAATTCCTTACAACGTATCTGATTTTTAAGACCATTTATGTCCATGCTGATTTCAGTGTATCACACAGTGGAGTATCTATTAATCTGGCTCAGAGAACGTCACTAGTTTTTATATTGAATGGTACAGTCAAGTGAGAACAATATGCACTAAAAATTCATCGTATTATAAGAAGTCAGTTTGTTATTCTCAAGTATACTTGTTTACAAAACAACAAATATAGGCTGTGAATGTCATCAATAGCTTTCTTTACCTGTCTACAAATTGAGATCAGTTTTGCTTTTGTTAACAAATGACACTTAAAGTTCTTAAACAGTAAAAACCGGTATACTGGGAAACCAACAAATTGATCATGGGCTCAGCCATAGGGATCATCTGAGTTAGCATTTGAATAGCTATTCTCAAAAATATTTGTGTTACTACTTACCTATGCTAGCGCAATCTTCAATGATTCTCTATGTAGTAATCAAAACGAAAGTTAAAAACGTTTTTTGGTGTTATTAAAGACCAAGTTAGTTTAAGTTGATACCGGAATGCTCAAGCTACAAGCATTATGCAGAAAATTTATAAGTACAATGATACTTAGTCATCATAACTGTTACTTTAGGTGTTCTCGAGTCTGTAAACAAAAATACAAATCAACCAAGTTGAAGTCACTGACTTTCCTAGACACATCACTGAGAAGTATGAAATGAAGGACGTTTGATACTTCTGGTAGAAAATAATTCGGTTGTTACATAAAAATACTTAATGTAGAAAAATGCTAGACCTATGTATTACTACAGATATGTTTTCTGTCGTTGCAAAGTCTCATTGGAAATGTTTCGTAACAGTTTACAAGCAAATACTAACTATACTTTGCAAGTAGTCAGTTCATTTACCAGTAATATTTCACCTTGTGAACTAATAAAGTTAGTGATGAATTGTCTGCATATTATCAATATAAAAATATTTTTTAACTGACTAAATGTTTTGGGACAAAATAAATTTCTATAAAATTCAACGTTCAGTAAAGGTGGGATACGTCTTATTACATATAAATATGAACATATGGAGCTATGGTCATTTACTTTAAGCAACTGACTTTCATCAAGTTTAGATGGCGTTCCATTTACCTGGATTTTGGCAGCTAGATAGTATCACTAGTCGTCAAATAGTAGACGTAGCTCATTGACTACTGCCTAAAAGTACATGTAGTTGCTAAGTCCGTTTAGATTCTCAAGATAAGATATTTTTTACATGTATTTCTGATATAAACGTAAAGGTCATCTAAAAAACGACAAAAAGGTTAAAAAAAAACTTTTCTCTCTTCCCTTCTTCTTCCTTCATATTATTGGATAGATACTATTATTCACTAATTGCATCAATGAGTATAGAAATCTTCTATGCAAATTTTAAGACTGACATATGCATATAAACACATCGGTGATTTTAATTGCTTGTAATCTATACAGCAGTTTTCTAGATCTTATTAACATGTTGACTTCTACTCATTCAATTGGCTAAGGTGCATGAATTAAATAAATTTAGATAATATATTTTTAGTAAAAGTACAACAATTAATGAAAGGTATATTCCTAACAAGATCGAAGAATTGAGAATAATACAAAATATTTGTTTATTTTGTTATTTGTTCTAATATACTACACTGGGATTACACAAGCGAAATACCTCTTGTACAATGGTACAACAGTTATGTTGAACACATCTTTTACAAATTAAAAAATCAAGGTCATTAGGAATTCATTCGGTTTATCAAACGATTATAATAAGAACACAAAGTGTGGGCGGTATAAACATAAACAAAAGCAACTAACCATTTAATTAGTTTCATGATGATTCGAATCCTATTCTCTTGATAAAATCTTTTTTTTCTGTTCATACACTGTTAGAGTGAGGTCAATGTAAAAGCTTTCAATCATTTCTAAAACGTCTTTGTGAACACAGAAAAATGTATTTATATATATATATATATTAAAATGTAGTGCGACTGTTCTCTTAGTTGTTCAGTGAATGTAATAAAAATCAGATGTATGGTGTGTTATTCGAAGTTCTACGACGTTATGTTGAAGCTACATTTGGCTCTACAGTATGGTCGGCAGCAGTTGAAATAGCTAATGGACAACCATTAGAAATACATACAAGAAAAAATTATTCAACAAGATTATTGATACGAATAATTAATTCTGTATGTGATTTTGTTGGCTTACCAGAAGAGGATATTTATTATGAATTTGGAATTACAACAGTTCAGTACTTAAGTGATAACGGTTTCAAGAGTTTATTACAAGTGTTGGGTAAAAATTATATTGATTTTCTACAAAATGTCAATGAATTACATGAATATTTACGCTTTTCTTATCCAAAAATTAAAGCGCCAGGTATACAGATTACTTCAATTAATAACAATATCGTTGAATTGGAATATACAAGTATACGTGAAGAATTCCCTGATTATCTACGATCGCAGTTAATATATATTGCTAAAATGCTTTATCAACTGGATGTTAGTGCAAAAATAACTGACAAGAAGAAACGAGGCGCAATTTATTCGTTTACATATAAAATATACAATAAAGGTGCACCGTGGGTTGAATTAATAGAGAAAGATAATCAATTCGTCAATAATCCTTCATTACTTGATTTATCTATTAAGCTTTCAGAAAAACAGTTTCTAGGCTCATTGCCATTTCATTTAGTACTATCAAAAAGCATGATTGTCAAGCGTGCAGGCACAGGTATTTTATGCCTAAGAAATGATTTACTTGAAAAGACGTTCACTAGTTGTTTTCAAATTGCAAGGCCTAAATCAAATCCAGTATTTGAAGACGTAAGTAATGTATCCAATTTGTTAAACCAAGATTTTATTTAACTCTCTATAGTGGATCACCATTTCTACATCTATTAACCGTATTCAGATTGATTTTTATGAGTAAATTTGAAGCTCTATAGAAAAACGTTTGTAGTCAGAACTTATCATTTTCACTGGTGGTTAACTCAAGTGAACCCTCAGAAAGCCTTTTTGAGAGAATATTGATTCTCAGTAACTCAAAATCTCTGCCATACAAGGTAGGTCGGGTTGATCATACCCCTACTGACCTGTTGGTAGAGTTGCTAAGTTTTACATTTAGTGACACAACTTCGGATCAGTGAGGTACCACCTCTTTGATTATATTTTTGGATAAGTCTTCCTGACTATTGCCAGCAAATCCATGACCGGAATCCAGAGCTTACTGACGACTGACTTTTAATATTCCACACCAAAGTGCAGTGCACTCCAGTGTCACGCCATTTAGATTAGTGACCATATTTCAAACATAACTAGTCAGTATTGAGTAATAAGGACTAGAAATCCACATTATTTACAGTCTACTGACCGATTAGTAGTGAAATGGTTGCCTTAATTGCTACCAAAGATTTTCATCTGTTTATAATACCACCATGTGATTTCACTTTTCAGTTGGAATTCGGTTGTCTAAGGTTTCATAGCTTCAGATAACCTGCAACACAGTGTTTACTTTCCCAGTAAATATTTTGCTGGTTTGCATCCAGAATATCTTTATGGTGTAACTGATTTCCACAAACCTTTCATAGTTGAAAGTAATCATGTAAATTATTTAATTTTGAACACACATATATTTTACTCATATAAACGAAGTGGGGATAGCACTATGTTGCTTCTGTGACTTCATTTCTTAAGGATTGCCACATTTTTTTTCGTATAAGACGTATTTTACTTGTGTAATCGCGATACAACATATTCGAACAAATAACGAAATAAATAAATATTTTTCGATATTTCGATCTTGCTAAGAACCTTTTCAAGAACCACATTAATACAGGACATACAAGTTTGTTTAATTTTCTATCTAATTGATTAAAGAAAGGCTTTCGGTATTCAGGTTTTCTGATATGTCTCCTAGTCACAGTATACATAGTAGAGTGCATACCTCATAGTTTTACGGAGACTCGTTCCTTTCAGAGTAGATGCTTCAGTTTCATCGTAATCTTTTTTCTTTGTTTTTCATGAATGGAATTCTGTCGTCGTAAAATACTAATCTTGGAGATATAATTTTCTGTTTCCGAGTTATCGGTAAAGGTAAACAGAACGCTTCTAACCTAGACTGTTACTCACTATTGGGATTTGTCTTAAAACTTAAGCGGACTGATGAAAATACTTAGATTCAAGTGTGCATTTACCAATGCTAAATATAAGGACTTCAGAAGTGAGCTGATAAGGTTGAGGGTGATTCCTTTGGAAAAGAACTGGATAACTTGTTGGGTTACTGGATTGGTATGAATTTTATCTATTCTATTCCAAAGTTCAAACCGGATCCTACCAATTGTTAGTAGTATGTATTGGAGAAACATTTGCCCCACATTAACTATAGAGGATTCAGTTTTTCCTATGGAGTGAGTTCTTGGAAATCGACATGAAAGCGATGTCACATTGAGCAAATCAGCCTCTCAGTATGAACGATGAAAAGTGAAGCAATGCTTTCATTATCTGAACTCATTCTGACTAAACAAACACTAGTCATAGATTATGAATTAGAACTACGTTTTTGCCAGTCATCAAATTATCTGATGTAAACGTCATCTGGAGAACAATACCGAAACTAATGAAATGAAAGCCATAAACCTGGATCTTCTCATACACGAAAAGCTTCTTCATTTTGCCACACGTTTCTATAGTAACCGAACAAACTTGCAAATAGCTCCTTTGATTAGTATTTTTTTTAATTCTTCTAACCTTGTTTGTTTCTTCCGTCTTCATTTGTCTTATTGTTTCTTTCAATCTTGTGCCAGATTTCTGTATCAGCTGTTACTAATGCTTTTTTTAACGTCTGTTTATCTCTTCAAAAATAATTGTCCAAAATCCCTTGATCTCAATAACTAGACAATCAGAATCTCTTTAAATTTCCACTCGCAGTTCATCTATGTGTTTGGGGCCATAAGTATCGTCACCAGTAGTTTTGTTTTGTTATTTTGGTAAATGATGCTGGACACTTGTACTGCTACTTTCATATCTCAGCTAATTGGATGTTTAACCCTCGAATATAGAAAAATAGGAAGAATAGGGCTGACCTATGTACATAGCACCGACGTATTCATGCGTGTCTGCACGTATGTGCAGCTGAAAGACAATGACTCTCAAAACAAAACCATGTATTTCCTCAAGTTTTCTTTGCTATAATACTATTGGTACAGTTTGTTTAGTGAGAACATACAACTGGACATGCTCAAAGCTGAGAAACCTTAAATCTCAAAAAATATTGTAGTAAATTTCTAATATACTGCCACTGCTTTTTGTGAAACCCAAAGATTTTTCTAAGCTTTCTGCTGCGAATCCATCAAAGTTACTGATGAATAGTTGCCAAGCATATAGTCAATCTCCTATGTTCCATATTCACTGTTTACAACAATCAATCATCGAACTATAAACTATTTGAAATGTAATGCATCTCTGAGATTTTCGTGAAATTAATATAGATCACTTCTTGTTTAATAGTTTTTTTTCATTTAATTTTTAGCTTTATGCAAACCGGTTTACAACTTTTGAAATAGTTTTATTAGTTCCAGTTTCTGCGAAACGTAAGTTATAACTTTACTAATAACTTTACATTCACTGTTACAAGACTTTTGTCTTTTTGACAATACTATAAATTTGAAAACACTGAATCCGAAACTTCAGCATTAATAATGACTTCAATGAGCTGTTGAAAGTTTTTCCAGATAACACTCTTTCAAAGTAGTATTCATCGCAGAGTGACATCAGTTGGAGGATCTCTGAAAACCTGGAAGCAGTGGACAACTGTTTTGTTCTTGTATGGGACTGCTGGGAAGTCCCTTGCATCTTCGCACCTTATTCCTCTTGCAAAGTGATACTGTTATTATTAGTAGTAAAACTTGAGCACTGTGGTAGTTGATTTGTCGGCTGTACCACACAGTGAAAGGATATTATTTTTATTTGAGGGTTTGCGTGTATTTAATCATTTCTTAAGCTGGTATGCATCGTAGACTGACATTAGTTGGAGGAACACTGGAAACCTGGGAGCACTGGACAGCTGTTTCATCCTAGTATGGAAGTCCTTATCACTATGCACCCATGGCCAAACCTTGCTATGGATCGAATCCAAGACCTTCAGGTTCTATGGCCTGTCCATCACTACTGAGCAACTGACAGAAGTAAGAAATATGGACCATTGGATTCCTATCCAGTGGCTCAGTGGTAAAGTACTGGCCACGAAACTGCTGAGTAGTCCCATACTAGGACGAAACGGCTGTCTAGTGCTCTCAGGTTTCCAATGTTCCTCCAACTTATGTCAGTCCATGATGAATACCAACCAACTTTACAGTTTTTTTCTAGAATGTGCCCAGAATGTATTCCAGTAAATAATGTAAATAATGTTACTTGCCCAATCTAACTTCACTATCTAAGTTAAATAATCTTCAGTACTCAAACAACCTAAGTCAGTCTGATTTTTCTTTGTCTGGAGATTTCATTAATAAAAATTCTATGAGTCCCTGAATATGTTTGCGGATTCAAATGTCATCCTAGTTATAACTGTTGAATTATATACATATATAGGCACCTTAAAGGCTTTTTCAAACCTATAGGTACTGTGGCCATTGTATAGAGTCTTATGCCTAATTTAAATAGAATCTATATCCATAAACTATACTGCTAGTTGCTGTCACTGGTTTGCTTGATAAGGTAATTTTCAGGAACAGTTAACAAACTCCATGAATTTTGTTTATGAACAAGTTACTTTTCCATCTATAATCCCTCATCGTGGTTGTAAAATAGGACCGTCGCATCTAAAATACTGGAGAGTGAAGGATAAATCGTATGTTAGAACAAGGTGGGTGAGAAAAGGCATAAAAATAGTAAAAAGAAGAAAGCAATCTGAGCACTAACTCGTGACTGAAACCCGTAGATGAATCATTCGGATGGCGTATTGACATTTATTTATGTATAATGTAGAGCTTAGAATATAACTGAATAAACTAAGCGCATAGGTAATGCCTGTAGCAGTTAGTAAACTAGTTAACTTCCTATACAGTTTGTAGCTTTCTAGTTGTAAATAGAAGCCGTTGCATGTCAGTGATTACTGCGACAAAATTTCAATCTTAAAAGCTGATAGGTTGTTTTTCAACAACTGTTTCAACAGTAGGTTGAAAATAATTTTTGTGAATGGATCAAATAATGAGTATCCATTTACATTTTAACAGATTTAACTCAAGATTTTGATGAGATCTGTAAACTAACTAGTTTTGCTCATTCTCGTCAAGTCACTTAGGGAACATAGTTGAAAAACTGAATTTTGACGATAGTTCACAATAATAAATAGAATGAACCGATAGCTTCATATAATTTCTCATGAAATATATGAGATCCCAATGAGGTTTAGTATTTCATAACCTCAGGCGACTGGATTCCTTTGTACATAGTTATACCAGTACAGTCTGACAAAGAAAAGAACACTTTTCCTTCCCACCTATTTGTTAACAAGCTCAGTTAGACACTTTCACAATTACTTCGATAGTTGTGTGAACTTACTATCTCTTTTATCTTCGGTAAATATTTGAAGTAAAACGTGAAAGATATACACGTGTAATCGATTGTTTTAAGGTGATATTATAAAACAAATTGACATTAGTGCTGTGGTGGTTCGGGTTTAGGAAGGCTATACATGGAGGAACAGTCAGTGTTTCAAATGATTTTATCAATCACACATTATTGTTTAACACAATGATAATATTTACTTGGTCGCCTTCTATATCTTTCAGGTAAATCTACAAAAAATACTGGAAATCTTGAAGAAAAATGTCGTTTTAAAGGAGAAATTTATTTTGTAGAGGAATGGGAAATGATACTGTTCATTGGATCACCAATGTAAGCAACTGCAGCCCACCGTAATTATTTGCCAATTTGTTTAATGTTGTTACTTGAAAAATTGATGAGGCAGTCAGAGACGTTGCCACTTTATTTCATACATTACGGTTGGCTGGGTGTTTTGAATTTACATACTGGTGCTTGTTATGCTAACATTTTCCCCTCTTGATGTGTGAACCTTAAGTGACTTAGGCGGCTTGGATAAGTGCTGCACATACCTAGCTACCGCTTACGTCAATGTATGATGTTTGTAGAAGCTGCTTTAAGTTGGGAGAAGGCTCAGGATGAGCAGATCAAGACGTGGTACCAGTTAATCATGACTATGAATGTTGACCTGAGCTGTGTAGGAAAGTGTAGACTACCTGGATGGTGTTCTAAAGAATAAAGGATTCAGTGGTTGAGAATTTCATGGCGAAATGACCGAAAATCGACCACATTGACCCAGAGGTATTCACTGCTTGACATATACCAAAGCTAGAATGTTTTGACTAACCTTAAGTGTTAATTTCCCTCTCCTCCCATACGCGTTTACCTCCCCTGGTATCAACCGTTTCTATCCACTATCTATTATGAATTGCGGCAACTCGACCAGATGCATTTGCGTGCTAGGTTTTACGTTGACTTTGTCGATCTATCTACCTATCCTCTTCATATAGGGCCTAAAAGATTGATGATGGTCATTATTTCAACATAAGTGGTGCCAATTCTAGACAACAGAAATCCTCAAACAGGATGAAGGTTTTTTCATGTATACTAAAGTCTCTAGATTATTCATTTCTTATACAGAGACTTCAGTCATTAGATTGTTTATTTGATAGTGCACACAATGATACAGTGATATATAGTGAATGACGTTCCCAGCAGAATTCATTGCTCATATTCATTGAGTCAGCGTCTAACAGAAATGATTTTACGAAATAATTCAGATACTTGAAAAATCCAACTACTACTAAAATGAAAGAATGAAGAACTGTTGAACTATAAAATTAGATGTTGAAAGTTGTATTATTACTTTTATTATGAATAGCATCAATAAATCCTGCTTGAAAAGTCATCCAGTAAATTTCTATGACTTTAATATAAGAACATTAAAGTTCAGTTACGTGGAGAAAGATTTAAGTCAAAAAAATACTGACATATTTTGGGATCCACTCACTAAATGCTCTTAAAGATAAAACAAGTTTATTTGGATATCTTGTCAAATAATCAGTTGACTCAATATTCTTCAGTTAATTGTTGAAATACTCTCGAATAAGCAGTTTATGCTTCAAAGGAAGTATGTGATACATTGACAGTAGTCATGGGAATTTTTGTGGGATTTTTCAACAACATTTGTTCTCATTATATCTTTTCTATTGTTCCCATTCAAAAGAATATGTAGAAGTGAGATATACTCAACATAAAGATTTTGATATACTTTTCTTCGCCAACTTAGGATTCGAGATACAAAGCAGTTGTATGAGAAATCATTGAGAATATCTGACTTAAATATGTTCGATCGTAGTCGGAGATAATTTTTGAAGGAGAACAACAATCTGATGAAATCATGAATCTTTTTGAAAAGGTGAGCAGTTCAATAACATCAATATCAGTATCCATTTTTACACATTTTAACATATCTTGTCAATTATGCTATTGTAGTTATGTGAAAAGTTTTTCGGGAGAAAGGAAACAGATTATTTAGCTAAGTTACAAGTGTGGATTTCCATAGATAAATGAATAACATACTGCGAAGACTGAACCACCTACCAATTCACTATCAGCCAACCTTCAGCAAGCTCAATAACTACAACTTATAGTGCATTTTAAGTAGGTTTTTCATGCCAAGTTTTCGTACAATGATAAGTTTTTATTTTGGTAACATTTACAGCAAAAGTAACAGAATAACGAAAAATGACTATATATATATATATATATATATATATATATATATATATATATATATATATATATATATATATAAATGACGCCTACTGGTAAATGCTTGGATAAATATTTATACTGCGTGATGATTGAAGGTGAAATGAAAATTTGGACCCCAGCAGGATTTGAACCAGAGATCACTACATTCCCGGCAAATCATTGGACCGGAAACCCGTTAGTTTAAGTCTCTATACCATTCACTCATGGGTTTCAGTGAACTCAAACATAGATTACAAAATGTTTAACCACCATAAAGCATGTTTGCGAATAAACATGCTTCATTCGGTGCTGCAATATCAAGTGATTTATATCTGGTATTTTGAATGCAACAATATAACATATTTGTCTGTTTGCTGAGATACTGACTGGTACCTATTGTAGGAACAGTGGTTGATTTACAAGACCATCCTCCCAAAAGTTGACTTGAAGTCTAGTTTATAGGTGGTATAACGTCAAAGTCACATTCTGGAACTCTCTGATGGTCAAAATAAATAGCTACAGCATCTATCCATTAAGATCTTGAAATCCATGTATACAGCTGGTTTAAAGTATCTGTATTTCAGATCACTTAGACGGACTTTGTGCAATTGTTGTTTTTTTAATAGGTGACGAGTACATTTGAAAGCATAAACAATACGCGAAAAGGCTAAATAAAGCTTTCATATTGGTTTCTGTGTGAGCTTAGCCATATGGAGGAATTTTGGTTAGTACAGTTGACTATTCAGCATCAACTACGCTATAGAATTCAAACAGCAGTGAAAGCCCAAAGTAAAATTCAGTCTCATAACTGTATGATTTACAGTTTCTGTTTTATTCACGACAAATTATAGTTTTTAGAAAGTGAGGAATTAAAGGTTAAAACCACCTACCGATATTTAATGATGCCCCTAATTTTGCTAATTGTTTTTATTTCTGTCTGAAGCAACGGCATAAAATTAAACAGATGGAAAAAAGTATGGCTAGTCTAGAAAAAATCAGGAAAGTGACAGATGAGTTATTATACCAATGCATTCCTCGATCAGTAGCCAGAAAAATTCGAAATGGTACTCCAGCAATGGAAACAATACAGGTTAGTACATTTCTTAGCAGGATAGTTGCATTCTAGTCGTAGAATCCTTATTCTGTCAATTTACATTTCATAGATTTTTTCTGAATAAATAGAATAATTGACCATCTTATTAACAGGTATACTCCATTCGATGTAACTATTCTGCACTTTATTTGAGCCGAAGCGGTAAGTTTTTAAAAATTGGACTTTTCCTCCCCCGTTTTTTAGGAAGTCAAGCATCACAGAATGTTTTAGTGCTTCATTTGAGTCTTAGCGCTTTGAAACCTGAAGAACTAACTGAAAATCTTATCTACAAGAGTATAAAGACAGTCATCGAAATTAATCACCAATCGATAGCTGATAGAGTTGTTCACTCCCTAATGCTCAGTACTGATCAAACTGCATTGACTAAATTTTGCAATGTGGCCTCTATACAAAGTGATACAAGACTGAGATGCACTGCATTTAGATGTTGGAATTTGGAAGTGAGTAGACAGGAGACTCTGTTGGCATACATCACCAAAAGGCGTCCACAGCCATGAAGAAACTGGTGGTCTCCATATAATTAGACTATAGGTTACTCGTTGCTGTAGCTGAAGACAGCCACTTAGCTAGTCACGCTACAACTGACTGCCTGTAGAACTGGATTATGTACTGGAATTTGTCACCAGTGAGAACCCTATGTAGTCGTGCTGAGTACAGACCAAATTCCGTTGATCAAGATGCAATATGACACCTAAGCGAAGAAAAGCGACAATGTAATGCCCTGTGTTTTGTCGTTGCACAAGTAGTGAGGCTGTTCTTCTACCATATATCACTAGACATTCTATCATAAACCAATCTCTGGTCGGCTTTCAGTGTACGCACATGTAAAAAATGAGTATACATCATTTTTACTATAAAAATGCATAAATCTCAACAGGTTTGAATCAGTGCACGTCGACCAGCTGGCAACCAATGGTTAATATTACACTAAACTGAAATCAAGGGAACTTTACAGTGGACACTTGTGCATTGAGTGAAGAATACAAGGTTCATTCATATTCAAATACGATTGCAATATAAGGTCAGGAATTACTTAACTTATTGCCAGTAATGTGCTTAAACCACCTTTCATGATAATTGCAAAATTTCTTCTACGGTCTCTTGTAAGCTGTTTGCTGCTGGTCTTTGATGAACTGATCTTTAATGTTTTGTATCCTTAACAAGAACATATTCAAACTGGGGTCCTAATTCTTAGTATTTTTTCTTAATCTAAAAAGATTTATGCATGACAGTATGCTTCACATAACTGAATATATCTGATACACAACTTTGCGTCGAAGTCATGCCATTTACCTGAGTACCTATCTTTAGATGTTTAGTAGAGAATATATCTGCGCCACTGCTACCGATTTTCGGCCATTTCACAAAGAGTCTTCAATCACTGATTCCTTTTGTCTCTGGGATACCAATCAAGTAGTCTGTATCTCCCAACAGGGCTCATATCAACAGTCAGAGACTTCATTGAGTGGACCACACCTTGGTCTGGATATGAACTTCAACTAAAGGGTTAGTTTCACATTGAATGGATTTATTTGATATAACACATACAGATGCAGTGTGACAGTCATGTTTACCAGATCCAGTAAATAATATTTTTTTTCACTGTGTGTTCTATCGTATAAACTTTTTTTGTATGAAAGTATATACTACCATAGTGCTTAAATTCTACTCTTATATAAAGATGGCAAGTTAGATATCGATTGAACATTGAAAATATCTACTTATAAAGCTAATAAGTTTGATAGCTGCTGATTAGTCGAGAAAGAGAGAAAGATTTCATTCCAATTGATGACTTGTCTATACTGTATATCTTAGGTTATTTAACAGAGTGAATTAACGCTTTTCCCAGGTTGCATTCAGTAATCGACTTTAAATCCCATTGGTTTATATTTCCAGTCATTCTGTAACATTTAATACTTTCTGTAACTGTTTTTTTTAACCCTTTGTATGTTTACTTGAACTACTAAAGCTTTTTGATCTGATATAATTTGTAACAGTATTAATCTTTCCGATAGTAATGTATTCAGTCTTGTTCTATAGGGTAACAAAATGCTATTTTTATTATTATTTTCCCTTGGGTTCCTAGTGGAACATAAGGGTTCAGTAGCACGCCTCCATTGCACTGTGTTCTCTGCAGTCTTTTGAACCTGGCACCACGACTGCCCACAAGCTTTCATTTCTTTCTGACATGATCTCCTCCATGTCACCCTCCGCTGAGATGCCCAACTCGTCGTTCCCCTTCTAGGTTCCACTCGAGGGCCTGGTGCGTGATGTCCCCAATCGGCTTTCTCAGTGTATGCCCAATCCATCTCCACTTTCTTCTGCTTGTTTGTTGGGTGATAGGTTCTTGGTTGGTTCCTTGCCAGAGTTTTTTGTTGCTAATTCTTTCTGGCAATCCATATGATCTTCAGTATCGTTCAGCGTAGGTGGCAGCTGTTGATGAATGTCTGTAGTTTGTTGGAAACGCTTTCCATAACGCTCCAAGTCTCTCAACCACCACATAGAAGCACTGACTTGACATGAGTGTTGCAAATCCGGATCTTGTTCTTTATATTAAGCTGAGTGCAGTGTATCTCCAAACTGATTATTTCAGGTTAATGAAGGAAGGTCTGTCTTGCTTTTCCGATCCTGGTCTTGATATCCTCGTCTGTGCCGCCGCCTGTAGTTAAAAAGATGCCGCCTTGCCTCGGTAGGTGAAAGAGACTACTTCCTTTCGATTACTCCTGTTCATGGTGATTGGTGCTTGTTGTTAATGCTGTGGTTGGTTGGGTATCTTCATCACCCCCATCTTCTATACATTCACTTGAAGTTCCATTTTCGCTGCTCTGCCTCTTCTGTCAACTTGTTAGTTTTCGCCTGTGTATCTTCGAGTTTGTGCGACAAGACATTAGACATAAACCATCATCGGCGAAATCCAAATCTCCTAGGGTGTTTTCATAGGTCCAGTCAGAATACGCCCATCTTCTTGCTCCTCAAGGTTTCCTGAGTGATCCAGTCCATTACAAACAAAACGTTACTCAACGATTTTTACTTCAAACTCGCCTCTAAAGTAGACTCAGGTGCACTATCCAATCTTCTTAATGTTCTCTTACTGAAGCTAATGTGGATTAGTATAGATATACCAAATACAAATTTTGATGTAAGGGAATCTCAGAATACAAATTACATGAAACACATGTTAACTTGGCAGACCAAAAGATCTAGAAATATCAGAGTACCATGTTGATCAGATTGATTCGATCAGTATCATTTTTTAAGTTCGACAAATTATTCAGTGAATTTTTTGTCCTTTTAATGTGAAATGATTTGTTAAGATCAAAATGAAATTCTGATCCCTGTCTGTCTTCCTACTACACGGAAGTGAATTCTGCTTCAAGAAAGTATTGTGATGCTTTAGCACAATCTGTGCCTAAAAACTGATTTATTTTCTCTAACGGATATATGATACGATTTTGTCCTTTTTTTCGTCATGACTGTGAGATTCTAGTAATTTACTTGGTCGTGGCTAGCAGAGGATTCCAGGACGCGCGTTTCATTCTATTTGGGACCCGTCAGCTGGATGTACCTGCTGCCCAGTGAGCGATGCTGCTCTCATTGGAACTAACGAGTCCCAAATAGAATGACACACTCGTCTTGGAACCCTCTACTAGCCACAACTACGTAAATTATCATAATAAATATTCTTGCAATATCTAGGCATTCGCATAGAAACCTTTATACCAACAGAGGTAGCACAATTCGATCCACTATAACAAAGGAGAATTACAAGTAAATCAGTAAATAGTTGTAACTGTCAGATTCTGTCTTTAAATGTATGTATCACGAATTCCTTCGGGGCAGTGCCTTAGTTTAACCACGTAAATGAGCGCAACATTCTCTACGTTAGATGCGGAATACTAGATAGAAGATTGCAATCAGCTGATGAAGTTAGAAAACTACAATGACTTCGGTCACTCCAGGACTATAGACAGTATCATTTGGTCTGAGACTGCAGTTACATATTCATGAATATCCTGTCTACCTTTGTTCTGTATTTAGTTTCATATTTCATATAACAACACAAATCTACGCATTTATAAACCTAAGTGGTAACTGCAATCTGACACGTGTGGAAAAGCAATAAAAATTGAAGGTATATCACTGAACTACTTACTTGCATTCTAATCTCTATTCTTCAAGATTATATAAATTTTTCAAAGGTTAAGTTTTGAGCACCACAGTCGTGTTATCAACAGCAGTTTCGTTGTCTTTAAGTATATTGATAGTAATAGACACCAACAAGTGATAAAAGGGACAAAATACAGACATCAAGTTGCCATTTTATCAAAAAACATCAACTTGTTTTATTATCGTCTTAGCTCATTTTTTTAACGCTTATTTCTCAAAAGTAACTCTAAGTCAAAATGTACTTATAAAACTGAAAAATCCCACAGTTTAACTGGAGAAGAAATAAATGCTAGTGAAAAGGGGTAACTTTAAAAGCTACCTTAGCAATAGATGAGATAGCCAATAATATTCCTTTATTTTATGGGAAAGTACTAAAGTAGGCGAAATATCATGATTGGTTATTTCAGCAGTTGCTTAGGTGGCCTTTAAAGTTACTTTTTAGAAATTTCCCAATGCCCCTTATTTGGATACAAACTAAAAAGGTAAAAGGCACTGGACGATCTACTTCAACTTAACATTAAGTTTTATATGAGCTTAAGTTTATAATCTAAGTTCCCTGAAATAGTTTTACCAGGTCAGAGAGATTCCAGTAGCTTCATGAAGTATTCAACCAAATAACTAAAACCTTTTTCGTCGATTTGAAAGACATTCTTTATTGCATTGGTATACTCAATTGATATGGAAGAGTATTTCTAATTTTGGATACCACAGACATCTAGATAATTGTTGATTTTCAATTTTCCCCTAGAAACTTAATCTGTTATAAATGATTAAAAAAACTACACTAAAATATATTACTCTTGGAGTATTTCACACAATTTACTAGTTTAGTTTCTTTCATCTGTATCAACCTGTTTTCATGAAACCAAGAGGATATGTAGCATATTGATCAAAATTTTATATTTGCTTACTGCTTTTACTTTCTTATCAGACATTTGATGAAGTTACAATATGCTTTACTAAAGTTGTCAACTTTGCTGCAAAATGTATGCATATAACTGTTGAACAAGTGATTGAATTACTGAATCAAATGTATACTCTTTATGATGCTCTAACTGAAAACCATAAAGTTTACAAGGTAACTATGATTATTTCAATTTATCCTGAGTTTCATTTAATGAGTGGATACTCTAAAAAATTTTATAATGGATTTAAACACTTCTCTCATAATTTAATCGTAAACATTAGCCTGTTTGTCATCGACAATCGGATAACTTATTATTTTACATGATAGCCATAAGACATGTATGAATAACAAACAATAAAATTTCCTACCCCTATTTTATATAAGTCATTCACTTTTTATTTAATCATACTTGTAATTTCCTGTTGTTATTCTGAGCCGAATTGACTGATCTGTATTGAAAAATGAGATCCTATGCCAAAGTCTCGATATTGCCTGATTATTGATTATGTCTGAATTTGCTTGGTCTTGGCTAGCAGCGGAATCGAGGACTTGGGCTCTGTCCTATTTAAGACTAGTGAGCTGAATGTACTTGCAGTCTAGTCAGTGATGTCCATTGTATAACCATTACCAAAGAGTAAAGCTGGTCCTAGATAAGTGGATAAGAGGATTATAGTCACTGAAGCAGTAATTCAAACTTCCTACAATTACTAAATAGGTGAAGTTGACCACATTCATCACAACAGCGACATTAGTATCTGCTTTGATATTCTGCTTATTATTTGCATACAGTGGAAATTCGACTCATCATCTGATTTCATTACCAAAATATCTGAATGATAGGATGGAATCCTGGTAAGTTTGTAACCATTAATTACTTTTTTAAAAATAATTTTCACGTGAATATTTGTGTATTAAGTAGAATATCTGAGGCCTAACCTAATTATACCATTGAGTAGTTGACAGTAACGTTGAAAAATAACAGTGGGAACTGCTTTTCGTTGCAATACAGTAGCACTAGTGTAATCTAGTAGACAAGAGGTTATGATCAATATCGAATGAGTTCACTTCAGTCTAATTGAACCTTTCTTGTTTGAAGGAGACTGTAATGTGAATATGAGGACATAAATAATTATATTCATGTAAGATGTGACTCAAAGTCACTAATTGTCAGTTAGTAATGTACAACATCTACTTGGATGTTAGTTGGTCGATGACAATTGACAAGAAGCCCTGGACCTAAGTATTGTGCTTGTCAGGACACGTCAACAAAGCGTATGTGCAACCTTGAGTGAACTAAGTCCCCTGTTAGATCTGGACCCTCATCACCCAGTATTGTAATCAGTGACGTTACCGCTTAGCTATTTAGGCGTAGATCGACCTCCCTTTAAACTGAACAAGAGATATCGATTGGTTACTGGACAGTAACGAATTTCATATTTTCTAGTCCTGGGTGCTGACAAAATTCTGTTAATTGTTTCGCATTGTGGCCACTAACTTAGGAGGCTAAGCATCTAGATGCACTTAAATGACTGTTAGTTGGTTGGAGACTATCGGTATCTTTGGCATACTCGAAGGGAATGGCTTTATGCTCAACAGCCTCCACAACTAACTGGGTGTAATATGTAATACAAGAGTTCTAATAATTACTGAATAAGGTGATTGATAAATGGAAATATGGAAAATCCCTGCTCACATATGACAAAAGAAGTAAAACTAGAAGAAACAAAACACATTATATCATCTTGAATACTTTGGTGAATTATGGGCATACTTCAACGAGAAATATCATCAATCAGCAAACCAGTTACTGGTATGGAAATAGTGCATTATCTTGTAACAGAATATTGAGATTAAATACGGTGTAGCACAATTTTATCCATCTACAATATTTTTTGAAACAAGAAAGTATTTCTGTTTTAGTTTACTTCTCGTTATTACTCTACAGTGATGTATAAGTTTTCCTATAGTCTTTTTAGGGCACCAGATTATGAAGTTTAAACTGATGACATTCAAAATATAAAATGGTGAGCAAGGTAAATAAAAAGATTAACAAATCGACTATACAAAATGAAATGGATCCTAATTTGAAAAATTTTAGAAGAGTCAAGGCAACTGAAGGTTTATGTCATATATCAGTGTTAACTACTACTACCAACAGTAATAATAATAATGATAGTGCTAATACTAATGTGATAACGTTGTAAATAAGGATGGATATAAGTAGTATATGTTGGGAGGGCGGCGGAAATCATAGGGAATTACCAGCAATGGGTAGAGATTCTGCCAAAAGAAACCAAGAGATAAGATGGGCGTATGAAGAGTAAATCAAGAAAGAAGCAGAAGAGGAAACGAAGTATATTTTGCAAATGGTGGTTTTAGTGCAAGGTGTAGCACACTTAACGACTACTGTCTCACTTGTAAGTAATAAAAATCCATTGTATTACACCGTCGTTGGTTGGACCGAATTGATCAGCCTCTGTTGGCATGGGCTCCTATGCGGATGCCTCGATATGGCCTGTCTTTTAACTATGTTTAGTAATGATGGGCAGTAGCTAGCAGTGGAATCCAGGATGAGCATTTCGTCCTATTTGGGACTCGTCAGCTGGATGTACCTGCTTTCCAGTGAGTGATGTTGTTCCCACCAGGACTCGGACTTGGGAGCGATCGCTTCAAACGCCAGCACGTTTTCCACTACACCACCGAGCCACGATAGCCACTTCTTGTGCAACGGGTATAGGTTTTAGTGTTATTGCTTGTATTACACCGTTCGTTGATAGGACCGAATTTATAATTGTAATACAGCAATAACACTAAAACCTATACCCGTTGCACAAGAAGTGGCTATCGTGACTCGGTGGTGTAGTGGAAAACGTGCTGGCGTTTGAAGCGATCGCTCCCAAGTCCGAGTCCTGGTGGGAACAATATCACTCACTGGAAAGCAGGTACATCCAGCTGACGAGTCCCAAATAGGACGAAATGCTCATCCTGGATTCCACTGCTAGCCACTGCCTATCATTACTAAATAAACATTCCTCCCTGCATACATGTCTTTTACTTCTTTCACTAATACTAATACTGCTACTACTACCAATACTAATACCAGTGCTCACACTACTACTAAATAAGAATAAAAAAGGGAGATTTAATTATGTTGCAGGCCGTTCTTGTCTACTAGATAGTATTTAAAGGCTACACTGTGTGGATATATGAGACAATGAAGGTAACTGTACTAATTTCATTGTAATGAAACGATTCCTCCTAACAAGATTGATGGCGTTATTTTACATTATATACATCATACAAATGAATATCCTGAACACCTTGCTGTGTTAAATCAGAAACCTATATCTTTCATTCACCCACAACCAATGATACCTAGAGATTGGGTAATCAAATTGTGTAGCATCATATTTCTGATGAGCAGTCGTAGTAACATAAATATGAAGCAATTACAGACACCTTCAGATTTTTGACTTCAGAAATCAACAGCTTATTTATTCATTTTACATGCAACGTAATGCAATGGATAAATTTTCTCTTGATCTTTCTTTAAAAAATCAGGAGAAGAGGAAATGGATATTCAGTTTTTTTCAGTTTTCAGAACACATTCACTTGAGCACTGTTGATTGACTAAGAAATCAGTCAAAAAAGTAAAGATGACTAGCATAAAGTATACATTTAAACAAACGTCTTCGTCCACTAAAGCAGAAGTAATCGTACGTCTACCTATTTTTTCTAAGGTGGAAACAATTAATGACAGTTATATGTTGGTTTCTGGAGTACCAAGTCGAACACCACTACACGCTGCACACATCATCGATACAGCATTAGATATCATAGAAACAACACTAGCCAGTCTCTTTTGGCCAGAAACTATTGAAAATACACCACCAGGTTCTAATAATAAAACTGTGTACACAGAAGAAAACTTACATCTTTACATTGGATGTCATACTGGTCCAGTTGTTGCTGGTGTAGTTGGTTATAAAACACCAAGATATTGTTTATTTGGTGATACAGTGAATACTTCAAGTCGAATGATGAGTCATGGTATGGTAAGTTAACTTGTTCATTTCCACTGTAAATATCTCTGTGATAACTTGAATATACAGTTTGGTGGATTTACTTGATTGTCTCCTCTTCATTTTCAGGAGTTAAAATCAGCGATAGATTACTTAGCTGTGCTACTGAACCAGAATTAGTATCTATATTCTGACTTAGAAAAGTCCTAAAGTGTCTAAACACTTTAAACTAATCCATAAATTTGTATATAATCAGTGATGATATATCTCCAAATGCTCTACCAGTTAAGATTTTTACTCCCAGTTAAACATCCTAAGAACGAAGAGTTTTTGCGGTAGTATTTGCCTACTTCAACTGAAGTATGGCTGTTTTCTTAAAGTAACTTAAAGTAATTCAAACGGAGGATCATTAACACCATCATTTACCATGATTATAACATCAACAAAAATCAGTGTAAAGATTATGGAGAAGACGTTTTCAGTCAATCAAACTTCGAAGTTTAAAGGATGAGTACGCTTGTTCATTAGCCAGTAAAATAGATTAAGTGCCTCGTTTATGATTATCCACTTTTGAAGACATGAGCATCAAGGATTTTCCAGATAGAACTGAATAAAATGAGGGTTAGGTAAATTTGTTTGCAAAAAGAAATAAATTTGCAAAATACCCGTGAAGTAGAAAAGTGAACTTCTAGTTTTTTCTCAATCTCCTCGAAGCTTTTTTCCTCAACAATAACAAAACAAGTTATCGAATGTTTAATTAACAAATACAAACAAATCAGATCACATTGTTAGTGTACTCAAACGCCAGTAATGTAACAACATGGGAATGATTGTAAGCGTCATTAGATAACATTAATCCGTTCGTTTAAGGAGAAGATGTGAATCTATATGTGTACTTGAATGAGCGTAAATGAGTGTGAGAAAGGCAACCTGGATGAGAAAGTCGAATATGTTAATTCATTATGACAGATAAAGGAAATGTGAAAGGGATTATAAACAAAATCAATTACGACCACAAGGCACTGAAACATATCTCACTGGGTCTCCTCATGAAATGAATCGAAAAAGCACCAAAAATAAAGAATAGGTTGAAAACAGACAGAGGTCAGTTGTTCAAACAATTTGAGTCATTCATTACAGATACCTTTGTGTTCTAAATCATGCACATCATCACGTTTCTATGAGTTAGTGAAAATTCATTAACCTGATTTCCCTTTAAGACCCATAGTAGATCATACATTGTCAAGTAGATCTCTGACTTTCAATTTCATCATAAAACCATCTAAACTTTGTTTGAATTTAACGCTTTTTACATCCAGAAAAAAATGATATAGGCAGACAAATCCAGTAGAAACGGGTTCGCCTGTGTCCCTTATCGCTGCAAATCTGTTAATTTGTCGAAGCGGATCTATAATCTCTATTAACTCTATCATATCGCGTATTTGTAATTAAAAATGACCAACCCTGAGGGCTTTTTTTCAAAATTAATAAACATTCATTCTTCAGAAATCAAATTTACATGTGAATATGAAAAGAAAAGTAGAGAACTATCATTTTTAGACTGTTTTATTAGAAGGAATAGGGGAAGGTAAGTTATTTTTTTCCCAGTATGTCGTAAAGCAACACATTCCAATCGACATCTTGATTTCAGCTCAGTACATCTACTCAGTGCTAATCTTTTGCTTGCTCTGAATTGAATGTAAAGACCAAATCTCACTATGAATGAGGACGATGGACAAATGAAAATATATTTTACATTCCAATAACTATCCTAAGAATATTATTCATAAGATTGAAGAATGTGAATATAAAAATCCAAAAGAAAAGTCGAATGGAGAATCTTGGATAAGTAAAGTAGCTGTAATTTTCCTATAGGGTATGAAAGAACTGCAAATAATTAGAAGGAAATACTGGATCAGAACTTTCCTCAACAGAAGCAACGCTTTTAAAAATGCTTAAGTTCATATAAAAGACAGAAATCTTCTTGCCTTCACATTGAATTCTAACTGTAGGTTAAGCTGTTTCAATCATGCTGTCGATTACATTGAGGAATCAAGCTGTGCTAAAAAAAAAAGCATACAAGCTAGACAAAATGACCTCCAAACAACCTTGTAGAACTGGAGAATTTACAAATCAAAGCTACATTCACTGTTTAAGCCATCCGGCACAGCCACAATAATTTTCTAACTTCAAGGAAAGACAGATAGCTGGGCCGTTTTCCATTGAGTTAGATCTTAATGCACTCAAAAGGAAAGAAGGCGTAACTATCCAATCAACATCTATAGAGTATCCGAAGTGATACACTTCACACTTAAGTTGTAGTTAAACTCCATACCCACACAAACAAACTGAATTTCTCATTCATAGTGCCTTTCTCACACTCATTTACGTCTATTCACATCTCTGATGACACCAACAATCGTTCCCATGCTGTTATCATTCCCATAGGCGTGCATGAACACTGTGGTTTGATTTGTTTACATTTGTTAATTAAACATTCAAGAACTTTAACAAGTTTTATTATCAGTTTGACTATCTGAGATCGCTATGGTCTGTCATAAGTGTATTGTAGTAGGTGTTTTTTGAACGTGAAATGAAAATTTGGGCCATGGCAGGACTCCAACAAGAGACCTTCAGGTCACCGATCCAGTACTAAGTTAAGAAATCTGGCTGATGACCAGATTCTTATTTCACTTTCAATCACCAAGTATTTTGCCTGACATCTATGGGCCGGTGACAATGAAGGTCTGTTGTTGGAGTCCTGTCGGGGATTAGAATTTTATTTCACCTTCAGTCAACACCTAGTATAAGATCTATTGTTTCGCGAAACCGACTTAACAAGACTGCTAAACGTCGGAACTTCACTTATATACTTCACTGTTATTTTATTAATTTATTTCTTTTCTAAGATCTTTCACTGTTGAAGTGAATAATAATTCTCACATTTTTATGCGGTACTAAACCAACAGCGTCGACTAGTATGGAATGTCATGCCTCAAGTTATCAGTATAATTAATTTACAGAGTAAACAACAAACTATTTTACTGTCTAATGAAAGTCTGTGTATGGCGGCGACTGGAACTAGTTAGATTTCTTGCAAACACGAATTCCAGCTTGAAAAATACTTCTAAAGGCATAAATAAGACGACACATACAAATGTATGTAAATCGAATTTTAAAACTGGCTGAATCAAAGGAACAGAACGTCCAATAGCATGAACTCAAAAGCATCTCTAAAAACTGGGCAGTCCACTATCATTGTGCAACATCGTTGTTTTCATAAATGGTGCCTCACTCCAGTGATTCAGAAAAACTATTAGTTTACGGATTAGTTTATGAAACATAGTTTCTATATCCAGTATTTCTTTTCCAGGCATTTGTCAGCAGCCTTAAGTTAAGTAACTTCTGTCCAACCAGTAGTACGATATTACACGCTATAACACCAGCAATGCCCATTATGACTCATCATCCGATTGAATAGCTTCCTGGAGTTTTAGGCGAAGGATTCTGAGTTTGAGTCCCACTGGGGACAACATCACTCACTAGAAGGCGAATATATCCAGTTGATGAGTTCAGAATAGAACTAGGTGAGTGTCCTGAATTCCACTGCCAGCTGCTATCCTTCATTTCGATCATTTTTCATAATTTTATCTATATGATTAAAATGAAATTGTAAAAGCAATTTAATCCAAATGCATTAATGCTATATTGTGCACAGAATCAACCGAAAACACTTCCTTTTGTCTTAAAGAGTTTGGCAGTGTCATAAATACGCTTAAATATTGTCAGTTATTTAATAGATTGAACCCAACTTAATGTAAGTTCTCTTGATTTTTAATGTTGATAGCCAGATCAAATTCATATTAGTGAATCATGTGCTCAATCTCTGTCACCCTATCCATATGTGGTGGAATGTCGAGGAGAAATCTCAATAAAGGTATGTTTCTTCAACTAAAACATAAATAACCATCCTTAATATGCCTCACAATGTTAGGGATTTGTGCAGTATTTGTCATACTGTATCACATGGTCCAATAAAATACTCATAGAAACTATCAGATTTAAATATACGGTAAGAACCTATATGTTACAACCTATGGAATGTCGTATGTTCTGAATTCTTAATGTGGCTACAATGAGAAATGTATTCGATAACTGGATGAATTACTAACCTGAAGGAAAATAAGGTTAGTATCAGAAACATTTTTTTATCTAAGAACAGCTTACAATTTGAGCCACTTATCTGTATGTATGGGTGACATGATTACAAACCTATTACAATTGTACAACCAACCTACTCAGTCAAGAAACTGCACAGCATTCTTTATCCACAAATGATAGTTAAATCTGTACAACAGTATAGTCACTGGAATAATCCATGAATGAAAATAAAAGGCTTATTTGTCTATGAAATTATGCAAAACAGCTGTTTTGTAAGAGTTTCTTTAATAAGTAAGAAATAATCCGTTGAGATTTGGTTATTTAACCAATTTTTGGGTTTATTTATTTAGTTTTTTTGGTAACGGACATTTCTGGACCAACGTTCATCAAATCACGAAATACATTGAAGTCGTTGAATAAATTATGTATCCAGCTTTTAACCGGTTAGTTAACGAAATGTTTTGGACAATTTAAGACAAGACAATCGCCACTACAATCAAAAAAACTTATCACCTGTTGTCTTTCTTTCCTAAAGTGATACTATCCTTCAGGTCATACTTCACTCTCATCTCCTATGTATCGACAGATAAATAAGCACAGATCTTACAACTTCCTCGATACAAAAGCCTGTCATTTTCTACTAGTTTCCTAATCATCCATTTTTCACAGGCATATACTCGAACCACTTGTTCTCAGTTTACTTCATACATTTAAGACTAAAAGGTCATTACCGATGAAACTCTAAGTCACTTATTTGTTAACCTTCCCGAATTCTCAAAAAATCTGCGCAGTGTTGCACCTTTTGCTAATAACTAACTAGTGTTATTCAAGGTAAAATCAGCTGTAATGCGCTCAAAGTTATACATACGTAAATTTCACACATGCTATCTTGATTTCTATTAGAATAACAAATTTTACCTCTAAGTCTTATCCTAAGATTGTTTTTCTATTGGCAGGGTAAAGGGGGTATGAAAACGTACATTGTAACTGGTCGAAAACCAGATTTTACCACACAAGACACAACTGATGGTAGCAGTCGCAGCTTCGCTGAAGTCCTTAGAGAAGACTTACTCAGAGAGGATGAGACACCGTCAGAAGACTCAGAAGATGCATCTATCAAACTATCAATCGATCTTTCTGATAAAAGTGGGACTACTGAAGGCTCCGCCCCAGAATCACCACAAAATGAGATAGAAGAATTGGAAATGGATGCTGATATGAATGAGACAAATGATGTGTCTTCAAAGAAACAAGAACGTAGATCCAGTCGAGGTGGAAGTAGGCGTTCAAGTAAAAATAAAGTTGGCTCCGGTAAAAATGAAGAAAAGCGGCGCCAATCTCAACCGCGCTCCAATCGTGCCTCACCAACAGCTGAGGATGCAGGATTGGACAAGAGTGACTCTGGTTTCGTAAACAATCAAAACACAACCGAAGTTCTTAACCTAGCTGCACGCCGTCTGGTTGAAACTAAAATTATGGACATAAAAAATGAACAGAAAAAGAAGCAAGATATAACATTTAGCCTAGATAATCCTAAAGAAATCATGAAAGAATCACCAAGCGAAGCGGATTTGCAAACAATCGGTAACGTGGGCGACGAAGCAACTCTGTTTAAGTCTAAGCCAAAATCATTTGAACGCACAAGGCTGATTAAACTGAACGCACCAAACAGAACTCGTAATGAATCTACTTCTATCAAATCCAGTCAGGCTTCTGGCATTAGTGGTGATGGAAGTAACTTAGAATCAAGTATCAGTGAAGCTGTTCCAACGAGTAATGACACTGACGACACTAAAACTGAAGATGATCAAAATGAAAAAAGTGGTGAGAGTTTTCAATTTCTATCTAGTATAGGATTCATATGTAATGTAACCCTTGCTTACACCCATTATGGTTTGTGCAATGGTTTTTGTCTAGGTAATGACTTTTTGAAGACTGAAATGATAGTTTATGACTATTTGTTGAAAAGTAGTATTCATCATGGAATGACATCAGTTGGGGAACCATTGGAAATCTGGGAGCACTGGATAGCTGTTTCGTCCAACTAGTATGGGACTCCTCAGCAGTACGCACCCACGACCCGGTTAGGGTCAACCAGTCGGGAGTGAAGTGGATGCTAACTGAAGACATTGGGTGACAGTCGCGCTATGTCGTGAAGTGACAGAAGTTGGGAATTGTGAACCACTGGAAACCGACCCACTGGCTGAATGGTTAACGCGTTCACCGTGAAACCTGAAGTTCGTGAGTTCGATCCCTAGCCGGGTTGTGGGTGCGTACTGCTGAGGAGTCCCATACTAGTTGGACGAAACAGCTATCCAGTGCTCCCAGATTTCCAATGGTTCCCCAACTGATGTCAGTCCATGATGAATACTACTTCTAAATTAAAAATCCCCATTCATCTCAAAAAAGACTAGTTGTTCGTTGTTTTCAGGAAAAATGTCAGTCACATTGTTTTGTACACAAAACGGAATAGTGATCTGCCAAAGGAACAGATTCGAGATATGTATCTTCTTGATAATATTCTCCTCTCGTTTTATGTGATACTTGAAACCTTACGAAAGTCGACCACTTATGATCTTCCTTGACTGTTAACTGTACTAATTGCACTTACCATGTTAACTGTGTATCTTTCTGTAATGAATTTTGATTCTCGGAGTTTTGTCATTACATTTAATCCCGTTATGACTCTTCTAGTGTTTTCATATTAATGTCTGTATGTAAATAATGAGGTCGAACTGTCTGTTATGCTGTTTTCACAGACTGGGTGAACAAATTGTGTATTATGTATGCCCCAATTCCTGGTTTCAACACTTCTAAGACCTATATTCCTATCAATGCATAATGTATTACAAGAAAGTTGTGTATCACATAAGCTCGAGTGACTAGTATCAATGAGTTGGATTTTTTGCACATCCTAGTTCAAATTATTATCTTATAAATTAGTTACTTTTATCCCATTTTTCGTCTCAGTTTAATTTCTTGTATATCATGAGATTTGAAACGGAGACAGTTTAAGTTACGCACTGTGTAAACCAACCAATGAGCAATCATTAGGAGTATTTCACTTGTTAATTCTTCATTCATTCCTAGTTATATTAACCTTTGCATTAGTGATAAAGAAGTTTAACTTGAAAGTATCTTAGTCAACAATAGATATGATAGTTCAGAAGAACTTGGGCACCCTGGGTAGTGTAAATCTTTGCACATGGTGTATATTAGAATAAATAATGCAGTAAAGAAATATCTTTTATTGTTTCTCAATGTTTTGATCTTGTTAGGGAGATCCTATTCAAGAGTATGTATCTGATGTTGTATTTTCAGGTTAATATTCCAGTTCGACACAGACAGGATGACTGTTATATACAATACTGACTTGCTTCCTGCAATATCGTATTAGATTAGTTTCTTTACTATAGAACACGGTAATTCACTGTCATTTACTCATTGACATTTGTAACATGAATTAATACCTATAATCTTATCAAAGTTGACACCACTTTCAAAACGTATCTTTCTTATGGTTGTATTTGTTCTCATTCTTCAATTCCAATGCCTTCCATCTTGCTGTCGATCCACATGTTGAAGTTATTGGTGAAATTTACATACAGATGCTGAAAACCTAAGTAGTATCTTTGAAACCAGAATTGAATGTAGAAGTTATTGCTTTATCAGCAACAGAATCTCAAACTTGAATCTGCCATTCACACATAACCTTAGTTATCGCTAGAAAATGAACTGGAATATAGTCCCAGTAAAGGAGGAATCGAGAAATAGACTGCCACTCTTATCAACCAGTAGAGCCAACACACGAGACTCAAATATGTAGAAAGGCTACCTATACTGACTGAATCTCCGGATAAGAGAGCAACTAACCAACACTGCAAAAAATAAATTGTGTGCAGGCTCAATTCGAAAGAGTAAAACAACACTGTCATACAACTATCTCCAGCAGAAATGAAGAAAATTACCTATGCTGTCCAAAACAAGAATGATTAGCTGTGCAACTTCAGATGCTAGTCCAATTCACCATCAAATATAAAGTCATTCACCCCAATCAGTAGATGGTTGTTCTGTCATACACAAGTAACATATCAAAAGTTACAACAAGACTGCTGATATCATTTGGACTCAGTGTAGCTTAGAAGTCCCCTGCTGAATTATATGAAGCAAAATAAGCAATAGTTAAGCAAGATAAGCTAAATATGATTTGCGGAATTAACTTCAATAACTGAAGTAAACACTATCGTGGACAAAATGGTCATCCTCTTCATCACATTCAGGATTGGTTGCAGCAACATTTAATTCTTTATGTAACTGCATATGGACACGTTTAGACACGTAATCCATTTGGTGAATATACATAACAGATTTCTGGAAGCGCAGGATTCAAATCAGTCAGCAATCAGTAAGTGCATAGGCATAGACTTACTAGGTCAAAAGTCAGGTAGAGAAAAAACCAAGAAGAAACGAAATGTATTTAATGAAAAATTCAGTGAAAACAAACATGTCACTTTATCTGAGCAGGTTGTTAAATCAATGATGGAGATACTATAACAGCTCATTGAAGTTGGCTCTGATGATTTTGTACAGAAACAGAATGAAAGCTTCACAATTAAACCATCTAGCTCAGCGAATGTAAACCTAACTAGACTACTGTTCAACAGATTTATGATTACTGTAATCGGATGACGGTTAACAAGTGGTATTGGAAATATTGTTTAGTAAAGGATGCTGCATCACTAAGCGATATATTACATTAATAAATCTAATATAAAATTCTGTCTTGAGTTTTGTGGAGGTTTATTATTTGATTTTAGGTTGGAATTAATCACGGACTGACATCACTTGGAGGGACATTGGAAGCCTGGAGAAACTGGACGGCTGTGTCGTCCTAAAATGGAACTCCTCACCAGTGTACACTCATTACTCTGCCACGTCAGGGATTGAACCCAGCACCTTCAGGTCCCGTGGCCAGCACGTTAACATTGAGCCACTGGGTTGGAATCCAATGGCCCACATTTCCAACTTGTGTCAGTTCATGATATAGTGCGACCTATATCCAATGCTGTCTTTGAGTAACTGTCCTAATGGTTGAAATGGTTGATTCCACTAGTCACGACTTCTCATTGGAACTTCGGGAATCACCTGTCGAAACTAGTCACCAATGAGCGCTAGATTAATTCCAACCATAAATCAATTAATAAATCTCCACAAACCTCCAGATTTAATTAATCTAGTGCTCGTTAGTGACTAGCTTCAACACATGATTCCCAAAGTTCCAAAGGAAAGTCGTGACCAGTGGAGTCAACCGTTTCAACCATTAGGACAGTTACTCAAAGACAACATTGGATGTAGGTCGCGCTATATCGTGAACTGACAGAAGTAGGAAATATGGCCCATTGGGTCCCGACCCAGTGGCTCAATGTTAACGCGCTGGCTTTGGAACCTGAAGGTCCTGGGTTCGATCTCTGAGGGGGTGGGTTCATTTGTGCGCACTGCTGAGGAGTCCGATACTAGGAGGAAGCAGCTACCCAGTGCTCTCAGGTTTCCAATGTTCCTCCAGCTGATGTCAGTCCATGATGAATTTCAGCTTAATATAGAGTTGTATTCTATGACAGTGATCACGTTCTATATAGACTTTACTGAAACATCGTTTGGCTTCATCGCGTTAAGAATTTTCATCTGAAACAAACTTATGTTATAGAAGCATATTTCCTGCTGTAAATGAGACTGTTTGTATTTTGACAGCAGTAGGGATAAAGTTCATTCTGTTGTTCAGCTTCGTTGTTAATGTTTGACATAATATTGACCAACTTTCAAATATTTGAATCTAGCTGTAATTTTTATAGAACATTTATTCTATAATTCTTTGGTAAGGGAGAGCAGTTCACAAGTTGGTAAATTTTATCCATTGCACAGTACAAATATCTATTAAAATAACATTATATTTTGTATTTGTGTATTTGACCTCACTGGAAGCTGTGCAACAATATCGGAATATGGTCATACAAAATCGTTTTGATCCTGTACCAGCAATGCCATTCTGTTCTCCTCAAGCGGCCATGTTCAGAGATTTAGGTAAGTCATCTCAATCTTTTGATTACAATGCTTACTTGAGATGCGTTGTTGGGCTAGTTGAGTTCGTTCACATATTTATCATTTGAAATGCAGTGGTCTAAACACTTTATAAATAGTTTAGTAAACTCTTTGTGACGGAGAGTATAGAAAAATATCAGCATACATTCCCCACTTGATTTTACAAAAGTGTTTATTAACTGTAATCCTAATGCTGTATTTCAATTAAGATTTAGTCAGAAATGAACCTGGATAATTCAAACAGAAAGATGAATTACTTATGTTTACATAAGCATGTACATTTATAGAATTCAGTGCCTGCCAGCATAACACCATTACACGTGCTCCAGTGCTTAGTGGATATTGATTCAGTGTTTGAAGCAATGGGTAGGGGATACAGTCCCAGTGGGAGCAACATTACTCACTAGGGTGCGGGTACTTCCATTCGGTGAGTCCCGAATAGGACGAAACGAGGGTTCCGGCTTCTATTGCTAGTCATAAACATTAATATAAATGCACTTATTTGACTAAATCATAATTATTTATCCGAATGTTGAATGTCTATTCAAATAACCAGTAGTGGCTTTGTCATGTATGAGGTTCCGCTCACCATTCGCTTTATTTTGAGTATACATTAGAACATCTTTGTTGAGCTCCTGCCATACTTTCTGTATACCTTTATTCATTTCACTGCTTTGTGTCACTAAGTGATAGTGATTCATTTCTGTCAACACTCAACTTTCTGACGATAACTAGCCAACGCTGATCCACCAAGTGAGAAATGAATACGCAGATAGTCACGTTAGTCGCCACATAACAGATATTATTCAGCATAATAAACGAACAGGTTCACAGAGATATTGTTATCAATCAGAAACCAGGTCATCTTAGTAGCTTCTACACACTTCTCTCTTTACTTGTGTCTGGACACTTGGCTAGTGCATGACGTGGAATCGTAGACTGCAGGATAGTCGTCCTGGGTTAACATCAGTAGAGGCCTTTTGACGTCCTTTCTTTGGTGTTCGAGAGATCGTGCAACTCATTGGCTTAATATGATAGCACAGCTTAGAAGAGAAACCAGTTGCGATTATAACATAGTTCTCTTGTTTCATTTACTACTGAAAGTAAAAAGAAAGTAGTATATCCATCTTTGGATGCATATTTGAGACTACTTCTTTAATAACCTATTCATATTTTCGTTTCTTTTATTTCCTCCATATTCTCTGCCTTCTTAATGTAGCTTAATTATTTTGTATGGCGCAACTTTTGATATTCAAGTTATGCCGAATTTGAGTGTCAACTGAAAATGAATAATAATTATTTCAATATGAATAATTAAATGTTAAGCGCTGAGACTGGTTATTTCTACCTATCGAAATGCATCTGCAAACAATTTCAGCCAAAATGACTTGAGAAACAGTTGAAATTTCATTTTAAAAAATGTCATACAGTAATTTTTTCATATCTAGCACACTTGTTGAAATTCAGTCATATTGTTGAGGCTTTGTTTATGCATAAGTAATAAGACATTTGTCATGTTTATTGTCAAGACGATCGTTTCTAGGTGAAACATTGTTTGGAGTACATGGGATGCACAATTACCATGCGTGCTTAATTTCAACCTAGACAGTAGTGATTACGCTACAAAACATAATTAGTGTTGTACACTTATAATAGTGGGGTAAGAAACTAGTGAAGACTACTGTGGAGAAGGGATTTACGACAGATAATTTCAGATATATTCAAATATTTCTTGTGTAATCGTCACTAAATGGAAAAACATCACCTATAACGTTGTGTAAAAGGACCAATTACTGTGGAAGAAGAAATGAAGATAACAGACTGAATATAAGAAGAAGGATTGATCACTGTCGTATGCTATACAGAAATTGGGTTAAAGGAATCGGTTCAATGTATGACACTTATCACCCGTCTAGCTGTTAACATGGCTATACAAGCTCAAACTGACATGAAAACGAGCTTAGAAATTTCAGAAATATTTATCTTATTTTGTGATAACATAATGAAATATTAGAAAATTCTCTATTGGAGATTTGGAATCAAGTAAGACTCTATGATTTTAAAAATTGCTTTTTATTTTTACAGACAATAGACAAGTTAGGGAACCTAAGTAATTCACAATCTGGATAGACATATCCAGTAGCACTTCTGTTGAATAAAACTAATGTTGCTCTGCTTAGGTTGTGAAGATAAGTATAATTTAACCGTGGATAAAAACGGTTTCTTCTATACCACTCTGTACTTGAAATCCAAAGTAAATACATCACTGTTGGTGTACTTTTCCGAGTATATCTATCTATCTATCTACACAGACTAAACAAACGACACATTTAGACATTCACTGTAGAATAAATTCTGTGTAAGCAGTAGACAGTCCAATAGAGTAAATTTTCACTTTAGATGAAAACCATACATGAAATTTAAAGTCTTCTGCACTCTATTTTGTTCGCTTACATCTTCATAAAATTAACCTCATATTCTAGAACAATCAGTAATTATGTTACCTACATTTCATTAAAGCGGATATTTCAGTAGTGACGTTTTTACTCAACCAATTCATAGATAAACAATAATTTCATGGAGTCAAGGAATTATTTCAGATCAGAAATTGTGTATTTATGAGGTCGAATTTTCTTTGTGTTTTATCATCTGGAATAAAGTACTTATTAGGAAAACGTGTGATCAGTGTGAACACTGCTTCACTTTATTGTATTTCCTAGTTCTAAAGAAAGTAAAATACAACAGGAAAATTCTACAGTTTATGATTAATCAAGAAGCGATCCTATTTTCTTTAACAACCATACTGAAAGTAATGCTAGCTAAATGAATAACGACAAGTCAATTCACTTAACCTTAGCTTTAATTCACACTGAAGCAACCAGCTAGTTTATCTATACAAATAAAAACTGAAGAAAACCGATCGCTAATGATTTTTAACATCTGTGTAGCGTTTCATAATCTTGTTCAAGGCTCGTTAGCTATGGCTACATTTTAAATGGGACTGAAGTTTATCTGTTAAAGCGTCTCTGAAGTAGATACACACTGGTACTTCATAAAAGTAGTCACCACACTGGCTTGTTTGTATGTTAAGTTCACATTCGTAGATCACTGGTGTTAGCCATATGATTTCGCTTGCTATTCGGGATTAATCTGAGCACATACGTGATGCTCTACTTGTTACAAACCGTGCTGATAGATGATAGACCTAGCTGCATTCATTTCATATGGTCAAACCGATCAAATCACCGTGATATGATCACTTGTGCAACTCAGCTCATTTGTGAAACACTGTCTTCTCACTGGTAGAGTGAGTTGGCAGACGAAGATGATAACTAACCACTTCACTTGTTAAGTAGTATTTTTCTTTATTCCAGCAGCTACAATATTCAGTTTTTATTTAGAAAGACGTCAAAGCATGCAAGTTATAAACTATTATTCGGTAGTTTGTTCAAGTAGCTGAAATCGCTCTGAAAATAGCTAGCCTAATACTTGTTCATGAGGAGAACTGTCTTAAACGCTAGACTACTTCAACCTTTGAATAGGTATATTGATTTTGCTCTTATATGATCATGTAATGGATGAGTGTTATTGCTGTGCTGACACACTTCAGCCTTTAAAGTACCTATACCATTAGTAAACTGGTGTGATACTCAACAGGTTTAAAATCATATTCTCCTCCTCAAACTGTGAACAAGTTTAGTGGTGCAAATAACAAGAGATCAAAGCACAAACTGTATCTTCCATATAACCGGAAACCTTATGCTAAAACTCTTTCACCGCTGCCTACAACAATTTGATTAATCCTTATAAGCTCATGATGCTTCGCCGGTAAAAAAAACAAGATATGGTGCATTATTTGCCATTCAGAAAAGGCCTTTCCAGTTAATGAACATTTTTATGTGTCATTAGGAACTGTCTTGTATTAGCTACATTTTCTCGTTGTTAGCAAAGGTATAAGTGTTCAGAAAATAGACATTTTATTGCAACAGCTTCATTACTCATGGTCACAAGTCGGTAGCTTTATTAACAGAAACCATACAAGCTTGAATTTCTATCTTATAAACTTGAATAGGACTGTTTAAATGAACAGTAATAAGTCAATCACATGTTAGCACTCAGCTGAGTAATTTGACAATTTCTCAGAATTTGAAGACTTATATCTTCAGATTTTCAGTATTTTACCTCAACCTTCAGTGATCTATGAATTTTGCAAATAAGAACTCTTCGACTAGTTGTACTGTTTAGACCGTTGGTGAAAGATGTGGTTTCATAATTACAGAAATTTTCATTCAGTTTATCTCAGAGTGCACTAGTCAAATCTCTCTGCATATAGTTGAAAGTTTTCGAGTTGTTTTAATTACATTTATGAATCTTCTGTCACAGAGAATTAAATATACCTAAACCTAATGAAACAGAAAGTAGGTTGGTTAGTCACTTCAGAACAGCTAGTGTTAAGTTCCTTACCATATAGTGATTACTGAATTCTCTCTCCAAAGATCATAATCTGAATAGCTAAGTGAGGGCATTTTTGACTATCACGTTGATCCACATGGCTTCAAGTTTTTCAAAGATGTCACAACCCCTGAATTTACAGATATATCTTAGTGGAGAAATTCATTGCAAGCTATCTTGACTTTCTTTATTCTCGAAGAGGAGGCTTTTAAAATTTTAGGTTGGTAGCATTGAATCGTCACTTTATTGCCATAATGACTGTGGTAGGCACTTTTTTCACTTCATTCAAAGCTAAAGTAACTCATGAATCAGTTGTTAGTTGAAGTACTTCCTACTGTACTCTTATGAAGTGATAATACAGTTCCCTGTGATCAGTGTAACGTTTGTACTGTTTGTGTATAGGAAGTCTATTCAGTGTGAGGGTATAAGTAAAGAATATTGTCACCAACAAATAGGAGTCAATTTGAATTTCATTGTTTTTCTAAAAAGCCCTGGAATCCAGTAAATTTGCGGTAGGAAAAGAGTGAGTGAGTGAGTGAGTGAGCGATTGAGTATTATCTCAACTAACTTTTATCATTTCTTCCTCCCCAAAATTAGATAATAGTACCTTAAATTAAATGTATATATTGCAACTGAAATTCTTGGAGATATCGTGTACTGAAACGTACACTTTTATGCCTTCACACCCAAAACTATATCATAATTCAACATTTCACACTGATTACTTTTTGTTCTCACACTTCAGTCCACATTTGTAGCAAGACAGGAATGAGTGTTTTTAAACACCGACATATTTAACTCGGTTCAACATATATAGTATCACACTTTAGAAGGAAATCCATTTACCATATATCCAATCAACTAACCAGTAAATTTATACGTTGTATACTGACACTTATTACTAATAAGCCGAAAATAAACTACAGTATGCCGTTAAGTGGACAAACTTCTCTGATATGATATTGTGAATAATTTGACAAAGTAGTAAATGCAAGCACTAGATATCTCCATTTTACTGTCAATCATTCCTTAAATGGTTTGGATACGTTTACTTTCAATCTTCAGCTTCGAATTTTATGCGAAGAATCGATGAGAACCTGACAGAATTTTGGGAAGAAAATATGCGCAAATTGAGAGACTTAGGTTGCTAAAGTCAGCGTTCCATGTAGAATGAATTTCATAGTACTTTTGGTAAGTTATTTGGTGAAAAGAATTTCAGGCATATTTGTGTATAGTGATGTATTCATCGTATAAAATGTACACTAGAGATATCAAAGGCCATTCTTATTAGACTAGAATATTTCACTATACTAGGTTACAGTTTCTTAATTTATTCTTGATCTCTAAGTTTTCAGAAAATCAAAAGCATCAGCTGATGTAAAGCTTTGTTAGTTGGTCAGCGACGTTGCCACTAAGCTATTCAGACCACAACTGGCCTATGGTAGGACTGGATTACATTTCAGACGCATCCTGCTGACGAGTGTCAACAAACACTAAACCTGGGTCCTGGACTTCCTCCTGACTGTGTCCAACCACCTTACATCCACTAAGGTGAACCACAATGGTTAACCTCCTTGCTTGGTGGCCACATTGTTAAGCGACCAGCAGAATTTGGTCAGCACTTAGAAATAGACAACATGAGATTAATTGCTCCTAGTGACCTATTAATGGGTCTAATGCTTTACAAGTAGAGGTTCAAGACTTGCTTTGTAATCAGATTCCAACTTCTAGTTGCGAACAACTTCAAGCACTATAATTATTAAACCAGGAATCGTTGAAACTATGACACTCAGATGATTCAGAATGAGTTGTGTGATATGCGGTGTTGCTAAGCCAGTAGGCATAACTTTGTGTATGAAAATTTTCCCTAAAAACAAAATACGGTCAAGACTTTGAAATACATTCTTGAATCATCACATACTCGTCATTTGATTTCATAAACAGTTTAACAATCTTGTAGGTTTTTTACCTCCATTTTGACGATTAAATTAAGATACTTCTTTGGGATACATTAAAGAAATTGAGGATGGTTGTTGTTTCTTCGAATATATCCTTAAGTTGTTCTTTAAAGGATGCCTATCATGAATTACTAATATTCAAAAAGGCTAAACAACTATTGTTCCTGAAGCACTCTATTAAGTCATGAGCTGATACCAGCTGGAGAAACATTAGAAACCTGGGAGTACTAGAAAGCTGTTTTGTTCTGGTATATGACTCCTCAGCAGTCCCCATCCTGTAACTTGACGGGTTATAGGTACTCCATAATAGGATAAAAAAGCTGTCCAGTGCTTTCAGGTTCCCAATGTTTCTCTAGCTGGTGTCTGTTCATGATGAATTTTAACCTGCTAACTAATAAATAACCTCAATAAACGTTCAAATCAAATAATTCTGTGAAGTATTCATGAAAAATAATTGTGACGTCTAGCATATTAAAGGGCATCGACCTTTAGGAAATTTTAAACTCAATAGCCCATATGACAATTTCCCTTTTTTGACTGTCTTGTAGTATATATTCAAAAGTAGCTCCATCCATTAAGTCGTAAACATTTGAAGGGAATAAACCAAAGACATACGCTTTACGAAGGTATAAATTTATCTGAAAATTACTGAGACTCAACAAAATGCTCCAATGGATTGGATACTATACCAAGGTTATTGGGTAAATATCTATTCTTCAAGATACTGACCTTATTAGGCCAAGCTAACTGTGATGGCAGTCTATAACCTTTTATGTAAATGAATGGAGACTGGAAGCTATCATCCTACCTGTGATCAAACCAAAATTCTGGATTTTCTATGTGGACGACACTTTTGTTATCATTAAAAGAGATTATATAAAAAACACCCACAGTTTGATCAACAACGTTTTTAGTGACATCAAATTCGCAATGGAAAAGGAGTCAAACAACCAACTACTATTCCTGGATGTTCTGGTCAATAGAATACATACGGGCAAACTGGAAACCCAAGTGTACAGGAAGCCAACACACATTGACCAAGTCCTCAACTACAGTAGCAGCAACCCAACAACCCACAAGATCAGTTGCGTGCAGACTCTATTCAGAAGAGCGAGAACACACTGCAGCACAACAACTTCACGGGAAACGAAGAAAATTACTTGATGTCCATCCTAAAGAAGAACGGCTACCCACGAAACTTTATCAGAAGATGCCTTTCCCCTACATCATCAACTACAAAGTCATCAACAGAAATCAATAAACGCATCATCATACCATACATAAAGAATATATCACAAATCACGACAAGATTACTGAAACCACTTGGAATTGGTGTGGCCATTCATAAACCAACAAATTCCCTCCAAACACTATTATGCAGACCAAAGGATGCGACAACTAAACAAGACAAACCGAATATCATTTACAAAATCAACTGCAATAACTATAGTCAACACTGCATTGGAAAAAGTGGTCGCCCTCTTCGCCTTCCTCATTTACATGAACACCAATTGGCTATTAAACGTCACACATGACATTTCATCACTCATTTCAATGCATGTGGATAACAACCATGGACATGAATTCAAGTTGGACAATGTAGAAATCTTGAACGAAGAGAGGAAACACAAAGAATATCCGAGAATTCCTAGAAGCTTGGCATTCAGTTCAGTCAGTTAGTCAGTCAGCAATCAGTGGGAGATGTATAGACATAGACCCAATCTGTCAACTAATAAGAAAAATGATAAAGGACAGAAAGGTGAGAGGTCAAGCAGAGGGACAGGCAACAGGAAAATCTATACAGTCAATGACACAACAATCAGAGGAAACAACCAATCACAGACCACTTCGTCAAGGCAAGCTACTAAATCACTTAGGGAGAGATATTGACAGCTCACTTCATACTGAAGTTAGTGCTGCGGATGATGTCTAGAAGGACGATGAGAGCTTCAAGAATAAACAACCCAGCTCAGGGAACACAATACAATCAAGACCATCCACCTGAGCTACAAATATTCTCCACTGTTTCAGGACGGAAAAGTTTTATCATTTGTTCCTTTTTTATCTCTAACGTAGAAGAGTGTTACACATATCCAGTAGACCCCGAAAATATGACGTAACCGAAATGATTTTTTACCAAATGGTCACTGACAAAGACCAAGGATATCCAGTAGTTGATAGCATTTCATCACTGATTAGCATATAGTCTGATTCCAAAATCCTAATCCCTCCTTTTGGAGTTAACTTACCGTTCCTTACAATTCGAGAATATGAGATTTGGTCTCAAACAAGTTTTTGATTGATACACTTATAAGTTTAATATTGTTATCAGGAATATGTCCCAGTAAATCACAATTTCCAGATAACACTTTTGCAAGAATGAAAGACAACATGTACTCCACCTGTTGATAAGGCCCTGGAGACTGTAAAATAACCTAAATAATCCGCTGCCTTGAAGCTGCACTCTGTTGTGGTGTTCTTCGCCCTTTTAATAAGTAATTCTCTTAATTAATATATACTTAGGACTAGCAATTATCAATAAAGTCCAGTGTAACGACCAAAGCACTAAGCACATTGGAGCTAAAAATAAATTACCATCATAGCTTTGTTTCGTAAGTCCCAATAATGCTACAAATGTTGACTGAATAAAGGTATGATCAAAAGCAAGCTGTTTCACAATGTGTGTTGTTGGAATATGAATAGCTTTGGGTTAGCTATAGAATTGTTTGATCCAGGAGTATATGTACAGACACCTGACTCCTCACGATGGCAATTCCTGTATTCATTCACATAGTCATTGCACCCGATCACCATTGGTAATACTTTTTCCTGACTTTTTGTGCCTCCACTGACGCCAGTCGTCACAATGATGCTAGGTCGTAAATTGGTCATTATGTAATGGTGATCAAAATATGCTGACTAGTAATTTGATCAAAAATTTATGGTGTGTCATAGCAGGCTGTGACATAGTTCAGCGCTTGGTTGAAAAATCAATAAAGCAAATTACATCGGAAAGGTTATCCCATACTACAAATAGGCAGGTATTCTTTATATTTGGATGATAGCGGTGGACTTAGAGACCATCTGAAACTTTGCTGCATTAACTTTCAAGTCATATAGGTTCGACTGAGCTACTCAAAAAGAAAACTTTTATTGCTTGCAGCCAAAGTAATTAATTATTTCCATACCTCTGACAACACTCATCTTCCATTTTATTTGCTATCAAAACCTATTTATTGTACTTGAACTAAATATAGACTTAGTTTACTGAACAGACGTTGACACTTTCTTGATTGATAACCACGATGTCCGATTCTCATGTAGAAAGGTCAATCAACTTCGATGAATAATGGTTCCTTGTGATAATTATTTTTTGGGTAATCACTGAGCTACATACATACATACTGAACCATCTGGTCGTATCTGACAAAATACAGCTTTGAAGACTAATAGGTAGCCAAAACATAGTCCGATAATCATATTTTGTTCTAAGCTGTTTGTCAGCCGACCAAACAATAGACAGTGCTCCGATAAATTCGTACGAAAGTTATCAACTTTCTATTTCAATTTCTTATATGAATGGTTGAATAGTTAAAACAGAAAGTACATGGAAGGTTTATTCGTTATAAAGAAAGTTGACTGCATAAGCGTTCTGATACTTGTTAGTAAACATACAAATTAAGATAGCGTATGCATCGAATTCATCATGGTGACTAGCAGTGGAATCCAGGATGTGCTTTTTATCGCATTCGGGACCCGTCAGCTAGATGCACATGCACCCCACCCTAGTCAGTGATCTTGCTCCCACTGAGACTGAAACCTAGTACCCATCGCTTAAAATGCTAAAGCACTATTCACTAGGCCACTAAGGCACGAGTGTCACTTTTTTTGCAATAGGTATCAGTTGTTGTTCAATACTTGTAATCTGTTGTTATACAGTGTTGAATTGTTCGACCTGTATTGGCGGATGCGTCTGTTTTTCTGGGTGTTCATGGTGTAGTACTCACCTTGGTGAATAGCAGCGGAATCTAGGTTGCACGTTTCTTCATGCTTGGGTTCAGGTTTCTATGGGAACAACATCACTCACTGGGGCGTAGATACATCGCATTAATAAGTCTCAAATAGGATGGAACGCGCGTGCTGAATTTCACTGCTAGTCACCAAGATGAACATATAACATCATGAACATTTCTCTTGTAGGCCTACAATATCATCAGTCCCGCTGAATATTACTGAAAAATCAACAAAGTTTCCTCTCTATAAAGAAATTTTGCTAGTTAAGTCAACATCCGGAACTTCTACATGTGAAATGTAAACTTTAGATAACAATGATCTTAAAAGACTACCGACAGTAAAGTCACTGATTCACTGCAAAAGTCCCCTTTCAAAAGTGAATCAAATCTTATAATTACATAGTAGAATCAGCTCTTTCAAATATTTTCGAGGCATAAGGACAAAAAATCACAAAGAGTATCTTGACCGAAAGCTCATTAGCGAATGAAGACTTTAAATCAAAAGAATACAGTCCTTTACAGTTGATCTTTATGTCTTTCTGGTAGTTAATATGTTCATACCTACATCACCGCTGATGAAAATGTAACTTTACTTCAGAATTTCTGCGTAGACTCTGAATCTAAAATGTTTAACACTCACCTCGCAGAATAAGAATATCTCTGACTCCTGCTTTGGATAACTGACCTTTGTTCAGCATACCCATAGTACACTGTTAGTAATATACTAACTGTTAATAATAGATAGAAAACATATCACACCCTAAGTCAATGCAAATAGATTATTAAAGTGAAAATAGACTTTTTTACTTAAGACTTATAATTCCTTTTATATAGTGCTGATCACTTACTACATTACTTAATTTTCAGCTCAGCCACTGTGTTTAGCAATAACTGAATTACTCATTGTTAAACCAAAAAATCCAATTACTTATCTGGCTATTTGGTTGAAAAACTATTCAAGAGATAGTACAAATTTGAACTGGGTAATTAGCTCTGAATAAAAATAATAAAAAAATGTTATGCTTGAATAAAATAGCACCATATTTGTTGTAAACTGTTTGTTGTGATTTATCTGTTATGCATTTTATTTGTAGAATGTCAGCTGAAATATACTTGCTTCTTGAATATTGTTTCTTTATTCTAACTGAAAATTTTCATTTAAATAGTTTTATTACTTATTATTTGTGGTCAGCATTATATCAATGATAATATTTCAGGAAAGTGATGATAAGTTGAGAAAGGAATTTGAGCACAGAATTTCATTTTGTATCCTGATAATGAAGATTGAATACAATAGGTCTTAATTTGTAGGTTTTAACTAAATCTTGCTTGTTATATCAGGTCTTGAACATATTATTTGCTATTACTTTTAAGGTAGTGACATTGCTTTGCTTCTGAGCTGACTGATTGCTAGAATAGTTACTTGTTAAACTTTTTTTGATAGGATTTAATAATATTTAACGAAGTATCCCATAACATCTGAAACATGTTGAACTATTGAAAGACAACTCCAGATATCAGGCAAAACCTTTGGTGATTGAAGTAAAATGAAATTCCGGTCAGCAGTCAAACCTTGTAGCTCAGTTGGTAAAGCACCGGGCCGAAAACCCGGTGGTTGCTGGTTCGAATCCGACCACGGTTCAGATTTTCATCTTACCTTCAATCATCACCCAGTATAAACACTAGCCTGCCAAATTACGGCTATCTCAGATAATCAAATGATAACTCCAGATGTCATTATATCATGGTCAGTCTACCTTCTTGTATGCCCACGTAAGGTTGGTGTCGTACCCATAGAAAGTTACCATGGTTAGTGTTTAAGGATCTGCATAACCTTACTTTAGCGGAAATGTAGAGGTCTCAGATAAAAATGAATAACTTTGAAAGGACTAGAGTATTCAAACACAAGTCTGTTTCTCACATCATTTAATACACTGCAGATGAAGGTGACCTCTGAAGTCCATATAACTTCAAAGTAATATTTATCCCATTACTACTACTGAATAAGTTATTGTAGTTTATTCAGATAACGTAGCAATAGGAAAATCAATCGATGACTAGGACACTTCTGTGTAATGTACTTTTGGTAAATTTCCACTAAATGGAACTATTATCGTTAATAAGAACAAGAAGGAATGCCATCTGCGTCTACAGAAAATTTACATGGACATTTAAAAACACGATTCATGAGTTCCAGTGTAAAAGCTCCATCTTTTTTATACATAAGATATTCAGGGAGAATGACCAATTCAAATGGCAGACTTTCAGATGAACAGAAAAGATTACTGCAGTTGCCTATATTTTGGCGTCGCTTAACGTCCAAGGATTCCAACGTTTTCTGACGAGGATGAACTATTTCTACTGTTTGGACCTTAAATATGAAGGACTGTGCTTTATTTGATTAACTGGTAGTTAAAAAAGTTAAATTTTACTGCCTAACATTTAAGAAAATGAGAGGGATCTTGACTGTGTAACTGTTGGCTAAATCGGCGAAATTCAGGATTTCGATTTACTTGTGTCACAAATGCAGCAAATTAGGGTGCTTATAGCGTTCTTTATGTATTCTCATTTGATGGTTTAAAGGCAGATGATTGAATGGAGACAATCGGCAGGAAGCCCTGAACCATATTGGAAAGTGATCGATAGAATTCGATCAGCCCATAGGACTAGACCAGATGAAGTTGGTTACCCCAGTAACCAATCAATCTAGTTTAAAGGTAGCCATATTATGTGAACCCGGTCCATTAATGTATTCAGAGATTAAACAAAGCCAGATACAAGATTAAGTACTGACGCTTAAATCCTCGTCCAGCGGTTTCTGAAGATGCGCTTACACAAGAAATCTGTATCGTATAGTGACTTTAAATTCATGTTATTTACGCCTCCATACAGAAAGGGAAGATCACTTTAGAAAACCAGTCAACTGAGAAATGAAGTTGAGATTCGTTTCAAAGATAACAAAGATGTGAGTAAAAGTCTGTAACTAAAGCATATTATAAAGACTGTTTTTCCCTGCCAAGCTAGACCTTTTGAACAAAGAGCCTTGTTGCACAGACGATTGTATTAAAATCAAAGATGGCACCAACTTTTTGGAATACAATAATTGGATTACTCACCACACAAATAAACGTAAGAGCTAAATTATCCAGTTATTATTTGACTAGGGGGTTAAAAAGCCTTTGAAAGACAGTGACTAAGGAAGTAAGGAATTAGCATTACGATTTGTTGTTGTAGCGTAAATCTTCGTTCACTTATAATGACTGTTTGGCTGCAGATATATTTGGTTTTCAAGTTATCCTGGAGCTTCAAAAATGTCACCGTCAGCTGCTATTCAGTAATGAAATGAAACGAATGTCCTGATGACGCTCCACATAGCTGTTGCCGTACAAATAGCTAAATCAATGAATAACAAGTGATAACCATTGAGCAAGAAGTAACTGTCGTGACTCTGAAGTCTGGTGTTTAGCTCCCTGGCAACTGAAGAAAAGGATTTCTAATCCCCATGAGAATACCATCCCTGACACAGCTGCAGGTACATCTAACTGACTAGTCTCACTTAGGATGAAAAGCACCTTCTAGATTCTACCACTAGCCACAAGCAGGCAAGTTAAATCGTAGTAAACATTTCCTAACAGTAGCTGAGCAACACTAAGTGACTATGCATTTATGCTGTCACCTGGTTAACTAGTTTACTAGTGACTATCCGGTCCTAAGTCCGGGTACAGACGGAGGGTTGGGCATAGGGCTAGCAACCCTACTCCGTAAAACAAATCCAACCGCCAAAAAAACTTCAAAGCACAAACAAAATATAGAAAGGAAAAACAAAATTATTGCTCTCTGGAATCAGAGAGACGAAATGACGCCAGTTGGTGAAAGTCTTCGGGAAGCCGAATGACCGATGTTTCTTCTCTTCTCTCGATGAAAGCAAAAGTAAGCATGGTGACATGGAATGTCCAGACAACGTTTGGAGCTGGCTGGTAAGGCTGCCTAGATTGCAAAAGAGATGAGGAGGTATGGCATAGAAATGTTAGGAATCTGCGAAACCAGATCGAATGGAAGTGGATTCTCCAAACTCTTAACTGGAGGGTCAATAACCTACTCCGATATTGTCAACCAAACGACAACCACAAGAACAGCACACTGAGTTTTTGAGCAGCTATCATGATGTCTCCAAGAACATCGAAGGCTGTCATGCAGTAGGATCCAGTCTCCTCCAGCATCAGCATCATGACAGCAAGGTTCAACTCGAAAGGAAGCAAAGTCACAATCATACAATGCTACGCTATGCACCTACAAATAATTGAGATGAAGAGCAGAAGAGGAGTTCTACAGACAACTGCAATCAGTACTAGACAAGACCCCACACCAGTTGGCGATATCAAAATTCATTCTTATGAGTGGGCTGACATGAATGCCAAACTGCATGGAGCAGACAGCACAGGAAGAGAACTAATCATGGGTGGAGAGGCATTCGGTGAAATGAATGAGAACGGAGAACTGCTTGCAGAATTCTGTGCATTCAACTATTTGGTGATTGGAGGCGGTGAGTACAAACACAAGAATATTCACAAAGCGACATGGATTTGACTTCACCAGACACCACGACACACTAAAAATCAGATCGACTTCATCTCAGTCTGAAGAAAGTGAAGACGGAGACAGCCTACTGGACACAAGATTAGATAAAGAAGGGGAGCAGATGTAGGTTCACACCACTCACTATCTAGTGCAAGGAATCCACTTTCAAAATCAAGTTGAAAGCCTTCTATTCAAAGGAGGTGATGATGATAGACCAATGTTCAAGTTCAATACCCAGAACAGAAAGTGAAGAACGAAACCACAAAGGACATCTTCACGTCGGCCATCAGAACAAAATGGGAGACGTTGAGCAACATTGCTGAAGGATCGGGCGTGGATGAACACTGGAACGTTTTGAAAGCTATGTGGAAAGAAACCTGCATAAGTGTATTATGAAGGAAGAAGAAGCAGCAAGACAAGGAATGTATCTCGACGGATACATGGAAGCTGATAGAAGAGGGAGAGGGAGATGCTGATGGTGAAGCAGGAGATACACCAGTGCAACGATGCACAGAATATTCAACCAAAGTCCAGAAGCCGATCCTCTTGGCGTCTCATTCCGAAGTCTATGAGTATTGCAGCTACCTACATCATCAGGACTCGTGCGCAGCGCAAATACACTGACTTCATTATCAACTCCCAGCCTCCGCGTCTTTAAACAGACAATAATATCGGAGAATCTATAGCAGAAATTGGGAAGACTTGCCATGGAGAAAACAAATCAAATCTCAGTCAGCGCTTGCGGTGGAAAACTCCCATTAGATAGGCAATTAAAGTGTAATGTCGGTTTCCATAAGGCCCAGTTCATTGTCACATGCTATATAAATAATTCAAACCTAGATTTGTTGGGGTTGGACTAGTTTGTGGAGTTACGGCTTGCAGAGATCCCCTTAAACACCATATGTAATAAGGTCTATGCTACAGAAGCCCCAACATTACTGCAGGAATTCAAGATGCTGTTCCAGCCTGGACTATGGCTCTCCAACACCATGAAAGTCGTTTTACAAGTGCGACGTGACGCCACACCAGTTTTTCATCCCAAAATACCTGTTTCTCACGCTCCACACTGAATTGTGGAATCTGAGTTGAAACGACTAAAAGAAGCAGGAGTTATAACTCCAGTAACCTGTTAGTCGTGGGCAGCCCCTGTAGTGGTTATTAAAAAGGCAAATGGTTTCATCCGTATTTTCGCTGATTTCTCGGCAGGCCTCATTGCAGCTGTAGGACAGCACCATTATCGGCTGCCAGTTCCGGATGACTTGTTTAGCGTCTTAAAAAGCGGGAAAGTCTTCGCGAGGATTGATTTAGCTGACGTATAGCTGCGAGTTGAAGGTTCGGATGAGTGCCAGGAGGTTTAAACGGTAAACAGGTTGCCCTTTGGAGTTAAAAAGGCTCCCACCATATTCTAGTATTTAATGGGCACCATCCTGGCTGGCATTCCCAAAGTTGCTACTTATCCGGACGACGCATTGATAGTCGCAGTTTCGTTTGAAGAATTGAGGGCACGAGTACGGCTTGTGCTACAAAAGATAGCTGATATTGGAATACAACTAAGAGCAGAAACATTTCAACTGCTCCTACAGTTCGTAAAGTATTTGGGTTTTATTTTTGATGCGAGTGGACAACGACCTGACCCCGAGAACATATTTCATTGCATTTCGAAGCCTTACAGCTTTCTAGAAAAGAATATAAATGTCGTCTAATCGCCATGTATCAACTGTTGCAATGGACCTAAAATAGCCATGTTCGTGGCGTCTAAACAATACTGAGAGGAAGGTTTGCATCCAAACAATTCAGAACTGTAGCTTTTATTACAGCTTTCATGTGATTCTAAGAAGTGTTTAGAACTTCAATAATGACGTTAAAAACTTTGCACATATCTCCAAGGGGGTTGGTCAACTGATCAGTGATATATACACAGACAAGAACTAAACATAGAAAATAACTTACAATACCTATATATTATTTGAAACCAAAAAGCTTTAAAGTGCTCGAACCCCATCCTGTAATGATCGGATTCACCTCTGGTCAGTTAGCTATATGATTCAGAAGGGTCAGACAATTTACTTAAGGTGACGCATATCCAATATACCGGTCAGTGAATTATTAGCCCACTTTTAAGAATATATTTTGGGTGCATGTAATGATTAGGGTTACCTAACACAGAAACTAAGATATTACAGAAGTATTTATGGAGGAAATCTCAATTGTAGAAAACGTCAAAATCAATCGATGGAAACTTTTCACTACTTTAGATATTCCCAATACATTTGGAGGAATCAGAAAAAGTAATTGCAATGGTTTTCTTGACACTATCTATACAAATTCATATCTGGTGCTGAGGGTGTGTAAGATGAGATTCAGTGGAAACTCTGAGCCCCTTGAAAGAATTTGTTACGTCAGATACGTCAACAGAAAGTAACGACCAGAATTATTTTTCGCTCTAACCTTTCAATGACCTCCACAGGGCTTCCAATAGAATTCATTGTTCTTTTGCAGTACTTTTATGAGACAAGACCGAAGGCTACATTATTATATCTATCTTCAGTTTGTGTTCTAATTCACCTCTGAGGTCCTATAGTTTGTCATAGCGTAATTTTCTGGGCTTCGCAAAGATCATCTCACTGGTATTTGAGATGCAATGCGGAACATTGTGTGTAACGCGAGAGATATCAGAAAGTGGTTTGAATATATTTGGGAATAATTCAGTTTTTCAGATAACCGATGAGAATTTTCACTACTGATGTGTACAAAACTTATAAATACATGGCTGGCAGCAACAAGGGAGATAAAAAGTCTTGTAGTAATGTTAATCAGCTGGTATAAGTATAAGAGGTATATACCAATGATGTCTTTGATTGCATCAGCGATGATATAGACCAGGCCACCTTCTTGAACTTCGGGCTACTTCATGTCGCCACGGATTTTATTGCGCCAAACTTTTTCTTCCTACATTATTTTAATCTTTCAATTATGTCATCTAATTTTATCATATTTTTGGCACACTTTTAATATCGTTACAAGTTGGTGGGCAAATTAAGAAGAAGCACCATGGTGGGTAGCAATAGGATCTCAAGCATATGACCATAGATCAAGTGACCATTCCGGAAATACTTGGCACAAACAGCCGGTCTTTATAGAAGAAAGTTGACTACCCTCAGTTAGTCTTATCTACAAGTTTTTATCTGAATACCGGTGTTAATACGCTACAAGAAACATGGCTTCATAACTCATATGATGACAGCTCAGTCTGTCGAAATGATTTCAGGCTATTTCAACAAGACTGATTCTTTTCGAAGACGCATCGTGTGGTGTAACAACATTTATCAATACAGACTGGTTCACCTCCAGCCATGTATACTCTAACTTCTCTAACGAAAAAGTTGAATGCCTAACCATTAAACGTCACCCTAAGCATTTTAACAAGTAAAAACATTTGTACACAACAAACATCTATGTCATACCTGACTTTAGTTTCTCAGATTTATCAACTTTTACTAATGAATTTGCTAAATTTGCTGCTCCGATTCTAATTAACCCTTTATCTGTAGTCTAAGGAGATTTTAATTTATGTGACTTCAGTTGTCTTGCATCACTGGATCATAAAAATATGATTAGCTTTTCTACTCATCTTGACAACACACCGAATTTTATGTTTGCAAATAACTTTGGCTTATATGAAACCCGTAAACGAGCTCCACTACTGAATCTTGACCACCATATTGTATGCTTTTGTCTAAAGTATGTGGTAAGTTACATAAGGGGGCTTTTGTATACCTTTGCAAGAAAGTCCAGTACAGACGTTATTCACAGGAGAATATACTACATTTTGGAAGTATGTTTCAAGGAACAGATTAGGATATATTTACTGAAGAAATTTTAGACAAAACAATCATTAGTATCATGAGCTATCCCGAATTCTGCTCTGTTGAAAAAATCTACATGAGGTTTGACAGACTTTCCTCTATTCATCTCAAGACGCTGCTGAGAGTAAAGAAAAGGTTGTATAAGGTGAGAGTTACCCCTGATGTTAGAAGACTTAACTGCTCTATACAGCCTGAGATACAATGCCTAAATGCTTTATACAACGAGAAGTTTCTGTCTTGCAGAAACTCTTTCAATATATGGAAATTATTCAAAGAACCTATTGGTGGAAAACAGATGGCAAAACAAGCTTGTTCTGATGTTTGAGTACATTAAACTAATCATTTATACGTCTGCAAGCTGCTTTCATCCTATCTAGTGTCCACAATCTAATCGATAGTTGCTTTCCTGGTTTGAATACAAATGATGCATTTAAATGTCTTAAATCCCAAAGCCTAAGTCTTGATGGTGTTTCTAGCATTATATTTAGAAAATATGAAGATATTTTATGTCATCCTCTTAAAGATGTCTTCAATGCATCGTTTTCTAAAGATGCAATGCCACTGCTTGGAAGGAAATCAAAGTTTTACCTGTGTCTTAGTCATCTTCAAGATCAGAAGTTTAGTTTCGACTCATTGCTATAACTTCCTTTTTTGAGGACAATGGAGAAACTACTTTTGGTAGTGCTTAAACCCTAATTGAAGGCTTCTAGAAATCCAAAACACACCAAATGTAGCCTCACACAGTTGCTGACCCCCTTTATCAGTTCCAGCTAAGAGGTGTAAAAACGGTTTGGCGAACCTTAGCTCATCATATGGGTCGAACTTGGAAGAACAACCAGGAATACCAATACCCGAAAAAGTCAAATTCCTATCCCTTACGGTACTCTGAACACCTCTGTCCTCGGTCAATCGAAAGCTGGCATACCTACTCAGGCCCTAACGCCTGCGTAAAATCTTCTGGTGGGAAAATACAAAGAAGGAAAAGAAAACCCTTGGTCGATTCTTATTGCTTTGGCCTTGATTGCAACACATGTGGTCTCACTTAAGCCAAAGGAAGGGCAACTTTCAAGTGGATACATTTCCAATATGACAAGGATGTACAAGACCATTATTAAGCCTTCATTATGCACCACCCGTGCTAATGGTTCTGGTATATCTGCTCACAGTACCACGTGAGATCACTTTTACCTAAGGGACCTTTTAGGAGGCTATTAAAGACTCCCTGGTGATTACTCATATGTTGTCATGCACACAGACCACTGCTACAATTTTAGTTTGACGGTATCCATAATTACATAATCTTTAGTGAGGGATAGTTATAGACCTTCAGTACTTGTCATGTCAATGAAAAGAAACAATTCAGATAATTTTTAATATTGCAAATCATGTAACAATTCACTAAAGAAGAAGCGATATAACTGCATTGCAACAAGTGAAATTAACATGATATGATGCAAATGTGGACTTGGTTAACTGGTGAATTAACTATCTACTGTGTAGTTTATTAGCTACTAACGTAATAAATAATGAGATTCTTCGATTTGACGATAAATAATCCGATGGATGATGAATAAGACGACTGAACTGAAATGTAATAAAAATTAGCAAAATAAACAAACTAATCAATGAATAACAAATGTTGAATGGAACAGTTTGTATTGTTTCCAGTAAATGAATTATTCGATGCCCATTGTAGATAATTTCTGTTTACCACTGTTTTTATCATTAGATCTGGATGAAAGATCAATCAGTACCATTCAACAAACTAGGTACCTGTGGGATATCTATATATTACATATAAGTGAACGTTTTAGAAGAAACAGAACTAATTAATCCACTCCCGCCCAAGAATACTGTTATTCTAAGAGTTAATAACGCACAGGAAGGTAAAAAGTGGGAACAGATAATCATAAAGATTGATTAACATGCTTATAAAGGACAAGCTTATAAAGGACATTGATTAAATGTCTCTAATTTCCCATCTGTCATCACTTAGATAATTTAATATTTCCAAACCAAGAATCACTTATGTATCACGATATTTCATTAACTGTACACCACTGAAACACATTTGGAACCTTCTGGTTTATCGACTTTTGAAGGATTCAGTCATTGTCTTCTTTGAGTAATTAGACTGAAGTTACTCTGTTTTATCGTATCTCCTTAGACGAAAGCTGAATTATAGTAGTGGACTGTTTCGATGCAAACACTGTCAAAAATATTTTGAGAATCATCTATACAATCTAGTTGTTTAAGTTTACTACTTGATACCAAGATTTTTGAGTAATATGGCATAGAACAAGCAACAAATATGAAAAAAGAAGAATTCAATGTGTTCATAAATTTTAATGTTACTCGTCAGCTGGATACTCTATATATATCTACTTATATGTAACATTAAGCAATACAATACATACATAAAGTATACTGAGACATCGATTTAAGTGTAACAACATAGGAATGGACAATTTTTATAGGTCAAGTGTTAATCCAAAAGGTAGGAGTGGATGTTCATTTTGAATTAGTTGGAAATATATTACATAACCAACTATGAGTTTGTATAGTTTTGCAATCTTAAGAAACATGTGGATTTCAAGTGACAAAATAATAGTAATAATAATAATAATGTTCCACAGTTCCCTACTTTGTAAGTTCCCGATACTGATATTTACCTTCAGACTTATCGAGGATTGGAAATCTATCTTTCCTTGGTTGTTGCAATAACCGTGGTACTGAGTAGCATGAATTTTACAGCATAATAAATCCGTCTGATAAACTTTTCCTGACTTTGCTTATCTACTTCTTACACATAGTCACTTCTAAATGGTAGGTTTACATAAACCGGCTTTCTCTGCCCTGTCGAGGATATTGTTTTGCTTCATATTCATTTTACATAGTTGGTAAAAGGTCTTTAGGGTACTCATTCCTTACTAGCATTCTTTCCATAGTCATTATTTCGTGGTCTACTGTAGTACCGAAACATATCTTCCTAGCTCTGTTAAACAGAAATTTGACTAGATTCCTTTGAATTGAATCACAACAAAATCTTAGAATGAAGGTACTCTCACATACATGAAGGTTCTCTGCAAATGGAACTTTCAATAAATCTGTAGATTCCTTTCACTGAGACACCTAAGGATCTGATCATATCATTTTATATTCTTTCTCAATCATGAAAGCTGTTTGGATGACATGAGTTGGAGCCCTCAAGTAGTGCTTCTGCTTGCATTTTAACTCCATACACAATAAATTTGTCAACCATAGGCCATCTGTACAGCTCTGTCTGGTTTATAAAACACTTCAAGCTACCAGTTTTTAGGCCTGGTAAAAATGGATCAGCAAAGAGGAAACCATACAGCTTTCTAATGCGGCCCCGTTAGTTTGCCGGAATAACTGTCCGTTGAACCAGAACTCGACGACCTTGGTATATAGATTTCAAAGTCTTCTTAACTCCTTTGTTGAGCTAGGGATATTATCGGTTTCTTTATGTAGAGACTGATAGGCTGGTACATTTCTGAACGGAGATACAATATCATATTACATAAGATGTATACTACCACTACTTAAATCGTTGACTTTTCAAACTAATTGGAAGGTGTCAGAAAAGCGTGTTTCCTCAAACTTTGCCACATCGGATAGAGAATTCCATATAACTGCTGGTCTACTTTATGATAGCGTGAACTTATCATTGATGTAACAGACATGAGAAGCAGTTTAACATGCCCATATACGTGTAGAGTCTGTAGTCTGGTTAGTTTACTGATTTTAACTGTGATTTCTTCAATATACTCACACTCGAAAAACTGTTTTGGTTGTTGCATATCTCCACTTCATTGCACAAAGTCTTATCTCTAGTATTATTGTCCAATTTAAGTTTTGATATATAGGAGAGTATTTTGTACATCTTTTTAACATAATCTTCTTTGTATATAAGACTGACAAGTTCCCCTTTAATGTGTCATACTTAAAACAAAATGTTGAAATATTATCATGACAAATTCTAGTTACCTCTTTTTAAAATTTAGTGAACTTAAAGCCAGGAGAGTGAATCCTTTATACTGGTGTTCCCTTGACGTCTTCATCCATCATAAAGTAAATCTTTATACCAATTATAGAGTACGTTTTAGTAATATATGTAGTATAAAATAAGTAGTTTTCAGTTGTCATCTACCATTTCGCTTTAGTTCAACACTGCCTACTCAAATATTGTTTTTGATGAAGTCATCGAATTCAAAGTGTTTGGAATAAAATCACCTATTCCTCCAATTAATACAAACTATTATTATGTAATGTATCCTACTAGCCAATGACAAATGATGAAAAGCTTAATTAAAATTTATCAGCAATCTGATAGAAAATGAAAACAGGATAACTGAAAAAACACCGAATCACAGTTTACGCAACCCTCAAAAGAAGTGCCTTTTTTAAAAGGATAATAAATGTATGCAGTACAACTTGTCTCAAAGAAAACTATTGGGATAATTCCCTATCTTCTTTGTGAAATTCCAGATGATCACTTATATTCAATGCTTAATCGGTATTTTCGAGTACAGTAATGTAAGTGTTGTTGTTTTACAGTGTATGTAGTAACAAACACTTACATTCCTAATGTATTTTTGAGATGAGTGGGGATTTTTAATTTACAAATAGTATTCATCATTGACTGACATCAGTTGGGGAACCATTGGAAATCTGGGGCACTGGATAGCTGTTCCGTCCTATTATGCCACTCCTCTGCACTACGCAGCCACGAACCAGGTAAGAGTCGAACTCACGAACTTCAGGTTTTACGGCAAACGCATTAACTATTCATTCACCGGACTGGCTTTCAGTGGTTCACAATTTCCAACTTCTGTCAATTCACAGTATAGGGTGACTGTCACCCAATGTCTTCAGTTGGCATCGACTTCAGTTCCGACTGGTTGACCCTACAGGTTAATACTACTTCTTAATTAAAAATCCCCATTATCTCAAAAACAAATTACTCTATAGTGCTCATTAGTGACTTGCTTCCAGGTGGATATCAGGAAGTTCTAATGAGAAGCCGTGACCTGTGCGGTCAACCAGTCGGAAGTGAAGTGGATGCTAACTTACATTCGTAGTTTGCCAATTTGTATGAAAATAGGTGATATCAAAACTTTTATACACATACACTTAAGTGATCTGTCGGAATTTCATATGTTCAAAGGTATAAGAGATACCAAGTAATACCTTTAATTATTAAATATATGTACTATGAAATTAACTCTGTGAACCCATAGACTTACATCATATTCGTAAGCCTGATGAAGAATATTCTAGTATGTGCGTAAATTAATCAGTCCGCAAGTTTCAGTTTACTATCAAAAATTTTAAAAAACCTCTACATAAACAAGTGTTCCATTTTATGAAGTCAGTTTTCCATCCCACTGTTATTTCTTCTGATACCAGCTGAGTTATAAGTCAGCCACCGAAGATTCTATCTCATCTACATCCTACCAGATATCCCTCCAAACTACAAAAGCTTTACAGCATTTTTTTCTTGCTATACGAACATTTCTGCAAATAACTGCTGGAAATTACTTCGTATAATATTAACCGAAAAAGTTATGTCAGCAGATTCATTGGTAGGTGACTTTTCTATCTTTTTATGTGGCCAAAAAAATGTTAGAGTTGATCGGCTTTCTTCAAAAGAATAACTTACCAAAACAGGACGATTCAAAGCAAACATCAACAGCCTAACTCTCGTAGTTTACGAATATTTTCTTCCCAGAAAGCTTTAATGTTTTCATCAATCCTTCTAGCTAACTTTGAAGCTGGATTTGTTTTAAAAAAAAGATTTAATTAAGCTACTTCGTATAAAATAGTCTATAAAATACAATTTGAGTATCCCATTTTATTTTTCAGGTCTTATGGATACAGTTACACCATAATCCACAGATCAACCTTCACATATGCTTATTTTGTGTAGGTCTATGTTTAATGAAGCATACTTTTATAAGATTATGGTAACAATTTTTCTGGTTAAAAGTCTTGAGACTTCTATAAAATTGCTGACTTAGAAAGTGGTATGTTAGGTGAACATGAAGTATTAACATTAGTTACTTCACTGATTTTTTATACGACTCAAATATTCACTATAATTAACAAAATAGGAAAGACTTCAGTGAACCAGTTCGTTTTTTGAGGTGTATGGAGATTTTATTCTCAAGTTAGTTGTCATGAGGAGGCAGACCATTGAAAATCTCGAAGCGCTAGATATCTGTTTTGCTTTATTAGGGAATTCCTCAGCAGTACGCCCCTATGACCCTACCAGAGACTGAACTCATATGCTTCACGTCTCACGGCAAAGGCATTAACCATTGAGCCACCGTGTCAGTGTTCAATGACCCACAGTTATCTACTTCTGTTAATTCCCGATGTGGCATGACTGTATCATCCTCAGCAGCTGTATAATCACATTAAATATATGGCTATCTCAGATAGTCAAGTAATAATCAATATGATGCTCCCTCTTTCTGATTCAGCTGCATTTGGATTGGGATGATCAAGCGTTAGTAACGCATCACGAATTCACATGGTAGTCGGGCGAAACCCGTAGTGATTGAAGTGAAGTAAGATTCTGGTCAGCATTCGGACGTCGTAGCTCAGCTGATAGAGCACCAGGCCGGTAACCCGGTGGTCAGTGGTTCGAATCTGGCCGCGATCCAGATTTTCATCTCACCTTCAGTCATCACCCAGTATAAATGCTAGTCTACCAAACCATGGCTATCTCAAATGGTCAGATGATAAATATAATAAGTCTACATATTTATTGGCAAAAATGCCAATTTTATGTATCAGTGATTCCTAGTAGGATGTGGTTAGGAAAATAATGTAGCAGTAAAAATTATGTAGCAAATATGAAAATATCTAATAATGCGAATCAGTAAGTGTGAGTTTATATCAGGTACAAAAGAAGAAGAGAAGGGAAGGAGAAATTAGTAATTGAGCTGAAAACGTTTATTTATAACATAAAAACTGAAAAAGATTAGTCAGTCTCAAGAATTGGACAGGTTAAAAATTACAAAGTGACTAAGGATAGTTAGTGGCGAAGCTGCTTCTGAATATAAAATTCCGGTTTCAATCTTCGTATCGGTAGAGCCCCAGTGCAAAATAAAAGTTTCCTCATTATAATAAATATGTGTCCAATATCATCACCAAAAACAAACCTATTCGCTAAAGTTTTTCCTTCTTTATGGGTCATTTATATTGCACAATTTCAGTTGTCATATTGATTATTACCAGAAAGCTTACAAAACTCCTACAGCTATTGCATCCTAGTCTATGATTCTCCAGTAGTGCTCACCCATAACCTAGTGAGGAAATGAGATTGGGATCATCAGGTCTCACAGTGAGAATATTCTCCTCTTGACATCAAATCAGCACCTAATGGTCCACATTTTCCTTCTCCTCTCAATTTACGGTAGAGAGATATACTTATCATCTAGCATTTGCTCTCAAACCTCATTTAACCGAACCCACATGTTATGACTTGACATTAGAATTCGGAAAACTTATCTCATAGTGGGCCAATACTGAGAACTGGACAGTAATGCTATTGGTGGTTTTAGGAGTTTGCTTGGTTGTTTCGTTGTACCCTGCCACCGTTCCATGAAAGCGTGATGTTGTGCGAATGAAGAAAAAAGGGAAAGTGAGAACTCACCTATATCACGCAATATAGATGCTTGGGGAGAACAGGATGGTAGCATTGATAACGGATCCAATCGATTTCGCATAACCACACCAACAGATTTCTGAACAGCTTTCATGGAATACACGTAAAGTAATGGAAGCTGCTTATATGTAATAAATAGGCTAAAATTCATGAAAAGATTTACATTTTCTCAAGATAAGCATCACGTAAATTATGACAACGGACCGAAATGTTCTGCTTAACCTGATACTATCTTTTCATCTCCTCCTCTTTACGTCTTCAAGAAACTCAAGCTCAGTAAACCTTGCAAGTAGCAATAGATTGCGTTCTATAGACACTTTTGGATGGAGTTTATTAATCCATATTTCACTCAATCAAGTGAACTGAATTGAATGCACTTATCAAGTCTTATAGAGGAGTAGTTGCATATTATTCTGTGACAAATCATATTCAGGATCTAATGCCTTTTGGTGGGTTACAAATGGATTTTTTAGGGGATGACTACAAAATGTTTGAAGGTAGTTATTATAATTTCATTTACCGAAATTTATATGTTTTCTGAATTTTATTCATGAAAAGTAACTTCAGTACTGGTGGAAGTCTTAGGCTAATGGGACCGCAGTACCCTCATGAATCACTAAGCTTCAGAAATTTTTTGACTAGCTAAGTATGTAGACACTTAATCACTGCATAGATGGATTGAAACAGAAATCAAATGACATCTTTAAACAGCCACAATCTGTTCACCAAAGCATTCTAGGTGGAATTAAAAATGTTTTACTTGTAAACCAAGCTATTTTATTTGATTTGGGACCACTAAAAAATTTACTCTTTGTTTACCTTTGGCCTCATTACGATTGTTTTTATTCAGTGTGTAACTTCCGTTGTTGTTTGTAAAACCTCCACTGGTATTCGGTTCTTGTGTGGTTGACTTATTGCTACCCAGATAATTGACACTTAGTTTAACAGTAGACGAATCAGAGCACCTATCATTTAACGAATTCAAGTTAATCACTTCTACTTCTTCAAGTGGTCTGAGCGTAGACTTGAAATGAGTTGCTTCATCCACCTTCCTCTGTACTGTTGGCAATTTTGGTTTATTGAGTGGTTCTTTCCGGATTTCTTGTATATTCTCTAGGTTAAATGTTATGTTCTGCGTCTTCTTCTGCTGCTCATTTCTCTCTTCCCTAACTTTCTGTATCACTAGACGGCGCACAGCTTGATTCAGAACCTCTGTTGTATGCTGACTGTTAACAAAATCAGCATTACCTCTGACGTTTTCCAAAATCTCGCTGTCATCAGTTAACTGAATGAGAGGTGGCTCATGAATTTTATCTTCCTTCGCACTTGATGTATAATTACCACTTAAATGTCTGATTTCCTCACTACCAAATGTTCTACTAGTGCTTATCATTTTTAGATCTTTTTCATTCGTAATAACATCCATTTCCAGTTCTTCTATTTCATCTCGGGATGATTCAGATGGTGAGGTTTTAGTATTTTCACTACTATTAGATAAGTTAAAGGATATTTTGACAGATGCGTCTTGTGAGTTTTCTGACGGTGATCCGTCTTCTCTGAGCAGGTCTTCTTTGAGGATATCAGCAAAACTGAGATTGATATTATCACTTGTGTCCTGTATGATAAATTCTGATTTTCGACCTGTGACGAAATATGTTCTCATGTCGCCTTTTCCCTATCAAAAGATAATTTAAAAGGTAAATTCAGTTTAGGATGTATGTTTTGTGCGGTAATTAAAGATATTGGCAGATAAGATACATATTAACAGAAGTTAGTGCTTATGGTTGTCAGATTGTGAACTAACATAGCCGTCTTTGAGCAATTTCTTATAGCCAACTATCAGTCTACTTTCTGAAATCCCTATGTAGATTGAAGTTATATGGAGTTGATGAAGTTTCAGATTACTCGCTTATCATTTGTAAGAAGTAGTAAATGTTCAATTTTTAAATATGGGCTACATAACTGGTGGAGAGTGGATAGACATAAGAAGATGTGGAGAACAAAGTTTTCAGTTGATCAAACTTTAGAAAGTGATGAGTGGATTGAAAGTGGCCAAGATTTTTACTCATAAATCTATCCAGAGATATGTATAAATACATGGCCTGAAGTTTGCACTTCATAAATTTCATGACTGATGACAGATACGGTTTTTATAAACACTAGCGCACTTTATGTGATTACAAATTAGTTATCTTTTTTGAGAAAAATGGAGATTTTTAATTTAGAAGTAGTATTCATCATGGACTGACATCAGTTGGGGAACCATTGAAAATCTGGGAGCACTGGAAAGCTGTTTTATCCAACTAATATGGGACTCCTCAGGAGTATGCACCCACGACCCGGTTAGGGACCGAACTCATGAACTTCAGGTTTCACGGCGAAAGCGTTAACCATTCAGCCACTGGGTCGGTTTCCAGTGGTTCACAATTCCCAACTTCTGTCACTTCACGACATAGCGTGACTGTCACCCAATGTCTTCAGTTAGCATCGACTTCACTCCCGACTGGTTGACCCCACAGGTCAAAGAAGTTGGAGATTGTGAACCCTCGAAAACGAACTCAGTGGCTGTATGGTTAGCATGTTCACCGCGAAACTCGCAGGTCGTGAGTTCGACCCCCACCCAGCCCGTGGTTGAGTAGTGCAGAGGAGTTCCATAATAGGACGGAACAGCTATCCGGTGCCCCCAGATTTTCAATGGTTCCCCAACCGATGTCACTCCATGATGAATACTATCTCTAGATTAGTTATCATTACTTTTGAGTGTGAACAACCCCTGTAATTTACAAAACGAATGGTTGTATATGTGCATGTGCTATTATAACTGTTGTCTGAATGCTTCAGTATCACCATTTGATTTTACAGAAAACAATCACAAAACTGAAACTACAGGTTGTAACTCTTACACCAGAATCGTTGAGACTTAAATATATTTAAAAACCTTACCTCCAAATCAGATTTTATTGTTTCAACCAACACACACTCAAACGACAGTGACTTTTGCTAATTTTTACACAAGAAAGTGCATACCTTTATTGGGATTACTCCTCGACTTTCCACCATATATGGATAAGGTGATAGAGCTTGATAACAGGATTCGCTGACATGTATTTGATTCGGCTGTGAATACCAATGAAAAAATTTTTAAGAAAATAAAAAACTAAGAATTTTTATGATAAATATATCAAAGACATTAGGTACTTTCACCTTGTTCGACTTCTTTCATTCTGTTGAAATATCAAAAATATATTCCATACGATTAACAATGGGTCGTAGAAATCATAGTCTAATGAGAGTACTAACTAACCCCTTGTGATTATATGTTGAAGTATTTAAACAAACAACCAATGTTTATATCAAGACGTACTATCGTTACCTTAACTACAACTTATTATAAATTCTCATACATTTACTGCTTATCTGATATTAAACTGTGCAACATACCTTAGTTTTCCCGGAGTTTTCCTAATCCTGATGATTAAACTACCGACACTTGATGCCATAACCTATTTATCATGATTTCTATCACTAAAAGTGTCACGTTAGTCTCATAATATACTATTTTCTGAGATAGATCACATAAATCTCTACGTTCCAATAACAAACATATTTAGGGCAGATTTCGTATAAAACGCTTGAATTTCTTGCCTAACAAATGTTAGTTTGGTGATTGTTAACTAAGAATACCTTATTTATACTAGATCCTATGCTCAGAGTGATCAAGAATTTTCTGAGCACCTTTAAACTCTCATGGTATAAACTTTAAGTCAGATTTTTAGCAGCCTTAGTAAAACTTCCTTGAAAAGGGTATGGGAACAGAAGCTCCTTGCATCTTTCATAGCATTATAAGAATACGGATACTTTATAAGACTATCTACGACACTATGAGAACTACTATTCATAAGAATTGATAATCTATAAAAGAAAGAAACAGTATTGTTAATTTAGTTACGCTACTGAGTGGTTAATTCCACCAAAATGTCTCATATAACCTGTCCTGCCACTCTGTTTCTCAATGATGCTATTATAAACCAATATTAGCTAATAAGTCGTTAGACTGTTGAATTCCCTTATAGTGTCTCATAAAGCACGAAACCCAACATGATTATTTTCACATACTTACTAACAACTAGAAAATGGATTCTGAGTTTAGTGAAGTTTAGTGAGAACAGACAACCAGTCTGCTTAGATAAGCTGAATATCTACTTCAGAAAAATCTGTTTTTTTTAATTATCTAATCAGAGATAAAAGTATGTTACTGATTCATTTAAACTAAGGATAAGCGCGTTCATTTTCTTATATTCAAGCACAAATTGAAGTATCGAAGCAACTTAATAAAAATTCATTTTTGTTCAACTAGTCATTACAAAAATGTGTCAGATAGATCAATAATTGTTGAAGTTGACGTCTCACGCTGCGATTGTTGACAAAATCAGGCTTTTTAGTCTCTCTAGGATATCTTTTACAACAAGGATTAAATGGCTAAAGAATGGTCAAACAACTTCGTTCTTAAGAGTTCTTTCGATAATTCAAAAGTTAAGAGACAGTCAACTTACTAGACCATGACTCATCATTCGACTTGAAGTATTCACTGTATCACCAAATAAACAATATCTTGGTGTTTTATAACCAACTACACCAGCAACAACTGGACCAGTATGACATCCAATGTAAAGATGTAAGTGTTCTTCTGTGTACACAGTTTTATTATTAGAACCTGGTGGTGTATTTTCAACAGTTTCTGGCCAAAAGAGACTGGCTAGTGTTGTTTCTATAATATCTAATGCTGTGTCGATGATGTGTGCAGCGTGTAGTGGTGTTCGACTTGGTACTCCAGAAGCTAACATATAACTGTCATTAATTGTTTCCACCTTTTGAGAGTACAGGATAGACAAACAATACTTTTAGTTACATACAGAAAACAATAAACTACTGATAAATTGTTATTATTTGTAATTACCCGTCGTCGACTGGATTGAATTGATTGGTTTCTTTCGATGTATGAGCTCCTGAACGGATGCTTCATTATTGCCTATAGTTTCAGGTGACAAGTCGCAAATAGGGAGAAACGCGCGTCTTGGATTCCACTCCTAGTTCCCATTCATTATTACTACCAAACTAAAACTTCAGGCAATATCAAGGTATCCACGCAGGACCCTATATGCCAGTAGAAACCCATCAATTCGGTCCAGTTGACAACGGGTAATTACCAGAAATATCGTCAAAACTGTATCTGATGCACAAGCGGTGGCTATCGTTTTTCAGTAGCCTACTGGATGTCACTCTGAAGTTTGGAGCGCTCGGTCATGGTTTCGAGTCTTAGTAGGAATAAGTGGCTGGTAAGTGCATGCCACTGGGGAGTCCGAAACAGGAAGAAATACGAGTGCTGAATTCCATTGCTAACCACTACCCATCATTACTACTGATATGATGTATATTGAAGAACCCACCTCGACTTCTCAATATTTTGAAAATGAGCTAATGAATAAAACTGTAGTGTTATATTAGGAATTTGTTAAACATTCTGGTAAAAAATCAACTGCTATACTTTTTCTATGAACTGAGATAGCTATTCACCAACACTGACTAGCTGATACACTTACAAACTCTTGTATTTTAAGATAAAATTCACTGTCTCAGGCGAGACAATCTTCAAACATAACACAAAACAGAAGACACTATTTACTACTTATTTTTGTCACACTTTCAATAAGTCATAAAGCATTCCTCATAACTATTGAAATGTTGCCCGAAGAGTAATTAATCTCCTGTAGGACTGAATGATAAACATTGACTGTTCACTAGAGAGTGACCATCTTCATTTCATCTAGTCATGAGTGCTAAGTGAATTCTACCGATCATTTTGTAATGTAATCCCAGAGCTAGGAGACCCACAACCGCTGTCCACTTTGATTAATGTTGAGTGATTGGAGGTGATTGGCAGGAAACTTTGTAACTAGTTTTCTTTGTTGTTAGCACTTGTCAACAGAGTGTGACTGAAAACTAGAGAGACAATCTCCCCTTGCGGATCCAAATCCAGATCCCTTGGTAAAAACGTATCTTAAAATTAATTGTTAATGATTAATGAACATCTAGTTCCAAATAAGTCCCGAGAACCCTAGTTTATAATTCGAATGTATTCGACACTGGTGCTGATATTCACAATTTTAAAGCAATTTTCTAGTCGAATATACACGCTCAAGCATCTACACTATTCGGTGTAGTATGTTGGATTGCCTCACTCCTTAACGACTCTCTAACCAATTTACTGATGTAACTTTGATAAGAGGAACAATCTGACAAAGATATCATCTCTATCCAATAAAACACTTGATGATCTCCCTTGATCTTGGGTGTTAACCAAGTAGGAATTATTAGTTCTTTACCTTGAATATATCTTTGACATTTATCTCTTTCTAAATGCATTATGCACCCATTAAAATTCACTTTTTTTATGAAAATATTCTATGTACATTTAGTGAAAATCTTACTGTTCTGTTCTAACTTATTTCCATACTTTGAGGTGATTTCAGTCCGTTCTATATTGACACTAATTTTTGCGTTAGGGTTTTTAGAGAGATCCAGCTGCTACATAGTACTCTATTTTGTTCGCCCAGTGGTATTCAGATAGTATACGCTGACCACATAAAATTCAAACGGTGAAGTCAATTTTTCAACCTTCGATAGTCTTCGAATGATAATGTTAACAACTTTTACACAGAACACTTTTTTGATGCTTAAATGGCATTTCTAAGGTGATCGTTGATTTCACTTTCTATCAGGAAGTACTATAGCTCTCTATTTCCACCTCAGTACTTCCAAAAGTGTAGTGAAACCTTTCTAAACTAAAACTTCAAACGTTTTCTCAGCGATTATTTTCTGTTAGCTTAAGGAGTATATATCATAGATATATACAGGGTGTTTGGTTGTTTAAGTGTGGAACTTCCCATCAAAACAAATTAATAGAAAAATTCAAGTTGGTTATGGTAAACACAACAAGATCCAGTCGATTATCTGAATTTCATTTTGACTACCTTTGAAACCTAATGGTCATTTCTAAAAACTGGCATATGCCTAATACTAACAATGCTTTGCAGAATGTAAGTAAAAATCCTGAATGGTCGGATGCTTCTAACACTGATCAGTAGTTTTGGTTACCTAGATTCAGTTTGTCTTTACGAATTACCAAAATTTCATCAGTTCAAACGAACAAGATAGTTATGACTTACTAGTCAAGGTTATTCATACTGGTCAAGAGTTTATGTGGAACAGAACGCCAGTTTACCTTCTATATATGTCAATCAAGATTGTAATTTAAGCTAAAGAGAAGCACATCTCTGAGAAGTAACATAAACAACTAGGAGGTAAATTGTGATTTATGAATAAAATTACAAGATGTACTTAACATTGCCTCTTTATACAAAGCGTTTACTGACAGTTCTTACCTTATAAACTTTATGATTTTCAGTCAAAGTATCATATAGAGTGTACATTCTGTTCAGTAGTTCAACCATTTGTTCAACTGGTCGTTGCATACATTCTGCAGCAAAATTCACTACTTTTGTAAAGCATATTGTAACTTCATCAAAAACCTAGGAGAGAAAGGAACCGTGAACATTTATTGGTGATAATGTGAACAAGTATAAGCGAAATTCTATCCCAGACAGTGTTATATTTGTATTCACTTAATTTATGAATCTTTTTTTATAAATATACTGAGATATGATATTGGTCAAGTGACAGTCATCATGATATAATTAAAATGAAACTGTATGATAATGAATAACTGGTTAACAATCAGAATGAATGCCTTAATTTAAGGCATTACATGTTCTGTTGTATTTGTTAGTTTCTGTAATCAATGTACAAATGAAAGCTGACAAGTATCTAGAGTTATGAATTGCATAGGGCTATTACCAATCACTCGGATTATTCACCTAAATCTCTGAGGTACCAAGAACATTCACTTTGCTGAATACAACATTTCTGCTCATTTAAATACTTTCAAAATTCCTCAGCAGGTTATGTGGTAACAAATCTCGCATCAGAAATTCTTTATCAAGAAAAATGTCAAAATATGATAGCCATGAAAAACTGTTTTGTATATATCTTATCATCAGCTTCAGGACTTCCAAACTTTTCAAGTCTTTGTAAGGTATGTGACATGAAATTCCTGATTAAAACGAAGTACTATGCTCCAGTGAGTATAATTTGTAATTGTTTGCCACCCAACTTGTCTGGATTTTATCCTCAGCTGATTAACTGATGCAACTATTTTGATAATCGTATCAAATGTTCTTCTGATATTAAAGTTTAATAGAACCTCTTGTACTTAGAGCTTAGAAAAATGCTTCAAAACAATCTTTTGTGACAACCTTCTAGTTCTTTCGTCTGGTGTAGTTTTAAGTTGCTTCATGGGTTTTCCTAATTCATAAAGAACCAATCATTTGACTACTTTTCTTATGTCACAAAGTCACTGGTCTCGGTCTTTAAACCTCTTAAAAAACGGCATTAAAAACTACTGAAAGAAAATCTTTGACTGTACGGGCGAACTTACATGAAAAATGTGGCATATTACTAGATTTTTGGTCATTATTGACTAAGTAGACAAAGTTAATCGATGTATTATGGAATATCCACCTTCATGACCGAGAAAAGATTAGACGAAATTTTATCTGATCAATATTGGTCAATAGTGGACAAAGCGAATGCGTCCATAGTGATTCGCCTCATATGACTGAATCTTTCAAATGGAGTACGAACATGCGACTTACATATGGGTAGGACTATTATTATTATTCTTCCTTTGGGTTCCTAGTGAAGCATAGGGCTTGAGTAGCACGCCTCCACTGCACTCTCTTCTCTGCAATCTTTTGAACCTCGTTCCACGACTGTCCACAAGCTTTCATTTTCTCCGCACACCATCCCCTCCATGTCACCCTTGCCCCGGATGCCCAAAATCGTCGTTTCCCTTTTGGATTCCACTCGACGGCCTGGTGCGTGATGTCCCCAGTCGGTCTTCTCAGTGTATGCCCAATCCATCTCCACTTTCTTCTTCTGACTGTTTGTTGGGTGATAGGTTCCTGGTTGGTTCGTTGCCAGAGTTCCTTGTTGCAGATTCTTATTATTCTGGCCATCTGATCTTCAGTATCGAGGCAGCGTAGGCAGCTGTTGGTGAATGTCTTTAGTTTGTTGGAAGTGCTTTTCGTGACGCGCCAAGTTTCCGAACCATATAGAAGCACTGACTTGACATTGGTGTTGAAAATCCGGATCTTGTTCACGCTTTGTGCTGATACATTAGATCTCCACACTGATCTCCACAGATTAATGCAAGAAGGCTTGTCTTGCTTTTCCGATCCTGGTTTCAACGTTCTCACCTGTGCCTGTGCCGCTTGTAGTTGAATTGATGATGCCTAGGTAGGTAGGTAGGTCAAAGAGACTGCTCCCTTTAAGTTTCTCCCATTTATGGTGACTGGTTTTTGTTGTTCATGCTGTTGTTCGTTGGGTGTCTTCATCACCTCCGTCTTCTCTACAGTCACTTGAAGTCCTGTTTTTGCTGCCTCATCTGTCAACTTGTTAGTTTTTGCCTGTAGATCTTCGAGTTTGTTCCACAAGACATCAGACGTAAATCCTCATTAGCGGCGAAATCCAAATCTCCTAAGGTGTTTTCATCTGTCCAGCCAGCGTATGCCCATCTTCTCGCTCTTCACGGTTTGTTACATGATTCAGTCCACCACCATCGGGAAGATCATCGGTGATAGTGAACGGCAGCCTTGTCTTACTCCTGTCTTCACTTCAAAGGCGTCACTGAGCTTTCCATTGTGGACCACTTGTCATATAACCTATTCATATAGCTGTTGAGTGAGGTTGATAAAGATTTGTGGTACTAAAACCGTATTGCTGAAGCAACTGCCTGCAAATTACTTCTCGGTCGACGCTGTCGAAGGCCTTTACAAAGTGGATAAAGTTGAGGTAGATAGTTGACTGCCATTCTATACTCTGTTCTATGATGATGCGTATTGTAGCAATGCATTTTGATCTGCACATGATTCGTTCTTCCTGAAGCCAGCCAGTCAGCCTGTTCCCCTTGTAATTTTGAGTGCGGAACATTTTCTGTTTATTCTCTCCAGGATGATGCGGCATAATATTTTACTTGGGATGGACAGGAGAGTGATTCCTCACCAGTTCTTGCAAAGGCTTGCGTCTCCCTTCTTTGGGAGTTTGACAAGGTAGTCCTTCTTCCAATCTACAGATGCCTTTCTTCCTTCCGAACCTTCTGCAGTGATGTTGTGAACATGTCCGCTGTTGTCTCTGAATCTGTCTTCAGTGGTTCTGGCGGAATTCCATCTGGTCCTCCTGCTTTCCCGGATTTCAGCAGTTTTATGGCATTCAGGATTTCTACTTTTGTTGGAGGGCATGTGTCCACCGATAGTTCTGCCGTTGCTTGTGGTATTTCTAGACGAGTTGCAGATGGTGGTCGACTCAAGAGTATTTTGAAGTGGTCAGTTCATCGTTTCATTTGTTTCTCCCCTTCGCTAACTAGCTTTCCTTCACTATCTTTCATTGGTTTCATCTGAGTTGATCTCTTCCTGGAAAGTAACCTGGTTATTTGATATAATGTTCATACGTCTCTCCTACCTGCGGCCTGCAGCTTGTTCTGTTTCACTTGCCAATGTATCGTAGAAGTGTCTTTTGTCTTTGCGCGCACTCTTCTCACTTCTTTGTCCAGTGTTTTGTACGTTGTACTCAGTTCTTCTTTTCATTTTGCATCCTTACTCTTCGTTGGTTCATCTTCTGTTTCACCATCAGCATCTCCCTCTCCCTCTTCTATCAGCTTCCATGCATCCGTCGAGATACATTCCCTGTCTTGCTGCTTCTTCTTCCTTCATAATACACTTATGCAGGTTTCTTTCCACATAGCTTTCAAAACGTTCCAGTGTTCATCCACGCCCGATCCTTCAGCAATGTTGCTCAACGTCTCCCATTTTGTTCTGATGGCCGACGTGAAGATGTCCTTTGTGGTTTCGTTCTCACTTTCTGTTCTGGGTATTGAACTTGAACATGGTCTATCATCATCACCTCCTTTGAATAGAAGGCTTTCAACTTGATTTTGAAAGTGGATTCCTTGCACTAGATAGTGAGTGGTGTGAACCTACATCTGCTCCCTTCTTTATCTAATCTTGTGTCCAGTAGGCTGTCTCCGTCTTCACTTTCTTCAGACTGAGATGAAGTCGATCTGATTTTTAGTGTGTCGTGGTGTCTGGTGAAGTCAAATCCATGTCGCTTTGTGAATATTCTTGTGTTTGTACTCACCGCCTCCAATCACCAAATCGTTGAATGCACAGAATTCTGCAAGCAGTTCTCCATCATCATTCATTTCACCGAATGCCTCTCGACCCATGATTAGATCTCTTCCTGTGTTGTCTGCTCCATGCAGTTTGGCACCCATGTCAACCCACTCATCAGAATGAATTTTGATATCGCCAACTGGTGTGGGGTCCTGTCTAGTACTGATTGCAGTTGTCTGTAGAACTCCTCCTTCTCCTCTTCATCTCAATTATTTGTAGGTGCATAGCGTAGCATTGTATGATTGTGACTTTGCTTCCTTTCGAGTTGAACCTTGCTGTCATGATGCTGATGCTGGAGGAGACTGGATCCTACTGCATGAGAGTCTTCGATGTTCTTGGAGACATCATGATAGCTGCTCAAAAACTCAGTGTGCTGTTCTTGTGGTTGTCGTTTGGTTGACAATATCGGAGTAGGTTATTGACCCTCCAGTTAAGAGTTTGGAGAATCCACTTCCATTCGATCTGGTTTCGCAGATTCCTAGCATTTCTATGCCATATCTCCTCATCTCTTTTGCAATCTAGGCAGCCTTACCAGCCAGCTTCAAATGTTGTCTGGACATTCCATGTCCCCATATTTACTTTCACTTTCATCGAGAGAAAACAAATTACCCAATTGGCTTCCCGAAGGCTTTCACCAACCGGCGTCATTTCGTCTCTCTGATTCCAGAGAGGAATAATTTTGTTTTCTTTTTTATACTTTGTTTGTGCTTTGAAGTTTTTTTGGCTGTTGGATTTGTTTTACGGAGTAGGGTTTCTAGCCTCACACCCAAGCTTCTCTCTTTATCTGGGCTTAGGACTGGATAGTAACTAGTGAACTAGTTAACCAGGCGAGTTTATAGGTAGGGCTATATGGACACTAAATAGGGGTTAATTTCATGAGCATAAAGTAGTAGTAGTATAGTGGCCGTTGCTGATTAGAATGGATATAAGTAGTATATGTTGAGAGGGCTGTAGAAATCATACGGAATTGCCAGCAACGAGTTAGGATTCTATCCAGAGAAACGCAAAAACGAATGTGGGCGTATTAAGAGCAAATCGAGATAGAAGCAGAAGAGGAAATGAAGCACATTATGAAAATGTTTTAGTGCAAAGTGGACTCCACAAGATGTCAGTAATAATCATTCCTTCTTTCGTCTCCGTCTTGTCGCTTCTTACAGTAGTAGTGTGAGTAGTAGTAGTACTGGACATGGGAGTATTTACCCATATCCTGTCAGATTAAGTAGATCGCTGTCACTAGCCTAGTCTTTCTCAGTCACTTAATAAATTATCCAACCTTGAGAGTATTTTTTCAGTGATATTTAGTGATAATGGGCCACACTTCACCTTGATTGTTGTTTTTTGTTCTACAGTGCTAATCACCTTGGATTTAGGTCCCATATTTTACAAGGGTAGAAATTTTTCTCACCCGAATATCAGGAGCACATTACAAGTGAAAGTTTGATGAGATCATCTGTCACTCTTCTGGCTGATGCCGTAAATATACTGTAAATCCCATTCTCTTTTGTTACCTGAAGTCAGTTTTCAGGCCACATTTCAAGCTTTGTATAAAAACTAGTGGTTAATTGTCTACTCTAATAAAATGTTTGTTTTAACGACAGAGGTTTGGTTAATAACTGATCAACATTATCACTGAAAAGGCGATTCTTAGCATATAATTCCAAAAAGAAATGAATAATTATTCTAAGAATAACAGGCAAAATGAAATAGACGAACCTGAATGGTTTCGATTGCTGGAGTACCATTACGAATTTTTCTAGCCACTGCTCTTGGTATGCATTGATAGAGTAAGTCACCAGTCATTTTTCTGGTTTCCTCCAAACGTAGCATACTTTTCTCCATCTGTTTACTTTCTTCACGTTGCTTATTTCCAGAAGGTATAAAGAATACTAATTATTGCTTGATAGAATAATAATCATTATAATACTAGAAACAATAATAACTTTATTTCAAATAAGATTTGTGGTAGAGTATGAAATTCTCAGTATGCAATAGTTCAACGAATTAATTCCCTGTACAATATCTTTAAGCTAAATAAACATTCCATTTGCATAATGTTAATTAAAACAGTAATAAAAGTAACAGTGTGAAACAAGCACCTAGTATTACACTAGCATCTGGTATGGACTGGTGAATGAATAGAATATCAAACGTAATTTTGATAGTGTTAGTTTATTCATCAAGTACCGAAATCAGCACTTCGACATAATTATCCAAAGAATAGTAATATACTATACTTCTTAGTATTTATAAGCCCATCTTTTACCGGTGTATCGTTTATTCTTTGTTTTGTTGTTGACTTGAAAAACGGCAGTTTGAAACCATTTTAAAAAGTGCACAAAAGTACTTGCCTTTTTTAAAAGACATTTATATGATTAAAACAAATTAAAGGGATAGATTTGATGAAATAAATTTCTTTGAAAACTTTCGGCAACCTAAAGTTTAAGTAAGCTGCCAATAAACTATTGATTTCCCCTTTACTAATCATATACTACGCATCTTAAGAGAGTATTAGATCATTGAACACTATTTACACGACACCACAATAAAAATCAACTCGGAATACTAATAGAGAAATCTGCATATTATGTTTGATATTCCAAGTATGATTCTTTTTGTTGGATATTTTATTATTTTATGACCAGAGTTATCGAAAGCATGTCATAAAGTTCTGTCTGGAGGTTTATGGAGCCCCATACTAAGACAAAATAGCTGTCCAATGTTCCTAGGTTTCCAATGTCCCTCCAACTAATGTCAGTCTATTATGAATTCCAAATTGAAATCAATTAATAAATATCGACAAACCTCCAGACTAATTAATCTAGTGCTCATTGGTGACTAACTTCAACAGGCGATTCCCGAATTTTCGATAAGAAGTCGTAACCTATGGAGTCAACCAAGTCGAACACGAGGACAGTTACTCAACGACGACATTGGATGGGGGTCACACTATATCTTGAACTGACAGAAGTATGAAATATGGACTACTGGATTCCGATCCAGTGGCTGAATGACAACGTGCTGGCTCAGGGAACCTGAAGGTCATGGATTGGATCCCTAGCGGGTCGGGTTCGTGGGTGTGGGTTGCTGAGGAGTCCTATACTATGACGAAACAGCTATCCAGTGATCCCAGGTTTCCAATGTTCCTCCAACTGATGTCAGTCCATGATGAGTCCCAACCGAATATCTTAGAGTTTTTGATCAAACCTGGCGTTTATTGAGAACTTCGGTGTAATTGGTTTAACACCGATAAATAATAAGCTGATAATCTTTGAGTACTTGTTAAGAGCCTGATATATTCACTATATAATCAAACTGATACTACTAACATGATAAATTTTGAATGGCTTCTTATCAACTCTCTTAATACTTACGTTAACCTGATTTTAATTAAATGGGCAATTACAAATAAAAATGTCATAACCACTTGAATAAACATCTAGTGTTAGCAGAACATGCCTTTGTAGATCATGTTGCTTAAACTAGGTTTTTTCTCCAAAGTTTAAGCATGACAGCTGTAAATCAGACAGCAAAGTTTAACAGTTTTTAAATGCTAACAATCTTCATGGGAGGTTTTACTGAGTAATATGGCTGGAACTCTAAAGGCAACTAGTTTCCAAATTTTTTATTTGACATATTTAAGTTTATCCAGTATCTCATACAACTTCAGTATAGTTAGACATTGGGGTGAAAATACTGACACCAACTTGAAACCAAGAAAATTACTACTTCCTCATATACTCTTTAACATGCGATTCCTTTTAATGACCAGTATGCGTGAATATCATTGACTAGCATGATGTAAACCAATTATCTTCTTGATAATTTCAGTTCCTTTGAAAGTCATTCGTAATTCGCCTGGACAAAAATCACCCAGTTTTACATAAATATGAACCCAGTGTTTTCTTTGTCGTGCCTGAGTGACCTAATGGGTGACGATCCGGTGTTTCGAGCGACGGGTAATAAATTTTAATCTCAGTGGGAACAACATCACCCAGTGAAGTGAAGGTAAAACCAGCTGACAAGTCCCAAATAGGATCAGAAGTACGAAGTAGTGTCCCTCCCCAACCACAACTAAATAACCTACCGTAATGAATATTCAGTCAATGTCAAGGCATCCACAAAGGAGTCCATATGTTGATGTAGGTCGAACAATTCGATCCAGTATAAAAACGGAGAATTATAACTATATTAACAAATAGTTATACTGAAAACTTTATTCGAAATTTGTTGCTATGCAGGTAGTGCCCGGTACCTATTGGGATGGTACTAAAAGTTCATTTTTAACTTTAGGTAGTTGTTATAATGATTATTTTCACATCATCCGGACCACAGAATAAAAATAAAAGTAAAATCCACCAAATCAATATGTTGTCTGTGCACTCTTATGAAAGTGACATTTTTGTTCGAAAAAAGTAAATTCTATGATAACCGTTTAGATCTTCATCGAAATGCTTACTAATAATTCCATTGACTTTAGATATAATCATAGAATACTGATGAGCTTTGATTCAAAAGGATGGAAGTGATTTAGTGTAACACTAAGTACCATACAATAAAGTGGTTTGATTACTGTGGGTTGGTGATGTTAACTCAATGAAGCCACTGATATATCATAAAATCCTGAAGGGAAAGGAAAAGAGAAGTGATCACATTGGTTATGAAGAAATGTTTAGCTTGCAGGTAAGAGAGATCATCAACAGTAGTAATCGCTAGAATAAGCTTCAGGATAACGGTATTTGCAATGAAGAAGAATAAGATAAAATTCCTTTTGATAATGAATTCATTCCATTTCTTTCTATTCATTAGAAATATTTTAAAAATTTAGTCTGAAATGCAGTAGTCGGAAACGATTCAGAAGAAAACGCTTTCTTACGAAATGGTGGCTATCCTCCTTCTCCAATACAACTTATGAACCATAAAGATGATGACAGATCACTTCGCAAAGAAATATAATCAAACATATGTTTCTTCTATTAAGATTGTTGACTTTGCTTTAAAAGTTCAGAAGCACTTTGTCACTGAAGTCATTTCGTGCAGCTTCGAACTACTGCTCTCCACAAAACATTTCAGCTATATGAACTCATAAAACTTCAAAAGGTTTGACTTACTTATCCAGTCTGTTAGCATAACTATACTTAGTAGCTTCATCAAGATGCAACAGAAAGGTCCATTACCTTCCCATTTAGCGATTGTATTACCTAATCCTAACTCGTACTCCTCACTTTCGAATCCCAATTTCCTTCATTAAATCTACTTTTCTTAAAAGCTTCTCCGCTAATCTTTCTAAAATAAAGTAAATATTTCATTGCTGTGGATCACAGTAATTATAACTGTCTGAATGTCAAGGATAATGAGGTCGTTCTGTACTGACAGAATGTATACATTCAGACGTAAGTACTGTATTTTTCAGTCTGAACAAAAACTGTTTGACACTATATGAAAATTGCACTGTTTTGCATTACATCATCCAGATGTATAACTTTCAGGTACTTGTAACTTAGGCTTGACATTTTTAGACAGTACCGTTTTCACTATAATTACCTTCAAAAGTCCAAAAGCAGAGTCATTCTGGTTTAAATTAATCCATAATTTGGAATGTGTTCTTTCCAAGCTACCTGAGGCAATATTTTCTGTTTGCTATGGAATCGTTTTTTCATTAACAACTCCTCAGTCACTGGTGATTTTACTGAATCACGGAACTCTGTCAATTAACATTTTGAACTGAAAAATTATGACATTTTTTGTCAACCTTACTCTACTCATTAAAATTCAGTAGGGTAAATAATTTCAAGCAATTTACTAATTGATATTGAGTGGCGATTAAAGGTGAAAATTTAACAATTTTCTGCTTTTTGCAGAAAAACTGCAATAATGCGTTTTTCCGAAGCTGAGTGATGCTTTTTAAGTGAAGACAGAAGTGAAACAAGGCTGCCACCTACTAACACCCATGATATTCCTGATTGTGGTCCACTACACTGGATCATGCAACAAACAGTGAGGAGTGAGATGACGGGGATACACTGGCTGGACCTGGGAAGAGATTCTAGAAGATTTGGATTTCGCTGCCAATGAGGATTTATGTCTAATGTCTTGTCGCACAAACTCGAAGATTTACAGGAGAAAAGTAAGAAGTTGACAGAAAAGGTGAGGCAGGGCAGCGAAGGAAGATGGGACTTCATATGAATGATGAAGATACCCAACAACGACAACAACAACAAGCTCCAATCACCATCAACAGGAGAAACTTAAAAGAAGTAGCCTCCTTCACCTATCTAGGGGAAGCACTGTTTCAAGTACAGGCGGCACAGGCACAGGCAGAGACAAGGATGTCAAAGCCAGCCAGCATCGGAAACACAACAAGATAGGCGTTCATTAACCTGAAACCAGTGTGCAGATCTGCTTCACTACACTCAGCACTAAGCGTGAACAACATCCACATTTTCAACACCAATCCGGTCAAGTCAGTGCTTCTGTATGGTTGAGAGACTTGACGCGTTACCAAAGAGATTTCCAACAAACTACACACACTCATCAACAACTGCCACCTACACTGGCTCATTACTGAAGATCAGATGGATTGCCAGAATAATGAGAATAAGCGACAGGGAACTCTGGCAACAAACCAACCAAGAAGCTATCACTCACGAAATATGCAGTGGAAGGAAGTGGGGATGGATTGGGCATGCAGTGAGAAGGCCGAGTGGGTATATCACGAGCTAGGCCAGTTGCTCGAGTGAAACCCTGATGGGGAGCGACGATTTGGGTGTTCCAGGTGAGGGTGACATGGAGGAGATTGTGTGGTGAGGAAATGAGAGTTGTTGGCTGTCGTGGAGTCAAGTTCCAAAGTTTGCATAGGAGAGAGTGGAATGGAGACGTGCTACTGAATCTTTATGTTCTATTAGGAACGCAAGGGACAAATAATAATAATAACAATACGTCTTTCACTAAAATACTCACTTTTTTAAAAAGGTTTATTAGTTCTTGAGACTGTTGGTTACCTTCCAATATTATTTCACGACTGCGGTCGAACATATTCAGATCGGATATATGGAGCGACTTCTCCAACAGCTGTTTAGTATCTCGAATCCTGATTTGCAATGAATAAGTTGAAATGAGCATAGAACTTCAAAAGGTTCCAAATATGTTTTACTTATTAAAGGCAATAGCTTAGTTTCTCGATAAAGGTTCATTTAAATGCACTGAAAATATTCATAGTAAATTGTATCCCATGAGTAAACAAATAAATCTTATTGTCTCCGAAAATCTATCTACCTCACCTTTGAAGTCAATATACAAATTGCTTCAAATAACAAAATGTTGCCAATTGGCTACCTTATTAGCAACTTTCGAAAAGACTGCACAAATCACTGTCCTAATTTATCTTTTTCTAGAAAAAGACTCAGAACTAGACGACATGAGATTAGTTGCTCTCCAGCGACCAATCAGTGTATGTAATCCACTCCTATAAGATGTCAATCGCCTCGCAAGCAGTTCACCGGTAGTGTTGCTGACTGAAGCACTGGGTATGGCAGGTTCGAATCTCTGGCTAGACATCAGTTCCGTCGAAACTGTAGATACGCTTTAGTGACGCGTCCCAACAGGCACGAAACTGAGATCCATGTCTTCCTACTAACGTGTTCCCCAAATGCAACTAACTTCTAAGCCACCGTATTTTAGTTATGTCAAGTCTGATTGCTAACAAAATGGAGGATAAATTGAACTCTGTTTTCACGGCCTTGAGCAAAGCACTTCTGATAGCCACTTAAAAGAAATGACATCTTCTTACAGATCTGAAACTGTATCAACCGATGTTGTAGTCAGAGGTATCATCTCTGTGTTATTTATTTGCGATTGAACTCCTCTGGATTAGATGATAAGCAGTGATTGATCTTTATTAAGCAACCAGTTTCATACCATCTAGTCTTTAAGACTGATAGAATTTGATTGGGCCTTTACAATGTGATAAAATGAATCTCTTAGATAGGTAACTACATCATAAAATGATGAGTGGAATTCGACTAGACCTAGAATTAGACAACATGAAATTAATTGAAGGACAAATACCACTTTACAGAAGATCTATCTAGCTGCCAGGCGAAACGCACTTCACAAGACCAATTGCTCATTGGGATAGTCTAAGTTTGACAAGTCCACTTTTCATTTTATCAGCTGCATATACCAATTCATGTGTGAGCCAAAGTATATACATTGAACGAATAGAGAGAAGGATCTGTGACTGCATGTCTGAGCATATTCCAAGGAGTTTACGACGGAGAGGTGGAAAACTCCCCAATAGCGCTGTTTCTCATCAATTTGTCGATAGTAGACATGAAGTTGATGTTCAATAGTTGTTTAAAATAATTTATAAAAAGATGAACTCCAATTTCTTGATTTTCCCTCAAGCAGTAGCTCTTAAACGACCAAAAATGAAGCAGTTACCAGACTGTACGTACCATGGTAAATATTTTGTGTTGTGGACAATCATGATATTTTTACGTTTCATCGCCATTTCGTATATCTTTATTATTGTTTCAACTTCATATCTACTATCGACAAATTGATGAGAAACAGCGCTATTGGGAAGTTTTCCACCTCTCCGTCGTAAACTCCTTGGAATATGCTCAGACATGCAGTCACAGATCCTTCTCTCTATTCGTTCAATGTATATACTTTGGCTCACACATGAATTGGTATATGCAGCTGATAAAATGAAAAGTGGACTTGTCAAACTTAGACTATCCCAATGAGCAATTGGTCTTGTGAAGTTGCTTTTCGCCTGGCAGCTAGATAGATCTTCTGTAAAGTGGTATTTGTCCTTCAATTAATTTCATGTTGTCTAATTCTAGGTTCTGGCTAAAGTTTACTCATCTTACCTGTTTAGCTCTAACTTATGCTCTAGAATATTCATTGAATCTTCTTAGTTATAGACAAATTCACTTTAAGTTCATAAATATTTATTCATTTAACTCGTGTCTCAGTTACTTCAGATGAATGTTATCTTCTCTTCAAGTTAAAAAAATTTTATCAGATCTTTTCAAGTATACAATATTTTGAATCATTTTGTACTAAACTGTAAGCGGCTGAAGAGGCGACCGGAAACAAAGAATGGATCCATGCCATCCTGCTCAAACTGTTGTCCTCAGTCTATTGAGACTATAAAACTAATTGTCACTCTCCAGGGAATAATCAATATGTTATTCTATATCAGGTTATCAGTTGTCGGAATACAATGGAAGTCTTTTCGAAATTCTTGACAGATACATTCACCTTCTGTTTTGTCTAGTAAAATCTTGTACCGTCTACATCATAATATCATTATGGTTAGCAAGCACAAACTTTGAAAACACAGATTTTAATAAATAAGTTAAGCAATCAATAGTAATTAATTACAATGGTGCACCAAGGAATAGGAGCATTTGCCATTCTTCAACATGATAAATTTCTCCTTTAAATCGACAAACTTCTTGTAGGTTAGTAGTACCATTCGAAGATTTACCTGTAAAAGATATGGATGATATACAGAAGTATCACTAAATTTCTAACAAAACGTAATCATCAGTACATGAAACAGTTATACATTTCAACAATGAAAGCTCTTGGTAATTTCTCTGTAAAAATACACCATTTATTAGAATTCATACGATAAACCGTTTTCGCGTGAACAGATTTATTTCAAGTCGCTTAACTGATAAGTTGAACATAACCAAGTGTTTAATGGATATCATGACTTATGAGAGTATTACTTGGATTGACATGAATTTATATGATAGTCTTTCAAATTTGTCAACAAGTAGTTTTTTAAGATAAACCTGACATCCTCATGACACACAGAAGCTGTAGATTCCTTATAAACTAAGAATTAATTGTAGTGACTTAATAACCAAGAGAAAAGTGCCTCTTGTTGGCTTTACGTGAAAATTTGGGCACTAGATGCTCACCCACATACTATCTATCATGTGATGATAATAACTACTTTTAGAATTTCATAATATAAATTGTTTCCTAATTATAGACTATGGAAGTTGATTATGCTAAGCAGTAAACATGTATATTTCATGTGATTCCTAAAACTTGAGTGTTTTTATGCTTAACATCAAACTATTTTACCGAGTTACTGATTCTTACTAACTAAACGTTGTGTCAGAAATCACAACCTTTCATGTAACTCAATTATGAAGGGAGGAAATATTTGAAGACCTAGATAAGGCACATGACACAGGCCTGTTAGGTGAAGACCCTGATAAGATGCAGAGTTTTCTGAAAATCTTGATTATTGATTTGAGAATATTTGGGATGGGTTACCAGCCATGCAAATGTAAATGGTTAACGAAGGAGTGGTCTTCAGTAATGCCTAGCCTAACAATAGGGAATGAAGCGGTTTAAGGCATTGATCATTTCACTTACCTGAAAAGTAGGATAAGCTCTGATGGCCAAGCAATAAACGAAGTATTTGGATGGACACAAAAGGCTTGCCTGGCTTTCACCAATGTACACCACTTATGTCACCAATGTGACATCCTACTGTCTATTAAGAGTAAAGTGCATTACGCTGCAGTCTGTTCTGCTTTATTATGTGGTTGTGAGACATGATCACTAAAGGTGGAGGAGATTTACTTAGATTCTAGATTTTAATGTAGTAGATAAACTAAAGCCTTAAATTCCATTTCAGTTTATCATATATTTATCCTGATTTTATACGAATTGTTATTCTTTCTGTGAAATTGAAAGGTTAGACTAACAAAATATAAAATGAAGTTTTCATTGAACAGAGTTTATTTTAACACACTCATCTTCAATGTTTCAGTGTATCAATGAAAGCTACAAATATCGAATTTTATATTCTAGGCATCTCATTAGTTTTGAAATGATTTTCATTCAGTTAGTTTCGGTAAACTCGTAATAATTATCCAACTACTTCTAACATTTGAAACAATATCTATCTAGACTATGAGCTTTTGAATCTAACAATCAAGCTTTTAAAGAGAATTGATGTTTCTATGATGCGGTCAAGAAGGTGTTTAAAATGAGAATCAATGAAAAGTCCAACGCTAAGTCAATCTGTAAATACCTTCTCTTTCATAAAAATTGTTCTCAAATATGACATCAAACTAGTGAATTTTTTATTTCAATGAATGAATGAAAAACCTTTTCATGAATCTATGCTTCCTTCGTTTTGGTAATCAGCTTCTTTAAAGTAGCATCATTCTGGTATTTTTCAAGTCGGTCTTAAAAACCATTTTACTTCATAAGATTTGGAGGCTCAGTAGATAACTGATGATAAATTCAAGCACATAAAAGGTATCAGTTTTCGTGAATCTATGAATTAAATTTTGAGGGAGCCACTGGGTCAGAATCCAATGCTCCATATTTCCAACTTCTGTTAGCTCACGATATAGCGCAAACCGCCACCCAATGTCATCGTTGAGTATCTGTCCTCATGGCCATTAGGCTTTGACTCCACCGGTCACGACTTGTCATTGGAACTTCGGGAATACTTCTCAAAGCTAGTCACCGATGAGCACCAGTTCAATTAAATTTTGAGGGGGTTGTGGAGATTTGGAAATATTTCAAGTTGTTATTCATCGAAGACTGACATCAGTTGGAGGAACAAAGGAAACGTGGGAGCACTGGACAGCTGTTTCGTCCTAGTATGGGACTCCTCAGCAGTGCGCACCCACGACCCCACCAGCAGGACGAAACGGCTGTCCAGTGCTCCCAGGTTTCCTTTGTTCCTCCAACTGATGTCAGTCTTCGATGAACAACAACTTGAAATTTATGAATTATTACCCAATCCTTACATAAACAAAAATAAGGATTTCCAATATTAATTAATTTAGGTAATCAAATTAAACTACTGTAAGTGCAGTTTTCAGTGCAGTGAAGTAAATCAAGTTAGATAATTAAGTCCTGCAAAGGATATGTATGAATATTTTGCAAGAATCAAAAAGGAAATCTGTAAAAGTTAACATTTGGTGTTTATTCAAACAACGTCTGGATATATCTTGCTTGTATAGTTTATCTTAATTTCGAATTTTCTAGTAAAGGGACAAATTATCATTTAGAGAATGTTAAGTACTTGAGGTGTTAGAAATGAATTGATAGCTCAGAATGAGAAGGATACGGTTAGCTATTAAACACTTCATTATCAAGCTAGGCAACTCACATCAGCATACGTTTCTTAAAGAAGCACCTGAAAGACTTATGGATGACATGAATAGCTGAGTGACGAATTCTTTGTGTTTAATTAGCATCGACTAGCATAAGTTCAAAGTTTTTAGATATACATTGTTGATAAATACCAACAAATCTGAATGCTTAGTCACTGCCCTCTGTAAATCCACTCAAAATTCACTGGAGTAACAATTCACCTTGTTGCCACATTGTATACGTGATCAATATATGTTGATCTTTTGTCCTGTAGTGGCTTAGTGGATAACGCGTTTGACGTTTGAAACGATGGATACTGGGTTTGAGCCTCGGTGGGAATAATATCACTCGTTAGGGTGCAGGTACATCCAGCTGAGTCCCAAATAAGACGGAATGGGTATTCTGGATTCCTTCACCAGTCACAAAGATCAATATACATCGATCTTTAGTTACAATTATTATCTTATAATAATTTTTTTGAGTTAATAGGAAGATTGAAAACTATTCTTAGTTTAGTCTCAGAATTATTGTGAACGTTTATTGCAAGCTAATGATCGAGTAGTTATTAGAAAAAGAACTTATAAACGCCTTCAGTTTATTATCCTGAGCATATTTCCTCGTCTATGTTTAGAAAACGGTCACGCATACCCAAAGTTTTTTGCATAAAATAAGCTTCTGAAGCCTCTGAGTGCATATTAAAGTATGAACATGAAGAGACTTGTCCTTCACGCACGTATAGAACAAGGTTCAATGATACATCTATAAATATTCAGTTAATTGAACTTTGATTACCATACTTAGTTATTTTAAACATTCATTTAACCAAAATATTTAAATCTCATTAAAGACTAAAGTTATCAATTTTTCATGTATGAACATTTACATTTAATGATTTCTTAATTAAAATTGTATTTCAGGTTGGTATTCACTATGGACTATGAAATCAGTTGGAGAAATATTGGAACTCAGGGAGAATTGAACAGCTGTATCATCTTAGTATGGAACTCCTCAGCATTACACGCTTGTGACCCCATCAAAGATCGAACCCAGGACCTTCAGCTTCTGCAGATGGCAGGTTACCGTTCAGCATACACTCTTGAGGAGTCCCATACTAGAATGAAACAGCTGTCTAGTGCTTCCAGATTTCCAATATTTCTCCAACTGATGTCAGTCAATGATGTATACCAACTTAAAATTAGTAAGTCCCCACAAAACTCCAAAGTAAAATCATATTATTAATAATAATAAATAACAATAATAATACTGTTTTCCAAAGATAGTTCTTACTTACTATTCTTAGGTTTAAGATCCAGGAGAATGAGTTCAAAAGTGGTAAATTGATAAGCACAAATCTGAAGTTTATAAAACAAAAGTAAAACTTAGTAAATATCTTTTCTTTCTTTGTTTAATTTATTATTGAAATTTCCTACCTTTTGAATAGAATATAAACAGTATTCACCTCGTTTACAACATAAAACCGACCTTTCAGTTATTCATCAATAGACAAGATATGTAATCACATACTAAATGATAAATTCATGAACTATGAATTCATTATCTATCAGTAAAATAAGTCTGTCAGAACTAACAACATATTTATTATCTCAATGGTGAACAAATAGCTGTAAAATAAACCACTTTTGTGAGAATGATAAACTATTTAAGTATTATGGAGTTGTCCTGGCTTGGCACAATAACTAGAATATGTGTTGAAGGTCATAGGTATTTTACTGCTTCCATACTAAATTCTTCGATATTTTAGGGGACGTTAGTAAGTATTATGTTTTCAACTTCAATTCTTATTTATCTTAATTTGTTTCTAGAAGTTAATGATGTTTTCTGTTCATTAGATATTAGAGGCTACTGATCTTGGTGACTAAAAGAGGAACCCAGAACTCACTTTTTGTCCCATTTGGGACCTCTCAGCTGGATGCATACCCACCCCAGTGAGTGATACTGTTGCCACTGAGACTTGAACCCAGTATCCTTCTTTCCAAATGCTAGAGCGTTATCCTCTAAGCCACTGGGCACGATAACCACCTCTTATGAATAGGGTCTTATCAGCTGTTGTTATGATACTTGTAATTTCCTGTTGCTATACAGGGCCGAATCGCTAGATCTCTGTTAACAGATGGGCTCCTGTGAGGATACCTCGATACTGTATAGCAACTGTACAGCAATGGGAAATTACAAGTATCATAACAACAGATAACAGGGGAATTCGAAGATATCCTGCTACCTACACTTTAAGTGAATTTTTCACAAATCCAAACTGTCTTCTTATCGAACTGGGTAAATTGGTTGGGAAAATATGAAGGAAATGTACAATTAGATTGCTATAACCATTGAACAGTAGTCAGAATTCGACTATACAATACTGGTTTCAAATAAAGTGTTTCAGCTGGAAACGGAAAGAAGCCATTGCAAAAGTTACATGGTAGGATGAGAACAAAACAGTTGAAGAGGATTTTAGTTTTGAAACGTTAATGATAGACCTCCTTATAAACAAAGTGTTTGGAACCTGAAGTATCATGATCCTAATAAATCGGTGATCTTAAGTTTTCTGGAGCAATGATTTGAACTTTGAACGCTATTAGGTGAAATAACATGTATAAGTAACCATAGAGAATATTATAAACCTCTGACATTCACTGGAATGGATGTCTACCACATATTGAGCAGAGTTTCTGGTACTGCTTTACTCTTTCAATAAATGCTGGTACTAAAGTATTTTAAATTAATCCAGTTTGTTAGTACTTCTCCGCTTGTTATGGAATGGTTTATTATATGATGGAATATTTCGTGTCCTGTTTCCGTTAAAACTGTAGACAAAAGTAGGACACATAGAGTGAGTAAAAACAGACAACTCACATTAGTCTAAGGTGGCTATATGCCATTGCAATCCCTTCGAATAAGTTGAAAATCAAAACCTATTTTAAAAAATACTCCCTGAAACAGATTACGCAAACATTTATGAGAACCATACATCAGTATTAGGAATTGAAAGTCACATAAAGCTGTTAAAGCAGATAAATAATAAGTTTTCAAGGTAATCCAAACTATACTTCACCTCCTTGGAGAGATATATGCTGAAACTTGTTGATATAACGGTGATTTTATAGGTTGATGTACTACGTATTGTTATTCCAGATTACCGTCTGGTCATATTTAGAAGGTATCCATAAATAAATCTAAACAGGATTCACCTGTGGTGACGACTTCATCAATCATAACTGACCGTGAAGTCGGCATAACCTGACCTCATCGACCTGCATTAGAAATTTCGTTTCATTTTTATCGTGTTAATGATATAACTTGATATTCGTCTCTGAACTCCTTAGGTTTCATCCACGGTGGTTACTACGCTCTCGGAAATAGAAAAGCTGGTAAGACAACAGGTCCATTCCGATGCTCAACTACATACAAAGTAAAACAGTTTAGATATTTACAGTGGTTTTGATTTTCTTTAGGCCTTTGCAGAAGAGCACTTTTTCATTGATGTTTTCTCCCTAATCAATCTGACATTTACACATTTGATTACTTACCTTTTCTCGAGAATCCGGAGTATATTGACTGGGACCGGAGGATTTTAGAGGTTTAGAGCTTATCCATAGGACTTACAGAATTATAGAGAATACTATACACATCCCCTCTGAAAATTAGGTTGGTGATATGTTGGTGCCTTTTGCTTAACGTTAACCCTTATGTAAGGAGTGTAAACTTATTTGGAGTCCTTTTCTTCTGGATATATTTTCTGACTCAGATAAACTGTTCTCTTAAAAGTATTCAACGATCAGAGTAGTTTCTTGGCATGTCGAGCAACAGTACCTTATTCCTTTCTCCTCACTTCTCCCGAAGAAAACAGAAACACATTCATAAAAACTTCCCCAAGGTATTTTGTCAGTGAAAAATAACTGAAGCAAATATCTGAGCAGATAGTGGTGATGAAAACCTCCAGCCACATTCTACAAATTAACCTGTATGATAGATATGGGCAAGCCGAATTCAAGAGCCATCTAGCTTCTTTTTAGAACTCATAGTAATTTATATCTCTTGCCATTACGATATCATGATTTTTCTTACCTTGAGTCTACTAAGAACTTCAACCAATGTCTGTTTTTCTCCTGCACTGTCCCGTTTGGAGTTTTAGGATGAACAAGTGAAACATTTTAAATGATGTCAATAAATAAACTGTTGTTTTCGAAAAAATTTTATTTAATCATTAGATTGGTAGTGGTATGATGTCAAGCACAGGTAGGTTAGGGTTAACGGTAATACTGTGACAAAAATAATAACATTACTCATATACTGTGAGTTGTTATTCGTTAGAACTGTTTTAAGCAGAACGGTAGAATATACCAAATAAATTCAATTTTGAGGTTTGTAGGATTGATTTATTGATTTCAGATTGGTACTGATTATAAACTGATATCAGTTGGAGAATAATAGGAAACCTAGGGGCACTGAACAGTATGAGATTCCTCAATAGTGAGCACCACTGACCCCACTAGGGACGGCTCTTGTGTACATGCTATTGAGGAGCCCCATATTTGACGAAACAGCTATCCAGTGCTTCCTGGTTTCCCATGTTCCCCAACTGATGTCGATCTGTCATAAATATCAACCTGATGCCGAACAGAATCTGAAGAGTCCCCGATGTTGTTTAAGAACGTACGATCACTATCTCTGGTCATTTTGGAGTTTTATTCAATATAGCTAAATTTAATGCATCATCGGTGAAAATAGATGACTCTGTGAGAGACAAATACTTTCAAACCTTCACTTTTAGCCGCTATGAAAGAGGTTACCAGTGAAGATAATTCCCTACCTGTTGATATTAATGAGGCCTTCCTACGAAGTTGTGACTTGTATTTGGCTAATAATTGAGACTTCAGGTGAATAACGCAAAAAATTGGATTCCTGAGTGATCAGATTCAAACTGTTTGAGAACTGTGGTATACAGAACAATTCAGCAGACACTGATCAATCTTTTACAATCCATATTAAATAGATGCCACGAATGTCCATCGAGTAGGTTAGGATTAGCCCCTGAAAACATTTATATCACTTTTAAAATCCTATGATATTCCAAGATAAATTAAGTCAAATATTTTTTCGATCAGTGGATCTCTAGAGGTTTTACTCTTAAGCGAATAGGATAGGGATCTTAGTTTCACCAGTTCAACCTAATCCATCAATAACAACAGACGCTGAAATGTGAAATATTTATACGTACCGCCACTATCGAACTGTGTACGCCCATTAAGACGTTTTCAGAACAGGCTTTCTTCCATTATCTGAAATCAGGCAGTTAAGATGTTCGTTATCTGTAGTCACTCCGAAGGCATACTATATCTTTCAAATAAGGACAATGAGATGATATTGTTGAGGCATTTGAAGTGTTCCGCATAATACAAGTTGACAATTCTAGTATAAAACTAATTGTCGTAGAGTGAAAGTAAGTGGAAGATACTAACATTTTCAACCTTCAATATCATTTCAATTAGAGTTTTGAGTAGTATAACCGCATAAACTGCTTGTCACCTTGTGGGCTGTATACTATTCCAGTGCTTAAACATCAAACATGTTTCGTTAGAATTCTTGCCTCAATTACTGGTCAAGCATTTAAGTCTATTCTAAATCCAAACAGCTTGCTCCTAAAACATTTAAGTTCCACGGCTTACTAACGATAGACTTTGACTTTGGTCTTACAACGTTACACAATAACTGGGACTCTTAATATTTTTTTATAAATGTAATGGTATTTTTATCGTTGAAAATGCATTGTCAACTAAGATTTACTTTTTAAGGTACTGTTCATCACGGAGTGACATCACTTGGATAACCGTTGAAAAGATGAGAGAACTGGACAGCTGTTTCCTGCTAATATGGGACTCTTAAGCAAAACACATTCACTACTCCACTAGGGATCAAACTCACCCCTTTCAGATTTCACGGAGAATACGTTAACCGTACAGACACTAGACCGGAGTTCAGTGGTTTACAGTTTCCTACTCCTGTCGATTCACGTTATAGCCTAACTATCCACCAAGATCTTCATTTGGCTTCCATCAGGTTTTCAATACTTCTACAGTCTGTCTGTGACGAATGCAACCTCAAAAATAAAATCCCTTCAAATCTCAAAAGAAGTTAGTTCCTGGTTCTGTAACTGTAAGCGTAAATAAATAAATAGCAATAACTAACACCTGTTGTATAAGAGGGAGCTATCGCGCCCCAGTAGCTTAGTGAATAACGCTCTAGCATTAGGAGCGATGGGTATTGCGTTCAAGTCTCATTGGGAACAGCATCACTCACTGGTGTGGATGTACATCCAGCCGACGATTTCAAAGTAGGAAGAAACTAACATCCTGAATTCCACTGGCAGTCACCAAGATCAATGAAGTGTGAATTTTTTCTAAATAAATTAAAAACTTAGAATGAACTGGTCAGTGTAATCTTTAAATCTCATATGTTAAGCATTAAGATAGTAGTTTTCCTACCTCATGGTATTCAGGTTTAATCTTTGGTCGAGAAATTCTAAAACATGAGAAAAAATCTTTTCCCAAGAGATCATTTCGCATTGTTGAAATACTTGATCCAACACGCATAATTTTCAAGTTTGGTGTAATCACTAAATGAAATGGTATAATAGGAAATAAATTATTCTCTGAAACAGTAACTGATAAATCCAATAATGAATGATTATAATAGTCTCTATCCCATTTTGTACCATTTTTAATTAAATTAATCCATGGTAAGCCACGATTGTAAATTTTATAAATATAAGCAAATTGTAGACCACATTTCTTTTGTCCAATTAACTTCACTGTTATATCTAAATTGTAATAAAATCTTGCGAAACAGATTAATTGTCCACGAAGAAACTCTGCAAAACAATTACGTCTAGTTATATATTCTAATTCAATAACATTTTGAGTAATAGAAATAACTTTTATATGTGGTGGTTTAATACGTGGATATGAATAACGTAAATATTCGTGTAATTCACCGATATTATGTAAAAAATCAACAAATTGACTTCCTAATATTCTTAAAATTTTTTCATAACCATAATCTGTTAAAAATTTTACTGATGATCCACCAAAATCAAAGTAAATATCTTCTTCAGGTAAACCAGTAAAATTACTCAATTTTTGAACAATATTACGTAATAAATTTGTTGAATAATGTTGCCTTGTATTTATTTCATGATATTGTCCACTAGTTATCTCAATTGCTGACAACCATATAGATGTTCCAAATGTTGATTCAACATATTGTCTCAAGATTTCAAACAGAAGACCGTACATTTTAATGCCTATGAAACTTATTTGTGAAGCACATTCAATGATGTTTATTGTAAAGATAAAATTTCTTCCCGATGTATATATATATATATATATATATATATATATATATATATATATAATATGTTCACCTTGACCATAAAAAATCATAGAATATCATCAACAAGTCTTTACCAATTATTTATTCTACTTTTAATGATATCATCAATTAAGTAGTGGAAATTATTTAGTGGAAAAAAAAACATTTATTTCATTGTGTAGATGATGATAAGTGTATGAAAATTTTTTTAGAATAAATAATCATAATTGAAATGTGAACAACCTAGGTTTAAGACATTTTTATAAAAGTGTTTACATAAGTCAGTTGATGGACATTGTCAAGGCCTTTTTTTAATGTAAAATTTCATAATTTCTTTGAATAGAAAATAAAATTTACTTGAAGTATAATTTTTTTTATGTTATGATTATTAAAAAGCTGGCTTCAAGGAAAACAAATTATGTATGGATCAAACTTCAACTCTATACTATGCAGCATCGTAGAACAGAGTATAGAATGGCAGAATGGTAACTCTTTACCTGAACTTCATTGACTATGAAAAGGCCATCGATAGTGTCGACTGAGAAGTAATTTGTAAAGCAGCTGCTTCAACACTACGGTTTTAGTGCCACAAACCTTAATCAACCTCATTCAACAGCTATGTGCTAAATGATACTACATACCAAGTGACTGACAATGGAAAGCTCAGTGACGCCTTTGAAGTGAAGACAGGCTGGAGTCAGATAAGGTTGCCGCCTACTATCACCGACCATCTTCCTGATTGTGGCCAACTGGAGTGGACTGGACCATGCAACTGTTAGGAGCTGTGAGAAGATGGTGATAGGCTGTTTGACTGATGAAAAGACCCTAGAAGATTTGAATTTCGCTGTTGGTTTATGTCTAATGTCACACAAACTCGAAGATCTACAGGCGAAAACTAACAAGTTGACAGAAGAGGCAGGACAGCGAAAAGGGGACATCCTTCACGTGAACATGGAGAAGACCGAGGTGATGAAGATACCCAACTAACAACAACAGTAAGCATAAATCACCATCAACCGAGGAAATCGAAAGGAAGTAGTCTCTTTCACCTACCGAAGCGAGGCAGCATCGTTTCAACTACAGGTGGCGGCACAGATGGGAATGTGAAGGCCAGGATCGGAAAAGCGAGCAGGATGAGCCTTCCTGCACTAATCTGAAATCAGTGTGGAGATCTACTGCACTGTACTCAGCATCAAGCGTGAACAAGATCCGGATTTCCAACACTAATATCAGTCAAGTCAGTCAGTACTTCTATGTGATGGTTGAGAGACTTGGCGCGTCATGAAATACATTTCCAACAAACGGTAGACATCGATCAACAGCTATCGCCTACGCTCACTCAATACCGAAGATCAGACAGATGGCAGGAAAGGATAGGCAACAAAGAACTGTGGCCTGCCAACAAACTGACCAGGAATCTATCACCCAACAAATATGCAGAAGAAAGCGGAGATAGATTGGACTAGACATACACTAAGAAGACCATTCGGGGATATCATGCGTCAGGTCAGGTTTTTAAGTGGAATCCAACGGGGAAACGATGAGTTCGGTGTCCGAGGCGACGGTAACATTGAGGAGATGGTGTGAGGAAGAAATGAAAGCTTATTGGCAGTGGTGGAGCCAGGTTAGAGGGACTGTAGAGAAAAGAGTGAACTGTCGACATGCTACTGAAGCCCTAGGTTCCACTAGGAACCCAAGGGATAAATAATAATAAATGACCATTAAAGTTAGAAAGCTTGTTAGCAGCTTTCATTCATTTGATCTCGTGTAAGTTTCAAGAAAACATTAGTATTGAAAATGACCAAGTTATTAATTCAAAGATAGAATAAAGTAAATGAAATATACTTCGATCATTAAACCAAATTATATTCATTCCTTCATTCACATCTACATAGAGCAGTTACATTGTCCGTTGCACCCAAACTCTTCTGAATGACACTGGTTCTGTTGGTATCCTAAATACAGCTTACTAATGCGTGTGAAATATTCAAAAATCCGAATCATACACTTTTAACTGATTACCTCTAACTGTCTACGAGATAATGTCGTGCACCATGAATGCGAACCACTTAGCTTCGTGGTCACATTACATAATTAGTGAACATAATTCGGTTAACACATTGAACTAGATTACGTAACATTTGTTACTACAAACTGAATGACACCCGTTGGTAGTAACAGTTTTTCTCTTCAGATGCATTTACACTCATTATAATTCAAGGGATAGTAATATTAAGGTATTGTTTCATGAAACCTAATGATTTAATGTAGGGCTGATCATCTGAGTTCAGAAGTATAGCATGAGTATTCACAAGAGACAGTGGTAAAAAGACACTGTTTCCGCAAAAAATGTTTGATATTTGAAGCTGAAAGTGATGAGCAACGATTCCATTGAGAACATCAGCGCTAATATGATAGAGGATATATCCATTCGATTACTGTGAATCATGTTGCCAGCTACTACTGTAGAATACTTTACAGTATTCTTGCTGCAGTTATCAACTTGTTCACCCAACTGTCTCATCCCAACTTTAATTTCTATATGAATAGTTAAAGTTCCCAACTAGGATACCGTACTACTAGTTTTTTATTCCTAAGGTGGTAATAATGAGACTGTTATGTAGCACTGGTTCTAATGTAGAAGTCATATGCCAACAGCTTTGTCTCACTGTGATACTAATTGCATATGGAAAATGTGACTATCATATTTCAGCTAAAGCAGGGGACACAAATAATGATGGACATTATTCTTAAACAACCAAGATTAGGTAGGGACTTCGCATTAATATAAGGTTTCAAGAAAAACACCTCTCATAATTCCATTGAGACAAACGGATTCTATCAACTTACTAAAATGCAGTGTAAATTGTATTATCCATAATCACATGACAAGGATCCTCCATTAGACTGTAACAATAACTCACAAGGCAAAACAGACCGTTATTAAGGATAACCACTAGAATTCCTGAGATCGCCTCCGTCCGCCCAACACTTATCAAAGTGCACCGTAATAGTGTGCCTCACAACTTTATGATCAGCGCTCGGGACTTGACAACTTGAAATCGGTTCCTCTCCATTGACAAATCAATGCATTGCAATTCAGGTTGATATGCTGTGAAGTTAAACCAACTACTAGGAATTCACTTGCAGTTATTCCCGATAGAGCTTGTCTTGTAGACGGCTTCTAGTTTTATACTCCTCAGGAAAAATCAAAGCATAGAAAACTATTCTTCTGAACTATAAAGCTGGTATTCTTTAAAAAGACATTTTGCAACCCGAGATTCTTCTGAAAATATCATTGTAGCTCACATGTTACTGAAGTCGCCTATTCACAATTACATTGGATAATGGAATTGAAGCTGTGTTTGGTGGTAGACGTGAAATATGGTATCATTTGAACCAGCAGTTGAGAAATTTGACACTATTTTAAAACCGAACTCCACAATAGATTACCCTACATGAAACATTGTTATCTATACACTGACGTTACAAGTATGAAATGTTACTCATAATCGTATCAGAGGAATCATACAATTTGCAAACTCTCGAAAATTACTTTCCTTTCTCGACAACTCTCCTCACGTATGGTAATTTACTTGGCTGTGGTTAGTAGAGGAATCCAGGACACGCGTTCCGTTATGTTCAGGGCTCCAAGGGTCAGCTGGATGTGCCTGAACCACAGTGAGTGGTGTTGTTCCAACCGAGACTCGAACCCCATGTATTTTGCTTCAAACGCCAAAGCATTGTCCACTAGGCCACTGAGATGCAGGTACATCCAGCTGACTAGTGAGTCCCGAACACGACAAAACTCGCGTCCTGGATTCTTCTGCTAGCCACAACCAAGTAAATCACCGTAAACATATTTAGATAATATCGAGGCATCCGCATAGGAGCGCACATGCCAACAGACGTTGAACAATTCGATCCAGTATAACAACGGAGAATTACAAGTATGTCAACAAATAGTTATTCTCATTTGTGTTCAGTTGACAAGAAAATAATTTTTTTTGTCAGCCTAACAATATTCACATGATATTGACTACCATGCCAACGGAACTGCTTCCGTCTCATGTTTTTATCATCGCTGTTTTTAGATCAGAGAGTTCTTTGCGTTCTTTCGGGAAAATACCTTGACCTGTTGTGAATAAAAGGGAGATAAATTAATTAACATTTGAACAGAATTAGAGGTATAATATTGTGCATTGTGTTGGAATGCAAAGTTCTGATTTGTTAATTTATTGGTGCTGCTTCTTCCATAACTTTGAATAAAAGGTAGTCTTTAATCCTACCTGAATGCCATCACAGGCTGAAAGTTCTAACTAAATCTTCAAGAAATCCATATTCAAGGATAATATAGGATTCACATTGTCGGTGGTTTGTTTGGTAGATTAAGTCTGTCGAAATACTAATCTGAATAAAGCTGCTTTGTCATGCTGACTAGTTATTCCACTTCTGAGCTTCAGTGGAAATAAGAAAAATGGTTAGCCATCATTTTTTGGTGACACTCATATCTGCATATTCTTTTTCTTGACTTACTCGGGTTACTGATTCTACCTGCTATCCCGAACAGCTAAATATTCCATGCTTAATTCGAAGTTCCATTTTGTCTACTGTATCCTGTATAAGTAGTTCGTTCTATCCAACAAAAGTTTTCAACCTATTTGATTTCGTTATGCAATCGAAGAATCGTTTCACCTTTTCCAGTTAAACTCATTATTACAAAAAGTAGGCGTATACAAGGTAAGGAGAATGTAGACATGAAGAAAATAAACGACCAAAGGAATTTCAACAGTCCCAATCTTGTTTTCGATTTCCTAAACACCCTGGGATTATATTAAAACTTACCAATATTAATGAGTCTTAGTTTCTTTATCAAATTCACTGTAGAAGCAGAGTGAAACGTGAAATCTCACTTCCTTGATGTCCAACTTCAAAGAAAAGAAGACAACTCAGCTCGAAGATCTATTTACGAATAGCCCATATAGGATAGCCAGTTTATTATT